AAGTCCATGAAGGGGATATGGGCGGGGTAGTGGGAAATAAGCTTGCGCCCCTCAGCACATGAATTACCTCACACACAACGGCCATCTGGACCAATGGCCCAGGTCATCCAGCCATCCCCTTTCCTGCCGTAATTGCAGAAGGGCAGCTGCTCATCCGTCGCCATTACCGTCAGTGTACCCGTGCGAGGCTCCTCATCCTCGTGTACTTCGGCAGCATTGGTATTGTGCTGCTGGGTGGCCATTCCAGTTGCACCATGGCCTTCCAGCTGACCCTCGGGCCGACCGTTGGCACCTGCTGCTGCAACATTGGCAGCTGTTGATGCAGACCTCATATACGTGTAGATGACTGAAGCTGCCTTCCGGCCCAGCTTCCTCAGGAAGCGACTTTTGTGCTGCGTGGTCATTGCCCGCACTGCCTTCCGTCGTCCCGCGTATACTCGCTTTGGATACCTAAGTATTTTTAGAGCCTGAAGCTATTCGCAGAAACCATGAGCGAGCCTGCGAGCCTCTGAACACTCCATCCAGCCTGACACGCTGAATGCCACTCCGCTATAGGAGGGCCGCGTGTACAAAAGTATAGCACCGAAGGGAATTTTCGGATAGCCAGATGGATGGAAGCCGTAGTCTCTCTCAGGGAAACGGCGACCGAGGGCCTTGATTCGCTTTACGAAGCGCTTTAAAGCGTCCCTAATCTTTTCTTGCTCATCATATGCCTGCTTCGTCCCCGCGGTCACGGGGTTGCGGGCCGGTGTGATAACATTCGGTGCGCGTGTAGTTGGGGACCGCATTGACTGCTTAGGAATGCGCAAGCTTTATTTAACAGCTATATGGTAAGACTACAGGTCAGTAACGAATGACTCAAAAGGGTATTTAGGATTTCAAATTGTAATACTATGGCTGTCATTGCTGACTTTCAGGCGATGTATTCATGTCTTCTACAAATCGTTGGTAGTACATTTGCAGGTGGGCAGTTGGGTATTTGAAATTGGTACTCATCGCATGCTCGTCGCATGCTCTTCATGCGGGCATAATCATTGTGTAATTTTGAAAATCTTTGGTAGTATATTTGTCAGTGGGTAGCGGAAGTGCGTCCCACCTTAGTGGAATATACTCATATTTGGCCTCCCCACCGCGCGCAAAGGCGCGAGGTGGGCATCGGTTCATAGCTCTTCTCAGTACATATGGCTTGGTATGCAAATTAGGCCATCAATTTAGAGGAACATCGACATCGAGGACATTTTTGAGGAACAGTTACAACGAACTCTGAGAGACCCGACAGTTTACTATCGGCATCTTACTTTTCGAACAGTGCGCAGTGCAGTGCATGCCGGTCGATGCGTACGGTGGACTGTGGCGCAGGGCACAGGGCGAATTGTTGCTTGCGTAAACTTGTCTGTCTGTAACGTTTAAGTTGCTAATGATTGGGCAACTATAACTATCGTCTTTGCCGGATTCGTAGTGCACAGCCGATCATGGCCAGGGCGTGTAGATCGGCGGTGCGTGTTGACCATTAGTTGGGCCGAGCCGGAGCCCGACATGAAGTCGGACTAACCTAGCCTGGTATAAATTATAGGATTGTACGACCTCACGAGCAACAAATACAAATTTTGCTGCGTTTGGACCTCAAAAAAGCGTTCTTCAGTAAGGAAGTATGCATGCAAGCATCGCTACGCATGCACGCACCTATCGCTATAATGTGCTTTTCACTTCCTCTGCCTTGCAAAACGAATCGGCGATTAGTTGATTCGTTGTGAATGCGTTGTGAATGCCAGGTCGTACTCCCCTGCCGTGTGCGTTCAGGGGCTGTATGAAGTCGCTTACCATTCACCCCGTCTCTTAGAATCAGCAAAGCGCCGGACCCCCTCGGGCCTCGTTACTGCTGTCACCACTCACTGGTGTATGGGTGTCGGTCACGTTCGAACACCGTCACCTAAGATGGTGGCCTAGAAGGTGGCCAGGCGGGTTCCGACGGCATAGCCCCTCCTTCGGGATATGTGGCATTTGCGTTGTGGTAGTCCTGCAGAAGCCTGGGAGCCTGGGGTGGCTGTCACAGGCTTGTAGGCCCACCACCGTATATGGGTATGGTTTGCTGCCTTCAGGAGAATGTGCGAATGGGTTGTCGCGCAGCCTTGTTGGCATCCGAAGCACCTGATGCTTCATTACCAGGCTCAGATGTTCATGCCACAAGAATACACATTCAGAATATAGCAGCTTCGCATAAAAGCGTTATAGGGAATGCCATGGGTAACCCATGATGGGTTTCTCTGGATCAGAGGCAACGGCCAACGGTAAGGGCATGTGTTTGGCCCTGTCCAGCAGGCTTACGCGTTCGATAAGAGTCAATAAACCAACGGATTGGGTCTTGGGCCAATATCATAATTAGATTACAGCTACTATCACTGCGAAGGATATTTCCGTCTATGTGAAGTTGAAGAGGCTTGTTAGAGACACTGCACGATTACGCCGATTATGTTTGATAGCATCCAAGATAGCTAGCTGCCCTTTGTTCCCGCTGGATTTCAGCTGTTACGCGCGGAAGCCTGGTTAGACGTCCATGACGTCGGGGTTTGCAACAATGCGTAAATTGCTCGAGTATAACATTGACGCAACGAGAACGGGGGCGGTGCAGCATAACTGGATTGTGGGCCTCTTCGTAAACGGCGCGCTTGTATCGGCCATTGTGGCCTTCTTTATTGCTCAGTTGTCGAAGGTGTTCACCCACTATTACCGTGAACAGGTATGCCTTCCTTGATTTTGGCCGCACAACATCGATCACTGTTGTACCAGTCGCCCTCTACGCGATCACATGCCCGATGCTGCAAGCCAAACTGTAGGATACTGTAACCTCCATGATTTATGGCTGCCACATACTCTCTGTTAAATGGGCACTTTTCCCTTGTCCCTTGCAGGTGTGGGACTGGACACGACTCGTCAGCAGCGGGGGAATGCCATCCTCGCATACAGCCCTTATCATCGCCCTGACAACAGCAGTTGCCGTCCAGGACGGCACCGACAGCTCCCTCTTCGCCATGTGTCTGGTCATCTCGCTCATCGTCATGTACGATGCTACAGGTTCGTAGCGTCCACAAGAGTCCGGGGATTCCCACCGACCCTAGCGGCCAGCAGCCCAGCCCAAGCCGACACGCGCTGCCCGCAAACTATTTCACCCTCCGTCGGGCCCCGACGCCAGCAGATTTCGCAGCGGACTTCCGGGCCAGAGTAACATCATTCAAGCAAAGCCTTTTCAGCAATACGTCCTGCCGGCTATGAAGCTTGCCCAGCCCCTTTTGGGCGCCCCACACCGATGCTACTCCGCATGAACCCACCCCGTACCGGCCCCTCCTCACGTGCCTGGCCCACCGAACGAGGCACACCGCGTCGAACCACGTACTCCACATCCCGCTGGCGCTCCGCACCGCCTTTTCGTTCCTCGTGCCTTGCTCTCCCAACAGGTGTTCGTCTTCATGCGGGTCGGCAGGCCACCGTTCTGAATATCATCATAGCGGAGATGCCACCCGACCACCCAGTACAGGTGGGTGGGAACGAATGAAAACGACCCGTTGCGTACAGGCCAGGGCAGGGAAGCCACCTACTGTCGGACAACGGCCGGTCTTGCACCTGTGTTATTGACCTAGACCAATCGAAGGCACAAGCAAGCGAAGCAAATGAACCAACCAATAGAAACAGTAAGTAGAAAACTTGAGGCTATGGGATGGAGAGATTGAGGTGGGAACCAGGTACTGATGCTCGAGTAACGAGCTCGACCCCATGCTGTCACAACTCCCCTAGAGTGCTTCGACAGCCAACTGGTCTTGTAGTCTTTTGCCATTCCCGGTGTACTTGACCTTTTTCAGGCCAGTTTTCAGGGATGACAGTTTGATACGTTCCCACGTATCAAACTGTCACGGCCTGGCCCGGCGGATGGTTCAGCGCACACTTACCGCGTTAGAGCTCCTCGCCGTTGCTTCTCGCCGACCATTTGACTGACTCGTTTCGCCTCTTACTTACATGCCTCGGGCTCGTGTATGTGGTTGCTCTACGCCCTGCGTCTTCCCCGTCGAGCTGTCCGCAGGACTCTGGGCGGCTAAGGGACAGCTTGGGGCACACCCCCGTCCAGGTGGGTAGGGACAGATGGGGAACGGGTAGGGACGTTGTTATTGGGGGAGCTTCGTACCGACAAGAACCCGAACAAGCAGCGGCGAGGCAAGAAACCAGGGGGCCTCCTTACATCGCATGCATGAGGGATTCGCATTTCGGTACTGAGATTGCCGCTGGACTGGCAATGGAAAAGGAAGTGCGACACGCTTAGGTAGTGTCCGCCGATAAGTCGTTCATGTGGATCTGCTCTGGGTCTTCCTGAAGAGCTATTGAACAGCGTGCGAAAATTGGGCATAAGTCGCGAAGGCAAGGGTAAGATCAGCCTTGCATTCCCTTTGTGCCCCATTCCCTCCATGCACCCTGGGCCCTTACCTGAATGACTTTTTCCTACGCATCCCTGCGGCCTGACTCCCGGTTTTGGTGACCCATTCAGGTTGCGGTGGGTGCTTTACTGGGAGTGGTGGTGGGGTTAGTGGTGCAGTCGCTCTTCCTGCACGGCTCAGGTGGAGCCAGCGGCGGCTTGGCGGCGAGCTTAGCGGGAGCACTGGCACCTGGACTTGGCGAGCAGGAGCCTCCGGGCGGCGTCCTTGCTGCAGGCGGCAGCGTGGGCGGGGACTTCCTCTCCGGAGGTAGAGGTGTAAATGTAGGCGGGGCCGGGGGCCTGGTGGCACCCGGTGAACTTCTCTCGGGGTTCGGGAGAGCAGCGCCGGTGGGGGCAACATAAGGAGGTAAAGGATGATGTGGAAACGAGGTAATGATTGCGGCGCACGCGAGGGCGCGCCACTACTGGATATGCAGACGACACGGGGCGGGTGGCGGGAAGCGTACGCATGTGTATTTGGGACTGTTGGTCTGTACGCAACTATTTGGACCCGGCTGGAGGCCGCTGGGGCTGGTAATGAAAGGCTAATGCGAATGGCGGGAAGCTAGCACACAGCCAAATCTTCCAGGATAGGGATGGAGCGGGCCTTAGCGACTTTTATGTACAGTGTGCCAACGAAAGATATACTTGAAGCAGTAAGGGTAAGGATTGCCCGGAAAGCCCTCGCGGGGGCAGCATGCGGGAGACAGGAGAGATGACGGTTATTAGACGCAGTGTGTTGATACAGGCGTGGACGCAGCAGTAGAAGAAAGACTTCGTGGATAGATTGGACGGACGTAAATCAGGCAGGTGGGCCTTGTTGCGTAAGGTGGAGGAGAGCGGCCAACATTTGGGGTCCTTGCGGCTGAAAAAGCCGTGCACTTGGTGACAGAACACGGACTCCCGAGCGCGAACGTTGTTGCGTCGTGGCCTTGGAGGAGTTGCATATGTGCTTCGGAAAATCCTCTCTGCGAGTTTTTATCGCCGTTAGTGGAGTTATTCTGCCCTCATGCTTTAGCCAAACATCTTGCACTGTGTCGCCTTGCCTGTCCCGAGCCGAATAATCTCAAGTGTCGCCTTGCCAATTAACAATGCGCGTCAAGTAATGAAGGGCCATACTTTCCACCACACGACTGAGGCGTTTTACAGGGACCGGCCATACATTTGACCACAGATTTACCCCTGATCGAGTAGCTCGTTCCCACCCTCAGCAGCAACAGCTGCATCATGGACCACAATGACCCACCCATGACAGCCGGGCAGGTTGATGCGCGTAGGCCATATGGCTATTGCTGGACATGCTGTCTGATTTGTCCACACCATTTCATGAACCTGCATCCTGCTCCACAAAAACGTCAATTCCTCGTTTAGTTCCTAATGACGTGCCCGATGCGGGTTTAACATACGGCTTCCTGCCGATGCAACGTGTTTCCAACTCCTGTCCATGCAAGGGCCACCACCTTCAGCGCAAATTCTAGACGCGAACGGTTGGCTCTCCAGCTGCTATGCTTATTATAACCCTGCCCCTAAGATGGAGAGGGACTTTCCGCTTCCATTCCATACGCACACCCTTCCACAAGGCATCACCCTCGCCACCTCTACAGCACCTTAAGACACCCGCAAGGTCAATGCATACAGCGGCAATCGACCCATTCCTTCCCAAGGCAATTTTGCTGGATACGAGGAGTCCGGAACAAAATGCACTTCAGCCCCACATGTTAAGTACCGTCAAGAGTGACAACCCGACGGCCCTAGGAGACCGACAGCCATTGGCCGTGGAGCACGCTGCCCTAGAAAATGCACGACAACCTAGCGACTGCTGAAGCTGCCGATACCGGCTTATTGAATCAACCGTCCTGACAGACCTCAGGCAGCGGCTATCACAGCCGGGTTCGTTCAATTGTCCGCCGACCCTTCGGTCGCAGATCCAGGAGCACAGGCTGAACCCGTCTCAGCAGACTCGATGACCACCTGAACCGAACCCTGTCGCACTGCGTCGCCCTGCCCTTCCAAAAGCCCCAGTGATGCCTCGTCATCCATCGCGCCATCCTCCTGTACTCATCCTGTCCGTCACTGCATGGAACCTGTCACGACTCATCGCCTAACCAACCAGGTAAGACTGCTCTTCCCCCAACCCCATCCCCAGCGGGCCTGGCACCCAGGCCTTTCTATGCCAAGCGCCAGACCACACGCCGACTGCGCATGTGACCTTTGTTTCCACGGCGCCAACACGTTTACGCCAGGTACTTGAACAGGGTCGGGTTGTCCTTATCGCGCTCCAGGTACTCGCGTTGGATAAGATCCTCGATGCGCTTCTTGATGAGCTTCAGGTCGGGCTTGAACATGCGCTGCAGCTGCTGGATAACCTCCATCACCAACGTCTGATGCTGCAGCACCTGCAACGACATGGCCACGGCGGTGCATGATAGGATGAAGCAACTGCAGGCGCCGCACAGGAGGCAGCCGTTTGCATGAACGCTGGGCCGTTACGGCCTGTAAGGTTGCCGCGGCCATTTCAAGGAATACTATACAGAACTGGAGCCATGCATCTCGAGCTCCACGCAGGCCAAGTGTACAAAATGATATGGACTCCCATTACCTCAGTCCCCGATACTACTGCCGTAATGGGAACAACGGCAGCTCGTACCTTGCGGCTCTTCATGATGCGCACAATAGCGGCGTCTATGGCATATCGCCGGTCCTTGTCCACATCTTCCATCACCTGATGACGAGAAAGCGGCCGGCAGGCAAGGGAAGAGGGGAACGAGTAATGAGAAGGCCTAGCGGAAATGGGTTAGTAGGCTGTGGCCAGGGGTCAGGCGCCAACGGCTATGTGATAAATTGCGTGAAGTAAGCGCAAGTAACAGCCTACCTTCTTCTTCTCGTCCAGAGGTGGCAGCGGAATCTTGATGCGCCGCAGCTTGTCCGTGAACCCGTGGTTGAAACTGCGGTAGGTTAATGGATGGGGGCAGAGATAAGTAGTTGGTGGGGAACACGACACTGGCCGTTTAGGTGTGTGCATGGAAAGGGAGCTATGTATTATTCGGCACCTTGAATAAGGAGCTTAACTGAGTCATCACCGGCTGACGGCGGCATGGACGTCTGCACCTAGATTGTGTGTACCCGTAGCGCCGTCCATCAATAAGCACGCGGGGAGTCGGTGCACCAGTCAGGCTCGTGAAACTAGTGCCGCTCATGGCAAAGCAACCGCTCTTGGATCCCCCACAATCAACCGAAACACACTCGCCTGAACTTGTCAGACTTGCTGATGGTCTTGCCCTCCGGATCCTTTTTAATGATTTTGTACTTTGCGCACACCAGCGAGTGCAGCAGCCGCTGCAGGTCATCGTCGGGCAGCCTCAGCCGCTCCTGGACCTGCGCGAATACCAAGAAAGGATTATTTGTTTTGACCTTACATTATGAAAAGTGAAGGCATAGCAAGCGCTGAGTATGTACTTTACACAGACACAAGATGCCATTGAGCCAGATGCGCTCGCCGGATGCAATTCCAAGTACACTCGGAATCGGTCGCAACGGCGTCGAGACATCACATCCTGGGGGTCTGAGGCTGTACGTGGTTCTTTCATTGTGGATGAGGTGAGGAGTTACCTCCTGATAAGACAGCTCGTCCACATCGTTGAGCAGCATGCAAAGAGCCGCCTGCAAAGTGTTCATCTGCATCTCGATGGGCTTGCTCTGGAAGTTCCCGCGAAGCACCGCCGTTCCCAAAGTGTAAATCCACGTCAGCTTCCTGAGGACAGAAGGTTGAGGCTCTACAATTTCAACCGGGATCTTTCCATGCAACGGCTATAGAACATGGAGCACAAATGCTGCCATCGGCAAACGCACCTTGTGCGATAGCCCTTGTAAGTGCTGCCAAATAATCAAATAGATTATTTGCTGCACGTATAATTATTAAGCCTACAGGATTTAGTGTGCAACGGGTGTTTTGTCCCGACGCAACAGGGCACCGTTTGCTTGTCAGTGCACGGCTCAGCACACCACGTCTGTGATCGTCACACCTCGACTGTGCTCCTGCACTGTCGTCTGTCTCTCTGGAGCGTGCCCGTGCATCGGCACGACCACTGTCCATCCCACCTGTGCTTCGAATCCGAATCATAGTATTGGCGGTACACCTCCACGCCCTCCACCATCTCCCTCGGCAACGCCACCTCAATGGACTTGTATGTTGGCCAAAAGCCCGTAGTCAGCACCGTGACCGACAAATCAATGGCCAGCTTCTTGCCCTTCTCCTGCAATGTGCAATGCATGCCCGCCCGTCAAGTCTTCACCAAGCACAAAACATGGGAGAAAGGTATAAGCCCCTCAGGTCAGCGCAGCAGGCGTGCATTGTCAACCAGCAGCTCAAGTATGGCATTAGCCACACACACGTAGCCAGCTCTCTTGAAAGCTCGTCACAGAAGCTCATACCTTGAGCCAGTCGTCGAAGTTCTGCTGCTTCTCCTTGGCGAGCTGCAGGTCCGTCACCATTCCCTCCATCTGTGCACCGTGAGTTCAGGGCAAAAGAGCAGTCAAGAGCCATAAAGACCTCGTTCGGTAGAGACACTGTGCCCAGGAACGCAAGAATGAGCTCTCGAAAAAAGGCCCACGCTGACAAATATCTCGAGTAGCCCGGCAGGTAACCTTGTAAGCCGTCCCATTTCAAGTACTTCTGAGCCGGCTATTGCAACCGTAGCCATGCCATAAGAACTATGAACGCTCCCTAGCTTCCAGTCCTGCAGATGATCCTGCATGCCGATATGGACGCAGCGGTATCACACATACTTTGGACGTGAACTGGGCACCGCACTGCTGCTTGAGTCGCGACAGCAGTGACCGCTCGTGATCATCGGACGCCGACTTGTCCTGAAGCAGCCGCCGTGACAGCTTCTTGCGGTAGAACTCTGCAACCCCGGGTTGATAGAGCGGGAGTTACAAGGATGCCAGGGCCCTAGATATGCAGAAGTTACGCATCAGGCTGTATACGACCGCAGATATTTTTAGGGCAAGGTGTAGCGATAAGAATCAAGCATCCATAACGCAAATTATGGCACGGCTCCTCAAAGGACGCATATGTGAACTCATAACACCTGCGAACATGTCCTTGTCGCTGACATACGCCAGCAGCTTGACAACCTTCTCTAGCGTCTCCTCAATTGCCTCGTCGGACAGCTTCTCCGATCCACCCTGCAACCAAAGAACCAAACGTTAGTAATGGCTGCAGAAAAGCTGTGCGCTGCTGTAGGGATGTTTAAAAGCTACCCGATGCTGTTGTGTGAATGCAGTTGAAATATAGATATTGCAGACTGTACGCACCAGGAAATGCGCGACCCCAGCTGACGGACACACGCCGCATACGGCCGTGCTGACCTTGATACTTGCCCCACCCAGCAAGAGCCAGCACCGAAAAGGCCATGTTCACGCGCACCTTCTTCAGCAGGTTATCGCAGAAGGACGCCATGAGCTCAGCACTTGTGCTGCCCGCCACCGACTTGTTGACGAAGTTCTCAAACGCCTCCTTCAAGCTCTTGTGAAACAGCGACGAATTGCAGAAGCAAGTCGACACGTAGAGCAGGTACTTGTCGTGCAGGTCAATGACGGCGCGCACGTACTGCTGCTCATGGCTAGTTCCAGTATCACGAGAGGGGCCAGCCTTAGCCTGCTTCTCCTTGGCCAGCTCCACCGCCTCCGTCACCTAGACACATAAAGAAGGCATCTGCGTGTGTGTACGTGAAGCGCACGGCTGTACAGTTGCTGGCCCGCTGCACAGCCCTAGAACTGCTAGGTCATGACAACAGTGGCGAAGGGCCAGCCATTCTGTGATATGCCGCCGTGCCGCAGTGAAAGATATGCAGTGCATACACAGCGAAGAGTCGCATTCCCGTAATGCAAGGAGACTCCATACGACGTTACGGCACTATATAACCGAACTCGTGGCCCAGAATAGCGCATGAAACATGCCTTCCCGCGAGCATTCATGGACAGAACCCAAATCCCGTTGTGCTGACTGAAGCAAAGGACACCTCCCAGGGCCCCTCGAGAGTTTATACTGGTAATCGCGCCGGTCAGGAAAGCTTCGCCTTTGCTGTTACCCCAAGATTATTCAGGCGCTTCTCCAGCATCTAAGCATACCACCATTACCGACACGAGCCAGGCCAGCGGTAGGGCTCCGTATCCACCGCCACAGTGTAACCACCAAGACGGCACATCTCCTACTTATCGTATCTCCTCATTAGGCTTTACGCCATCATTGCGAACGTACCTCCTTAACGAGTTTCATGCCCTCGCTGTCCACGTGCTCCTTGAAAATCTCCGCCACGGGATCAAGGCCCTTCGGAATACGCTGGAACAAGCGATACATTCGTGCAAGATCCTCCGTCTGCACTCACAGCCGTAAAGGGTGGCAGCCGCAATCCATGGGACACGGACCATTAAAGAACAAGAATCCAGAATAGCACCAGGATGGAAAGTGTTCGTTAAATGGTCGCAGCCACTGCATTCCGCACACCGCTCTTACCCTTGACCCCCATTTCTTTCTTATCTTCCGGCTTCTGGGCGAAGGGGCCCAGTGTGTTCCATTCTTGCCAGAAAGCATGCCATGCTGAAGGGTGTGCGGCTGCTGGCCACGAAACGTACAGGAGTACCCTACGCAATTGCAAAGCCCACCCATAACCATACCGATACCCAGCGCACAACCATAAATTCTGCGCACGCATGCTGTCATTGCAACACCTATGGCACGCTGAATCACCTTGTCGTCCTTAAGCAGCGCGGCGCATCCCGAGTGCTCCTTAGTAAGAAGCCGGGTTTCGTAGTTGGATAGCAACTCCGCTTCCACCTCCTTCAAAAGCTTTGGCTTGGTGGACGCGTGCAGGTAGTTCTCGACGCGTTCCTCCTCCAGCCGCAGACACTCCTCCGCCTTGAGCATGTAGTCCGGACAAGAGTCCTAACAAGGCAAGCAGAGCGACGGGCAGGTTTACGGACCCTGACAAGGAGTTGCTGCTGTACGCGCTTCACAATCATCCGCGCACTCCTAGAAACCCAGATCAGGGTGATCTTGTCCCAAGTGCGCCTTTCCCTATCGACCCTATCATCAGCTGTGAGGTCAGAACAGGAAAGGAACATGCGGGATGTCCATACTCAAAGCCATGGAGACCTCAATGCAACAAGTATGCTGTGTGCCGCTTGGGACTTGCTGACCCAAATCGGAAACCTGCACCCGCCATGCCCCGGTCACCTGCTCAATCCACTCCGAGGCCTTGCGCCTGTAGAAAGCGCTCGTTTCCGCTAGCAAAAATTCCTCGAAGTCCTTCTCGTAGCAATCCATGTTGCCCATGCCCAACTCGATGAAGATCCCCAAAATGTTTTTCACCAGCGCCCTGTCCACCAGCTCACCCTCGCGCTCCTTCTCAATCAGCATCAGGACAGCGTCCTTTGTGCGCTTCTTCGTCTCAGCGTACACGTGGTCTGGTGATAGTGTTTGGGTCAAGGACAGCAGCAGTACAAGGACGCCAACGTGGACACCAAGGAAAGGAAACGCATACCGTGCAGCAAGGTGTTTTGAAGCACCCATGCAAATGGCCATGCACGCCGCCCTGGCGCCAATAGCCCAGCGCGATTACCCTTCACCGACTTCATCGTGTGTAGTGCGCGCGCATAGACCATGTGCGCAGGCTAGGTCATAAGCGCCGCCTTTATCTGCGCATGCTCAGAACGATGCTAGCACGTCCGCAATCGTCGAACAACATGTGCATGCATGTACAGTTTAAGATGGCAGTCTTCCCTCTGTGCAGGAGGAGGCCCAGTATACGAACAGCTTTCATAATGCGCTGCTATCTGGACCTCTCCCACATGACCCTAAGTTCGAGCTAACCCAAAGCTCCTACCTTTGAAGCATAGTAAGCCCACGTCCTTGAGTGGATGCAATGTGTGCCGTAGGACGTAGTACCTGCGGGACAAATACAAACCCAATTAAACTCGTGCTCAGAACCCAAACCAGGAAGTCACCCGAGCTAGCTCTAAAGGAATGCACGTACCGATCGAGGTAGTTGAAAAATCGGGACAACCAGCGGACCATCAGCTTGTGGTTACCCCATCGCTGGTATAGCTCCTTCAGGAGCACCTCGTCCCGATGCTCGCGCAAAGAAGGAAGGACCTTCATGGAGGCACAGGAAACTATCAGGTAATTGTAGCATAATCCCCCTGCCCCCCTCAGGCTCGAGGCAGCAACAAACCCACCTTCTCGTTGATGTACTTGTTAAATGCCTCCCGATACTTCCCGTAGAGCTGCTCAGAGTAGTCGTGGGGGGGCTTTTGTGTGCACATGTTGTAAATCGTCCTGCGCGCAAAACCCTCGCTGGGTGCAGGTGAAACCCCAGTGGCCCACCCACGTTGCCTTACGTGTAAAGATGCATATACTGCTCCGCGTTGAATTGGTCCTCGGGCTCACCCTCAAGAAGGCGGATGAGCTTCTGAATGCCTTTCTGCAGTGTGCAAGGCACCGCGAAAGTTTGCGCAATCCAGATCCATAGGTGAGGCATTAACGCGCTACCTCCATAAACCGAAGGTTATCGTAGCACAAACGGCAGACGCATGGAACAGTTCTGCGCAGATGCCTTTCCAAGACCTGGCAAACTGAACCCTGGAGAACACATCTACTTAAGGGCACCCGGCTTACTTCCATGAAGCTCCATCCCTCCGCGAGCTCGATGGGCTTACGGTCAGCCATCATGGGCAGCTGTAACTGTGCGGGCGCACAGCTCCAAGACGCTATGCTGCCCAAGCGCCGGCCTTCCGCTCCCTCAAATTAATGCTCGCCTGGTTATATCTTTAAATGCTCTAAATATGGAATCTCCTTGACGGGCCTTAGGATGGGAAAGAGTCAGCAGGCATAAGCTAGGGTGCCGTCCCTCCTAAGCTTCATAATGGCACCATAAATCTATGCATAAATTCACAATAACGCATGCACAACACGGAGCTGTTGTTGCAAGCTTCATTCGTAAGCTGGAAAGTACTACATGTACGACGGGACCCGCAGGCAAATAAATATTAATATGTCGTTAAACCCTAAGTTAAGGTTAAATTGTCTCGTTCTTCTTTGTCAGTTAGAGGTGGTTCATGAGCCTCCGGGTTCGTCTGAACCGTACGAGCTCGCTGAAGCTTGTTAAACATCATCATCATCATAGTGGCGTGGGATTTTTTTCGCTCAAGCTGTAATGCATGTGCGCGTTGCTGGACTTCGATTATACCACCCAAAAGGCCTTTCTTTTGACTTAAGCTCCCGGGTGTCAAGCATGTGGGACATTTACCCCGGGGTATACAAGTACCGGCTGCCGGGGGAAGGTTGCCACACCTGAAACAATTGGCCCATATCAAAGTTGATTACAGTCAGATTGAAAACGTTATCCAAGCTGGTCTGGGTTTTGGCACCCCATATTCACCCCAGCAATTTATCTGCAGAAGGTCCCGTAGTGCCGCGTTGGAAAACCTTAATACCGCATAATACGACTAACGAGGTGTTCAATTCAGGCATGCGCCCGAGGTATACGGCGGTCGGTATCCTGCCTTGCAGCCTTTATCACGGCGAACCCCACCGTCCACAACGGCGCCCACCCTACAGCTACCGTATCTCTTAGCGCCATCCCCAAGAAGTATCCAAAGGATTGCCTTCTACATTTTTTTACTACAGACCATCAAGTGCGGCAAGAATCTTAACCTTGGCAAGCAGGCCATGTAGCGCCATTATTTAATTCAACACGTCGTGTCAATGACCGTTCCTGACAACCATTCCGCCAGGAAGCCCGCAGCGAAAACTTACCGCCAGGTATAGCCATGGCCAGCAAAACGTGGAGCGGATGCCAAGCTATATGCTTAGCATTTGGGTTGTTGATTTCCATGCAGTGGACTGTTTCCCGGCGGGGGGCCCCCCCGACGCTCCTACAGTTGTACCTATCCCCGATGTGCACCTCTAAAAGCTGCTGAGCTAAATGGAGGACGTCACGTATCCCACATCGACGCTATGGCCGCCCTTCAACAGATCATGTACTGCGTAACTTACAGCGTGCCACCCTCCATTTTATCAAATAACCCACCTCACACCCGCCACATGTCGTGTACTAAACCTAAAACGCAAAACTAAACCTAAAATGCAAAGTTGCCTTCTGCAGCGAGGGAGATAGGCTGCCTCTGGATGCCGCCAAGGAAACCCGCCACAATGGGTCCGGCCCGCTACTAGAATGCGAGTGCAGTAGCTCTACGGTAGCGATACGGCACACAGGTCCCAAATGTTGATTCGCCAAGGCGCTCTACTAGCATGTCGAGAGGCCTTTTCGGCGGCTACTACTGCGACCATTGCAATGATGTCCATGACAGTAGTAGCAGCAGTGCCGGGTGCGTTTAACACACGCCATATGTATCTGTGTCCTAGGAGCTTTATGGGGGTCTCCCGGAGTGCACAGTTTTTACCTAGCAACATGCCTTGAGGGGCGGGGTGATAGGTCGCCGGGCACGGGTCGTCAGGCAGGGTCCCGAGAGGCAAACCTGGAGTGTCCTCCCCCTACTAGACGGCATGTTGCACCGGCCAGAGCTCACACCTGCGCGTCGCGTGTGTCCCCGGGCTGCATCCCCAACCATTGTGGATTATGCCACATGCAGGTGCCGATTCCTCATCGCTGTGGAAACCCGCCTCCTGCATGCTCTCTCATGCGTCTCTCTATGAACAGCAAATACGGCCGCGGGATGACCGCTGTAGGCGCACAGCGAGGTGCGGCTTGGGGAATCACCAGCGGTGGCCATTAATGCCTTGGTCTACCAAACGTCACATAATCCGCAGGCCGGCGCAGCGCCCGGCGACCCGATAGCACCGAAGCTGCCACCGCTTCTGAAGCTCGCCACGCCCCGGAATCCTCACAGCATGATATCGGCGCCCTGGCGACGGTAGGCGGCTGCGACGCAGAACAAAAGGCCGCGGGTGGGGACCAGTTACGGTGCAAGGACAGGTGTGGTGACCTAGCTGACTTTAGTTTCTGCGCTTTAACCACGTATTCAGAATTCATTCAAGGGTGAAGTCAGGGGAGCCAGCAAAACTCCGTCCGTCACTTCCTTACGGAAAGGACCCCAATAGGAGTGCCCTTGGTGCGTCACGAAACTGCGAAGTTAAGCAGGTCATTAGTGGATAGTACGTGGTCGGATGTGTGTGCCTCTTGCCAAACTTGCACTGGCTCGACACCGGTCGAAAGTGTTATGCTTCTATTTATGTTTTCGCCTGCGATATCCCAGAAACCTCGCTGTCCTGAGGCTGTGCTCATCCGCGCATACGAGCTGGTCACGTCTGCCTACCTGCCAACCTACTGCCTACGGCACTTTGGATAACGCCAGCTCAACGTAGGCGCAGTACACACGTAAATGCGGGAGCGCGGCGAAAGGCCTATGACCAGGGCCTACGCACGATGGAAACGGCTAGCACGCATGGTGCTGTTGCCTGGCTTTAAGCTGCACTCACTCATATAAAAGGTGGGAGGCAGCAGATAGTGCTTCATGCCTGCGGCTGCGGCCTTGCTGGTGGCAGCATCGCCGAAGAAACGGCTGTTGAAGGCCGCCGCCATCTTTGTGAAGGCCTCGTAGTCGGTGCCATGGAGCGCCGAGTCGGACCTGCGCGATCAGAGGCCGGCGGTAACAGGACACATGCTGCATGGACCCCAAACTTAAGCCATGGTCGGGGAAATGGAGGCGAGACAGACGAGGGTAAGGGCACGTTGCCTTATAGGCGATATCTATTAGGTCAGGGAAAAGTGGTGAGTTGCGACATAGCTCGCCTATTAACAAGAAAATGTTCCTCAGAATTGGAGCTCTTCGTGCCCGTACGACTTACTTGGCCGTACCGTCCAGCACGTCAAACCGGAAATTTGCTGCCGTGCTCCGCCCGATAAAGGAGCCCGCGGCGGGGACCGGCGGCAACTCGGGTTGGGTGCCGCCGGGGTTTGTATCGTACGGCCTCAGCACGGCGTCTGGCTTGAGGCCGACCTTGGCGGGGTCGGTGGCTGCTGTGGAACAGAACGCGAAGAACCTGCCAGCAAGGGGCCCCGGGCAAAGCACACAAGGACAGAAGCCGAGGCACGGACACGGCGAGCACGACGAGATCAGAACCCAGTTGCGGGGTGTGTGTGGCACCTCGACCTATTAGCACGGCTAGTCGCTGGTGAAAGCGGGGCCCACCTCACGTTCTCTCTCTCTCTCACACACACACACACACACGTCTCTCCAGTTCCATAATGTCGCATACCCCCCGGCCTACTGGCCACTGAACCACGCGCCCTTACCTGTCTGCGTAGTCGGCTGCCTCCGCCGTCCGCAGGTTGTACCGCCTGGGGTTGGGGAACAGACACCACGTCGTACAGCGAGTTAGGGCCTGCACGGTAAGTGCTGCGGTGGCGGATAGTGCTGGAAAAAAGCAGAAGAAACGTCGTCAATATACCCACGTGTCGGGACGCAATGGCGGGCTACGGCCTGCATGCCGTCGCATGTGGCACCACGGCCATATGGATGGGCGCAGCCGCGCACAGGTGATCAAGAGCCGCCCCCAATTATCCACCATCCCCCAATCGCATAAGAGGCGGAGGGGAGGTCGCGCGATACCACTCCATGCAGGCGTTCGGCACCCGTTTGGCGTTCCTCACGCGGGCGGCGAAACAACGTGAGAAAAGAGGGTCAGAAGGTCGCATCACATCGCATCGGTCCGCCATTGCCACCGACATCAACTCAACGCCGGAGCCGCCAGCTGCATCAGAGTGCCGTGCCGTCCCAAGACCCACATCGGCACTGGGCGACCCAATTGACACCCACCCAAACATGAGGTCGATGCCGGCTATGTACGTGCCCGCTTCCATCAGGCCGCTGCCCAGGCCCTGCAGCCAGCCGCTGGGACCGCCGGCACCGCTGGCCACCGCCGCCGCGGTTTCGGGGCGCAGGAACAGGTACGGTTCCGCTACCTGGAATCGGGATGTGGATGCATTCATCTCTTTTCAGTGGAGGAGCAGCCGAAGAAACGCAGTGCGTGTGATTGCGCCGGGTGCACAGCGGGCAGGTGAAACCCGGCATGCAAGAGTGGCTGTGTGGATGTGGTCAGAAACGAGCTTGGTGCGCCGCCGGAGGGCAGCTGGGACCAGATCCCCTCGACCGACCACGGCTGATTCACTTCCTCCAGCTTTCACATGTTTCCACCTGCGTGCTTCACCCTCTCTTACACCAAAATCCCACCGCCACCACCAAACCAAAGCACCCAGCTCTCCTGCAGCCCAGACAGCCCACATCGCGGTCCGCACCTTAGCCCCGGGGCTGACATCGCTGAGGGGCCGCAGTCGCTCGAGCCGTGGCAGTGCGAGGTCATCCCCCGGAACCGTCTCCAAGTGACCCTGGGGGCACCACAGACACGCACTGTTTTTACAAAGAAGTATAACAATATGGATTGAGGTCCTGAATATTCAAATATATTTTATATATGAAAATTAAAAACTAAAACTAAAAATTGGCATGAGGGTTTTACGGGTTTTTCAGATAATTCTAGGTGCACATGCATAAAAGCCGTGTTTTCCCCCTTTAACTCTTGATCAATGATTCGAGCCAGTTCATGCTAAAAGTAATTCATCCAAGGATAACCGTTATGGAATGTGCCTCAAAGATTTCCTGTACTTCCGAGAGCTTTGAATGAATGCCCGGGAAAAGGAGAATCAGGAAAACACACTACGTCGCTACCTACCGAGTTGGCTAGCTGGTTGCCCGCGATGAGGGGGCGGGCAGGGGCATATGGTTCTGCGTGTGTATTGCGATGTCCTAAGAACGTGGTCGCGCATGCGTGGGTGCTTTCCTTGGCGTGTGCCATGCGCATGTATGTACAGCAGAGCGGAACACCATTCGCTGATGCGTATTGCATTTGCGCCAGACAAACAACAATTCAATCATTCGGCGCGTAACCTCTGTCCTGTGGGTTGGTTTGTTGCTCCTGGGGCCTACTGGTGGTGTTGCTGCTGCCATCGAAAAGCGGTCATCGAGGTAGCGTTTGCGTTGCTGGGCGGCCTATTGCTACTGTTGCTGCTGCCGTTGCTGGCGCAAGGATACATATCGCACCTGCGACCCCAGCAGCGCCACATCTACTCCGTTGAGTAAGCTGAAGCCCAGCACATCGCGGTTCCGCAGGTACGAGTGCTCCAACAGGCGCTAAGGGGTGGGGGAGGAAGGAGGTACACAGTAGCGGGGTTGAACGGATTCCAATGCTCGGAAGTGCGAGGAAATGTTTAGAGTGGTGTCAAGCAATTTCCCCAGGGGGTAAGCAGCCAGGATGACAGCGGTGTGGACGGGACAAGGCACCGAGAAAGGAGATCTACCGCGCAGTCAGAACAGGGACGATCAGGTGGGTTTGGAGGCCGGGGGAAGGGGGGTCGCGAAGCGGCCGCGGGACCGGAAGCCGCGCCCGAAGCAACAGCGCAAGAAGGCACAAGACGGGGAGCTCAAGGAGTTTTCCCTTCCCCCATCCACTCCACTTCAATGCAATAGGACTTTCCCTCCGGGAAAGCGGGCTTTGCCATCTCAGTCCACAAGGTGCCCTCGAGGACCGTTGCCGGTGTCATGCAACGGCAACACACACATACATATATACACATATGTACACACACCTGCAGGTTGTAGTTGGGCATGAAGGCCAGGGTGCAGGAGATGCCCGCCACACATGCATCGCTGGATCCGGATTTGAGGATGGCGGCCAGCGCGGATCTGAAATCCGCGGTTTCGCCGCGCCAGTTGTCGGGCCCCGACGCGCCGTTGGACAGGAAGTTGACGGCAGGGAGACCCAGGTCGGCTACAGGGAAGGGCAACACCGTCCAGTTCACGTGGGTCGCGTCCGGCATCACCCCCGTCATAGGAGGCACAAGAGGATACAATACGCGTATCATCATTTCCCACTCAGAGTCATATGAACAGCAGTGTGAAGGAACATCAACAATGGCCGACCGCCGAACAGCAGGACCGTGATGCCGTCTCGCTCGGCTGGATTGAGGCCGCGGGGGCCGAGGCGGGAAACGTCTGCGCCAGTGAAAATGACGGCGGACCCTTGGGCCTCTTCCTGGGACGCCAGCCAGCGCCCATGGTGCTGGCCGGCAGCCGCCAGCCCGCATTGGGCCCTCTTCCCCCTGTCTGGCGAGTTCTGGGTTGGGATGCCTAGTGATCCGCGGTGGCCATTCTCAGCAGTAGGAAATGCACAGAGAGCCGCCCTCGCTCACTCCGCACAAGCCTGACGCGCTGACCGCTCGTAAAAACGGTCACGAACATGGCTCCCGACCCCGAGGCCGAGAACACGTCCCAACAAAACGCAACCCCGGGGCGATACCCTACGCATCCTTTCCTCACATTTCCCTCCACACACCGTCGACATCCCATGCCCGTATCCATGTCGTGGATTCATGTGTAGAATTCATTCCCGGGCCCACTCACGCGTCACCATCGGCTCCACCTGACCATTTGTCCCTACATGAACCCCAGTATGCGCCCACGCGAAAGATATGGCGCATAATACACGTTATGTCCCTGAGTACCCACATGCGGGTGAGGGGCCAAACAGCCCGCCTGGTCCCATGATCCGTGCCGTGTCGCTCTCGTTGTGGACCACCCACACGGCAGCAAGAGTGATTCGCCGCACCGCCTGCAAAGTACACACACATATATATGGTTAAGCAGTGAGGAACACGCACTTCACACACACGCACACGTTCTCTCCTTCATGGTGGCTCTTCATCTCACCCTGAACCCCATGGCCATTGCCACATGGGCTCAAGCTCTGCCCCTTTGCCGTTGCTCGCAACGGAAGGCGCCACCTCGGGCGGGGCCGCGTGCGGTGGGCTTAGTGTCTCGGGCCCGGTGTTCCATCCGACCCGCAAGGAGTGCCGCACCTTCAAGGCCTTGAGCAGCCGTACTAGGGCCGGTGCGCCGTCCAGGGGCAGCAGTGCTGGAACCACTGCTGATCCCATGGATGTGGCAGCCGCCAGTGCACCCGTCAGCTTGCCGGGCGACCCTGCAGCCTCAGCCGCAACGGATACGCCTTGCGCAATAACCGTAGAGTAGCCACCGGCCAGCAGCACCACATGGACGCTCTGTTGGACAGGGTTAAAGTGCCGGGCGCCGGCCGAAGTGGTTGAGTTGCGTTGCGCTGGAGGGGAGATATAAAGGTGAGGAGAGCTGAACGACCATACAGGCGCAGGATGGGAGGACTTTCGCAGGATGGCAACGGGGTGTTTAGTTTACGTAGAACGGCGGGGCTCCTTGCCGATAGGTCTAAACCAAGCAAGGCTAAGAAGCATTATGGAACTGTTATTCGCCTCCTGGCTAGCGGATCGGGTAATGTGAGTCTTCGGAAAACGCATGCACAAACGAGGTTTGCAGCAATCGACGCGTCGTACCTTTCCCATCTTTTGAGCACCTTTGCCGATCCCAGTAGAAATCGAATATAAAACACCCGCTGGCAAAGCCCGGTTACGCGGGCTCGATGTCTAATTCGTGTCCAAAGGCAAGGACCAAAAGCACCTCCGCTGAGTACGCTTACAGGTCGTTATACTAAGCGACGGCAGCCTAAGCAGGATAACTGTGGAATTCCCCTATCCAAGCGTCAAGACGACCGAGTCCTTGTAAGTACCGTCGGAGGGGCTGTCTCAAGGCCGTTATGCTTATTTCCTATTTCTACACTATATAGCAGGCCGAAAAATCATAGCAATTTGGACGGAGGTGAAAGCATCGGTCATGTTCGTTCACATAAGGCCTACCAACTGTCAAAAAATGCCAGGGAGATATGACGCAATCCTAAATTATTGTGTACCAGGAGACTGCACGCTTCTAGTTGGTTTTTATAAATAGCACTTAACGGTATCTAGCAAGCGTTGTCGGTTGGGCTGAGTTTCCTTTTGCAGCGATCACATATTGCTGGTTGCTTGCTTTCTAACTTTGTAAGACTTTGCAAGTATCATTTTTTGATTATGGCATCTGAATACGGCGATGACGCTGACGGCGGCGTGGCAGCCGAAGTTACGCAACGATATGGTCGCTCAGCGCAGCCCGAATCGCAGCAAGTTGTTGCAGTGCTGCAGGCAGTCACGGATGTTATTCGAAATGAGGGTTTGCCGCTCAGTCCAACTAGCTACTTCGCCGCCATCATGTCGGCCCTAGAACAGCCTAGTACACAAGGTTCGCACCAGGTAAACACCGCCACAGCAAAAGCGCCTCTGTGGATTCCTAGCCGCAAAGGTAGTGTTTGGAGCTGCGGTTTCCGCTAATCCACCTATCCGGTCCCCCGGGCCAACGGCCAACTGCCAAAACTAACACCCCTTGCTTTCCTAACCCGACTAACTTTACAGGTGGTATTGGCTATGTTAACGCTGTTGGCGGTGGTAATGCCACGGCTGCCCAACCATGTGCTGCGTGCCCGCTTTGTGGGTTGCTCGGAGCTGGTGGGTTCGCTGCTAGCCGCTCACCACGGCGACGCAGCAACAACAAAGGCGGCGCTGGGCTGCCTGGCGCAGGTAGGACCGTCCTCTTGTCAGGTGCTAATCAGTCCTTGACATGCTGTTGGGGTCTTTGTCAAAGTCTTTGAGCTGTCGCCAAGGACTCACTATCGCCATGCCAGCCGCAAATAGGCCGGGGCATAGGAGGGACACCCAGGGGCATTCATGTGGGGCAGGCGTACATGGCGTTGGGGAACGCGTGCATCCACGCAGAGGGAATACACAGTACAAACCCAGCTCGTCACAGCTCACAATCCATGTGCATGAATCCGGGATTATCCGACGCCCTGCATGCATGCGCTCCCTCCGCAGCGCCATGTAAAGTCGGCCCAAAGCATGCTGGGCTTTGGCTTTTAGTTCATATCACGATGGCTCCAGCACCTGCTGTGAACCGGATCTACTGGTTGGGGTAGCGAGTTATCGACAACGCAATAACGACAAAGAAGTAGCGTCAGCGAAATTTCTAATCGTGGAATTGGTGGACAATGAAGTGCCATGTACATGGACAGATGACAGAGTTATCTGTTCAGTCGTGCCCTTGCTATTCAAGTGCCTCATATGCACGCAGCCCGCAGCCCCAGAACACCCCTGCACCTTCCTAGCCCCCGACCCGTCATTCCACTAACTTCCCCATTTCCCCCCGTGGCTACCCCCGCCACCACTGCCTTCTCACGACAAAGGTTTTGGCAGCCGCGGATCCGTCCGCTTGGATAGCTGCAGTACCGGCCTTCAATCAGATGCTGGGCTTTGTTGCCGACGCGCGTCCCAAGGTGCGCGTGTGGGTGTACGCTGGTTTCTGGGTCGGTATGTCTCTATGTCTGTTGTCGGTGGGTGGACTCTATAGATGGGGGTTGCAGTTGCGTGGTCTCTGCGTGCATCCGGATGAAGAACAAAGGGGACAGACGACGAAGGGGGTTCCCCTTCAGGGGAAGCGCTGTGAGATAGTTAGTTTGTATTGTTAAACAATATAAACGACATTCTCTAGGAGAACTCCGTTGTAGCTTCCTACTAAAACCTGGGAGTACGGGGACGGAGAGGGGCAAGGGCGCCAAGGGCTCTGCGTTGGTGTGGTCTGGCGGGTGATGACGTGTGAGGTGTACGGCCAGTGGTGTGTAAAGCTGTACGCATAGCGCTCAAGGACATGGTTGGCGGCGCTCGTCCACTATTTTGCATCATCATCGTCATCATCAGCAGCATGTGCCCTGCCTCGAGGGTGCAGGTTCGCAAGCGGGCGGTGGAGGGGCTTGTGGAGACCCTGGCGAGTCTGCAGAGGAGTCCGGCGCTGGGGGCAGCCAGCGAGCTGGTGCTCAAGGGTATGTGGGTGCGGTCTGTGCGTGGGATGGGGTGGGTGGGTGGGTGGGGTGTCTGGGGTTTGCTGGTGTATGACGGTGGGTTCTGGTGGATGGATGGGTCGGTGAGTGGGTGTGGCACGACGGGGATGTCTGGAGTCCAGGAAGAGGTACACACGCGAACCCATACAGATAGACAGACAGGCTGACTGACAGACCGACGGTCACTCTGCCAGTCGCCGCACACTCCAGGGTTGGTATGAAAGACCATTAAAGCACATATGTATGTCTGGCTACCTGGCTGGCGGGTGCTGCCAGCAACAGCCCAAGCAAACGTTGTCATCAGCACGGAGGGCATATGAGGGAGGGTGGGATGCCCGGGGGATGAGGGGAAATACACAAATGTCGTGTGTGTGTCTGTGTGTGCAGAATAACGGAGCATCGGTATCTGGATGAAGCCAAGCCCAGGACACCAAGGTTACATCTGCCATAGTGTACCTTTTCCTCCCACTCGACGGGCTGACCCCTTCCCCTTCCCCTTTCGACGGGCTGACCCCTTCCCCTTTCGCCCTACTTAGGCCTCCTTGTCGTTCCCTTGGAAAACCCCTTTCGCTTCTCCCATTGCAGTTTGCCAGCGGGTGCTTCCAGGGCCAGCTGCCGCCGCACACGCCGCCGTCGCCGCGTCCAACAAGCAGCGGGCCGCGGCCGAGGAGGCCATCACCACTGCGGTGGCGGATGCGCTGCACCTGATCGGGGCACTGAAGGGGGCGCTGCCGCTGCTGGCGCCGCCCACTGCCAAGGTAAAGGCGGCGGGAAGGGGGGCCGGCGGGAGTAAGGGGGAGAGCGGGCGGGGTGTGGAGGCTAGCCCGTATTCGGATGATGCCTTAGCTTTCTGTATTGGTATTTATGTGTGCGTGTACATGTGTGTGGAAGCTATATAACTTGGCCGGAGAACTTGATGTTGGTAACCCTAGGGGGCAGCTACCTGAGGACCTGATGTTGGCCAGCCAGGGGCCGGAGATGAGCTCCCTCAGCTGAGCCTGACATGACAGGATACCGCCTCCGTCTTCCGGAAGCACTCTCCGAAACCAACCGGGTGGTGGGGGACGACAGAGAGAGCTCAAAGGGCATTGGACGCAGTTCAGTCTCTACATCCTCCCCTTCCCCAGGCTGAACCCCCTCAATACGTCGCCGCGATGACTACTTCCCAAGTCACTACCGGTTGGTAACTTATTACCATTTCCCTCTGCAGTGTTTGTTTATTCCTGGAGTATCCGTCAGTGATGCTAATCTGGTATTTGCATCCCTCGTCTCTGGGTTCGTCTTCCCCCGCGATATCTTGTGCTTCGCCTGCGCGTCCGGGTGCTATTCGGGTGATTACCCCCCATACCCCCAACCATTCCCCACGCCCTCCTCTTCCTCTGCTGGCCCCCTCTCCAGGCTGTCTCTGACCTCCTTTTGAAGCTGTACGGCCTCCGTCAGCCCCTGCTGGACCGCCACGCCACGGAGGCCCTGGCGGCCCTGGCGGGAGCCTCGGGTCCCGGGGGAGTCGCCTCGACCCGCCTGCAGTCGGCCGGGGAGCTGTCCCACCTGATCTCGGTAGGGGCTGCCTGAGGGCTGGGGGCTGGGAGTTGTGGGGGTGGTAGGGGGATTTGGGTTCCGCCCCGTACTGGCAACCCGTTTACTGGCTGCTTGCACTCTTGATTCATTTAGCGAATACAGCAGAGATGTTACTCGCGATGGCCCCCACACACGGGCAGTTGTTCAAGATGCGCTGGGAGATCAGCAGTTGGTGTTCTGCGGGATAAATGGCACGCCGATGTCCCCTCCCGAACCCATCAGCTCCACTCGTTCGTGGTTCGTCTTCATCACCCAAATCCCTAACAGCTTCTTTCCTTCTCCCCACCCTCTTTGGACTCCTACTGCAGCGGGTGCTTTGGACGTGCCGCCCTCCCCCTCCGGTTGCTTCTTCGAGTTTTGTATTCCTTTCTCCCCCCAGTTTCATGCATGTAATGCCGCCGCCCGTTCCTGCCACCTGCTGCTCCCCTTCCCCATGTCCACCACCATCACCACCTGCCCCCTCCCGCCGCACCTAGGTGGTTACTGATACGGAGTCGCTGTGGGTGGGCAGTGGCCGGGACCCGGGGTTGCTCACGGCGCTGGGAAGGCTGCTGGAGGTGAGAGGGTTCGGGGGGAGGGAGAAAGGGGGAGGACACCCCTCAGAACAATCATATCTGCGGCAGTAGGTTCCCGTTTGGCATGCGCGTTTCCCCGCTCTGACACACAAAGGATGGACCTGGAATGCCCCTGCTGCACATCATCATGGGCCAGCATTATTCGAGAGTAGAGCTGAGGTGTTCGGTGTGTGTATGTCGTTAGGCCGTGTTGTACCGCCGTCTTGTTGCCGATGCTTGTATGTATGTACGTATGTGTGCGTGTGTGTGTTCGTGACCTGACCAGGCCGGGTTTTCCAAGTTGGCCGAGGCGGATCCCGCGGCGTGTGCAGCGCGCCTGCCACGTGCCGTACACGCGCTGGTGCCGCAGCTGGTAGCGGAGCAGGATGGCGTTCGGTACGGCACCTTTGAGGTGAGAACCCGTGGGTTGTGTGGTGGGGGGAGGTGAGGGGTTTCCAAGCAGGATTACACAAAACACAGCGGCGAACAGCGGCCCCTTGAACACCCTCACACACACAAACTTACTGTCGTGCTGCTACGGAGATGCTTTCATCAGTTTACCTGGAGTGCCGAATGTCCCTCAACCTTGCCCGAGATTTTGGAAACCCCCTCTTATTGCAAATTCACACCGAGCCACACAGGCTCTTCGCGGCCTGATCTCGGACTGCCTCAACCCGCAAGTGGTTGCGGCCGCCAAGATGCCTCGCGGGGTGGGGTCCGGCGCTGCTGGCGGCCCTACGCCGCTGTCCTCCCTGGTATTGGCGGTCGCAGCGGCGCTATCAGCTAGGTACCAGGATGCATGGGGCATGGCGTTGCCGGGTAGGTGGCGGCTGGCGGGGTGGGGCGGGGCCCGGGGACCGTAGGGGGCTTTTGCCTGAAGGGGGTTGGATATAGGGCGGGGTGTGCTTCCTAATGGCCTGAGCCGCGGGCAGGAGTTGTGAGGATGTCACACGGGGGCGACTGTGCCCTAGCCCTGAAGGAAGTAGTCCGGTACTGGAGGTGTGGAGTGATGTGGTGTGTGGGCGCTGTGAGGGAGTGGGGGTGGGGTAGGTTAGGCTGGGGTGGTGCATGCCCAGTTGCCGACGCGCCGTTAACATGCCATTAGCATGCTAATACGTTCAGTTGGTGGTGCACGGGCACTGATGGCGTTTGCTCGCATGAACGGCCACGAAATGGACGGCCATCATGTTTATTACTCCTCGTTACTCGCGCCGCTCTATGGGCGTCTAATAGCTTTTGTCGTCGGTTGTATATCGTCGCCTTCACCGTTGCTCCTACGACGTACGAACCTTGAAGACATCAGTTTATGTCCCAACATCAAAACGATGCGTACGACATGAAAGGCTCCAGCACCTCCCCCACAAGCAGTTTGTTACTTTGGTGACGTCGGCAGTTGGCTCCTCCTTCCCCCCACCTTGCTTTTTGCAACATGTGATTCACACCAGAGCACTTGGCGCTTTGGTCGCCGCCAGTTGCTTATTTACTCTCAACACTTTCCAGCATTTTTTACCTTTACCATTTAAGGTGCAGTCCTCCCCCCTCCTCCTCTCCCTCTCCCTAACCGCGCTCTCAGTGGCTGGAGCTCTGGTGGAGAGGTTGGGTGAGCTGGGGGTGCCTGACGCCGCCGCACCGATCCTGGAGTGTCTGGGGGCCATAGTTGCGGGCGCAGAAGACGTCGCCGCTGCCGCCGCCGGTGCGGACGAGGGGGGTGCCGACGGTGGCGGCGAGGGCCGTCTGGGGGGGCCTGTGGATGCTTCCCATTCGCGCGCGGCGGAGGCGACGCTGGGTACGGCGATTCGGGCGCTGGGTCCGGAGGTCGTGCTCCAGGTGGGCGCGTGGGTGTGAAAACTGGATGGATGGATGGGTGGGTGGGGTCTGTCGTCGTGTGTGTTGGTCATAGTCTTGTGGTGGGAGAGGCGTGTGGAAGGAGTGGCGAATGATGCTAGATATGAAATCGTCTTCGTAAAGCTGATTCAGGACTGTTCATTACTTGCAGGTAGTCTACTCGCATGTTGAGCCCCTCTCCGCGGAGGCCACCTCCCGCAAACAGTTCTCCACAAGCCGCCGCTGCTGCTATTTGCTGCTGCTGTTGCTGCTGTCAGATCCCATCCTCCGCCCCTTGTGACCTGCCATGTCCCATTAATGATCGCGTGCAGCTGGGGTTGTTTGCGCTTGGAAAGAGGATGTGCGGGGGGGCTGTGCCACCCTCCCGTTGGGTGACATGCCGCGTGTTTGATAGGTTGCTCCACCCCTGGTTGCTTGCGGCGTTGGACATCGGCATCTGACCCTGTGCTTCTTGCATATGATCCCCCTCCCCGTCATTCCGGGTACGGCTGTTGCCTTGTTGCCGTACAGGTGCTCCCGCTGCAGATCCTGGAGGGCTTGACGGGTACGGCAGAGCCGCGGACCTGGCTATTGCCGCTGCTGCGGCGGCATGTACGACAAGCTCGGCTGGGCTACTGGTTCAAGGTGCGGCAGTGCGGGAGATGTGCGGAGGGGAGTAAGTGCTCTAGTCGGTGCGTGCCTCCCTGCCTCTTGCGTAGTGTAGCACGCCTAGCCGTACAAGGTGCCGTGCAATCTCTTCAACCAAGTTTTCACACCTCCCTCACAAAGCGTGCACATATCTCATCTCCTGCTCCTCAGAAATGAATTTGTCCTCTCGCTGCTTCTCATTTTTTCTTTTTTCTCCTACAAGTAACGACGGGACGTTACTGCAAGCTAGTGGATGACAGGGACCTATCCCAATTTTTGGCGTTCCCACGTCGATTTCCATGAAGCCAGATCGCCCTGCCGCCCTGCCATTCTCCCTTTCAACCCCCACCCCTGGTACACTCTTGCCCTGGCAGCAGCTTCACTCGTTTGTGGTTCGTCTTTCCCCACCCCTCCTCGGACGTTGGCCGTTAAAACTTCTTTGTTACTTGGTTCCTGGCACAGGGTTCCCCCGCCTTCATGTAGTTGCTCTGGCAGCTGACATTTGGGGCGTTGGCAGTTGATTTTCTTTTACTTTTCTGTGCCTTTTGTGCCTTTCTTTGCATCACTTAATTTTCCCCTCCTCGCACACCCGCTCTACACGCCCTCCACTGGCACACACAGGAGCTGCTGCCCCTGGCCCAGTCCCTGGGTGGCCGGGCAGCTGCGCTGTCCGCTGCCGGGGGCGCACCCGCAGCCGCGCTGGCGCTCAAGTGCCGAACGTTGGAGCTGCAGGTGCGGGTGTGTGTCTAGGGGGGGGATTGGACAACTAGTTAGGGTGTTGGCGGATTGGGTTCATCATTCGGAATGGGAGATTTCCGAGGGATGGGGAGATTTCCTAAGGTGTAGAGCTGGGGTTGTGCTTTCCTGTCCTTTTTTCTGTTTTTATTTTCAAAACTCTTTCTCCCATCGCCCCGCTCCGGCCCCCAGATCTGGCACTGCCTGCCCGCCTTTATAAGTTGGGCCACCGACCTGCCGGACGTGTACGGCACCGTGGTCAACACTTTAGCTGCGGCCTTCAACAACCGCCCCGACCTGCACCCACCTATTTGTCAGGCGCTGCAGAGGGCTTGTGCACAGGTGGGATGCGTGGCGTTGCCTGCTTGTTGGGTGTGTGTAGATGGGAAGTACATCTTGACATTCATTTGCCCAATGGTCTGCACACGTTCAGATGCTGATGCCCGAAACCTTGGCAGGGATATTTGCTTGGCTCCAACGCCCCCACTCCTTACTCTCCCTTTCTTGTACGTTGTCAAATAAGGGAGAGTAAGGAGGGGGGCCGTTGGAGCCAAGGCCATGTCGCGACCGAGTTAATGGGCATCAGTGTTTGATTGTGCACTGATCAGGGGGCAAACTGGAATCTGGAATCTGGCAGCAATTATCAATCAGCGCCCATGCGCGGCACTTCACCCGCCGCCCCAAGGCACAGTCCCATGTCCCGTCCTTACGATGCCCCGCTTTACTTCGCTGCGCTTTGAACCACGCGCCGCGTCAGCTGGTTGCAGAGTTCTAAAGTCGTGTTTACCATCCTGATGAAGCTTGATGTCCGCCTGATGTTTTTTTGGGGGGTGTGTACGGCACAGGTACGGCACGTGCTCGTGGCTGACGGGCGCGGCCCGGATTTGGTGGGTTATGCTGATCCAGCGGCTCACGGGCCTAGCGGCGCCGCCGCCGGCCGGGGTGGCGGCGGCGGCGATGATGATGACGATGATGGCGGCGACGGTGACGCTGGAGAGGAACCCCCCGTGGCGGCGGTGCACGGCGGCGCGCCGCCGCCGGGGTACGGCGCTGCGGAGGCGGAGGCAGCATTGACGGCGCTACGCGCCTTCAACAAGCAGTGGCTATCGGTTTTGTGTAAGGCCTTTCTGAACTCAGAGCCCGAGGTTCGAGGGCCTTATGCGGCCGCCATTTCGGCCATGTCAGCTGTGACGGATGCGGGCGTGGTGGGCGGATACTTCCGATCTGCCCTCCAGAAGCTATCCAAGGTGGGGGCGGGGGAGCGAGACGAGAGGAAAAAGAGGAGAGCACGGGAGAGGCTGATGCAATAGGTGAACACGATGTGCAATTTTGAAGTGCGCGCGCACCTCTTCACTGCCCCGCCTCTCACCCGAGCTTCGGCAGTTGATTCCTTGCCGCTTGCATCGTCATCACATGACTTGCACCACCTTTCCACCGCAGATCATTCTGGACGAAGCTGCCCCGGTGCCGCCTGCTGACGTGGTCACGGACGGCGGCTCCGACCCGACGGACCGCCGCAACACCTTTTTGGAGCTGGCGTTGTGGCTCAGCTACGGCTTGCCGGACACCGCTGTGGATGTGCTGTTCAAGGTAGGTGCTGACCGTCCATGGACGAACTGGCTTTCCCCCCGCAACTTATTATGCGCAAAAATTGTAACTTGTTTAAGGTAGGATAGCTAAGTATATTTTACCTGGTGTGACGTGGCGTACATGGGACACCGCTGAAAATGATCTATCAGCATCCTCCCACCGTCGTCCTACCTACCTAACCACCTAACCACCTTACTGCCGGTTTGCTGTCAACCGTTCTTTCACACAGGCCGTCAAGACAGCAGTATCGTACGACCAGGCCTCCGTACAGAAGCGCGGATTCAAGGTGTTGGCAGTGTTGGCAGAGGCGAGGGAGCCCTGGTTGCGGACCAACCTGGCGGAGGTGCTTAAGCAGGTACGACACGCGACATCCTTGTACAGCACACCCTTGTACGGCATTTCCGGATGAGCATTGCTTTGCCGAACGTGGCCTTGTTTACAGCACGGGTGGTCTCGGGGGGGTTGTCGGGCTGTGCCATGCAAGGTTGCTGCTCTCTCGCCGAACGAGCGGTCTTGCTGTTCGGAGTGGCGGGTTTGGATAAGGAGCAGCAGCAAGATGCCTCCCGCTGCTCCCCCCACCCGCACCTCACCCACACCCTCCATTTCTTCTCCAAGCACGTGAGCAAGGGAACGGGAATGGGAATCCGGCGGGAGGCCTCGTGATGATGACGAGTACTGTCAGGGAGTCGTGACCGCATGTAGTTGCCTGTCTGCCCCTTTTCGTTAAGGCACCACCTTACGAGGCATTGGAGGGAGGATGCGATTGGCGCTTGCCGTCTTCCCCAGACAACAAGCCCCGCTCTCTCCTTTCCCTCGCTCCACGCCGTCAGATGCCCCTTGCCTGCTTTTCCTCCCTCCCTCCAGTTGCTAGGCACCGGAGCGACCTCCACATTGTCCGCAGCTCGCCGCTATCGGTTGCGACTCATTCGACCGGTCGTTGTGGCGTTGCAGCAGCCGGGAGTGGAGGTTCCGTCAGGGATACTGGCAGCAGCGGCAGGGGGTGGTGGTGGTGAGGATCAGGATATGGCGGGGGCGGACGATGATGACGACGACGATGATGATGATGATGGCGATGGCAAGAGGAAGAGGGCAAAGGCGGCTTCGCCGCTGGCGCAGCGGCGGCAGTTGGCGGCGTCGTTGATTGCCGAGATTGTCATGTGCACTAAGGAGGCCAACAAAAAGTGGGTCACTTGTTGGACTCACTTCAGTTCTCATCGTCTACACGTTTATGTTTTTTTGTTTCCATTAGATTTGTTTCCAAAAAAGAACCTTTAGGTGTCCCTGTTTGGACTTTAAAACATTTTTAACTGGCCGGGGTTGCCAACTTTCCTAATGTGTGGCTTTGGGATTGTTTTTCCTGCGCGGGGGGGGGGGAGATGGCGCAGCGATTTCGACTTTTTCAAACGGCGCCAAAGGCCACCCACCATTTTTTCATATACCGCTATCTGCGTTGGTTGGTGACATTTATTGGTGTATTGTTCAGTGGTTAGGATCGGCTTTTATGTGTTGGCGGCGATTGTTGTTATAAACTTTGTGTACTTTTGGGTGGCGGTCGCGTGGTTTATGCCGTGTGCTTGTGTCGTCATACACATTCGCAGGACGCGCTCGGCCGCGTACGACTTGCTGGTTGGCCTGGCGCACGTGATGGACGAGCAAGATCCCGGCCGGATCACGGGCAGCGATGATGAGGGCGATGATGACGCCATGGAGCAGGACGGTGGCAGGGGAGGCAAGGTACGTGGGTGGGTATCGTGTTGTGTGTAGCTGTTCCACTAGACCCCTGCTGCTGCTGCTGCTGCTGTGAAACTGGTAAAAAGGTTTTCTATTTCCTTCCTTTTTTTCTTCTTGGCGATTATGAATTTACGGCGGGGCTAAGAACAGCTTGAGCCGTCGTCATCCAGGTAAATCATCCCAGCGCAGCGCCGCAGCTTCCAACATCCATCCGGCTGCTCGCAGCAACAGATATACATATCTGCACACGGCGACATAGTCTCGGAGGACCTGCGGGGGGGAGGGGTTCGCTCCTCAGGTTGAAACTAATTAATACGCAATTTATATTTTTCAGTATAAGAGTATGCAGGTGTGTCTGTGAATTGGGTTTCCCTTGTTCTCTTCTCCCCCTCACTCCCAGCCTCCCCTCCCCCGTTTTGAATCTCTCTAGGGAGGGCTGTATGAGTTCTTCACGATGGTGATGGCTGGTCTGGTGGCCTCCACCCCCCACATGGTATCCGCCACGGTGATGGCCCTGGCTCGACTCACGTACGAGTTTGCGGCGGCCATGCAGGTGGGTGGGTGGGTGGGTGCGGTGGGGGATTGCGATGCGGTGTGCAAGTGCCATTGCTGATTCCCCAAACTGGGCGGCTGGCTGAGGGCTCCGGGAGGAGGGGAACTCAGGGCGATCACTTGGCTCCGGCAGCTGGGGGGTATAGGGGCTCCAATGCGGGGAGTTATTCCCCTCTGCCCAAACCCGACCTAAGATACTTAAGTGCATTTCCAAATATGTGCGTGCATATGTGTATAAGTATATTATTTGCGCGGATGGCGAGCGCGGGGCACCAGAGCTTAACGCATCAATCACTCGCCAGTACCTGGTGGGTCGCCGGTGCTACTGCTGCTGGGTGCTGGTCCGTCCTTTGCTCTCTCCTCCCCCTCCTTCTTTCCATGGCAGCAGCTTTACTCGTTCGTTGTTCGTCTTTCCCCCTCTTCCTCCCCCCTAATCCCCTGATCCCCGACTCCCCCTACCACCATTAGAACTTGGTGGCCTCGTTGCTGCCCCCGGTGCTGTCACTGCTGCGGGGCAAGGCAAGGGAGGTGGCCAAGGCGGTGCTGGGCTTCGTCAAGGTGGGAGGGAGGAGGGTGGAGACCTCTTGAATGGGTGGGATGGCGGGACTGCAGTCCCGTTTGTATGACCCTTTGCACACCCGCCAACACTGGCCCAGCCCGGGAAGCGATTAGCGGGTGTGTGACGGTGGGTGGGTACATGCCGGGCAGTGAGTCAGCACTACACATTCCTCAAACGGGTGCAATGTTCACGTGCAGCCCGGCCATTGCCCACGTTACACATTACCACACTTACATCAACACGCATACGCGGGCTTGTGTTTCTCGGCACAGGTCGCTTTCGCTGACACATGCAGTATTGAAAATTGTTTCATCGGTTTCTCTCCTCGTTGTCGCTGGCTTTTTTGACGTGGCTAACTTCGCCGTCTCCTCTCAGCGCCGTCCCCCAAAAAACAGACGCGCTGAACGTAAAGCAAGCTACCATGTTTGAGACTTGAGCTCATGTGCACATTGGCATGTGGGCCATCCGTAGCTGGCGTGAGTCGTGCTCGTTCGGTACTTGTACGGGATTTGCAGGTGTGCGCGATGCGTCTTCCCGTGGATCTGCTGCTGCCCCATCTGAAGCCCATCCTGGAGGGCATGTTGGTGTGGGCGGAGGACTCGAAGAACAAGTTCAAGCTTAAGGTGCGATCGGGGGAGGGCACGAGTGCGGGTGTCGGGGCTTGGGCGTGGAAGTTGTGTATTCCTTTCTCACCCTCCGTCCTTTTCCTTTAACCCCTGGGCCCCCAATCCCCCAATCGCCTTGTCCTCATTACAGGTCCGTGTCATCGTGGAGCGACTGGCTCGCCGTTGTGGCTTCGATGCGGTGGCTGAGGCTATGCCCCCCTCGGACGCCAAGCTGTTGGCGCACATCCGCAAAGAGGCCGCCAAGAGACAGCGCCGGAAGCATGAAGGAGGCGGCAGCGAGGCGGGCAGCGAGGTGCGCCGTTGTTGCGCCAGATGTTGCGTCGTATGCTGCGGCCGTACATGTACGGTGTGAAGCTATTATCCGCGACTGCGATAGATTCTGCGCCTAAACTGGTTTGCATGAGTGCATGCGTGGCGGGTTTTGCCTGTGTTCCGGCCTGTCAGCGCCCCGTACCCTCCAGCGCCCCGTACCCTCCCTCGACCTCTACTTAGCTATCTTCTTTCCTTTCTTTTTTCTCTTCTTTCCTAACTTTTCTTCTTCTTCTTTCTCTCCAACTTTTCATTCTTCTCCGCAGGCGGGCGACGATGACCGGCGATCTCGCCGCAGCGGTGCCAGCAGCGGCCGCAGCTCTATGGCCCGCACCGCCCGGGGCTCTCAGTGGGGCCACACGGCCGTATTCTCCTCCGAGGAAGGAGGAAGTGACGGCGGTGGCGGCAGAGGCGGAGGCGCAAAGTGGGTTAGGGTTGGTTTTGTGGGCGTGCCCACGCCTTCGCCTTCGCTGTCCTGTGCACGTCTGATGCAGTGCGAGCTAGCTAACGCCGGTCTATCGGCCTGCTTGTGGGTCGGTCAGTACGTCTCGGTCGGTACATCGGTTTCTGTCGGTCCGTCGCTAAGGAGCGAGGGTTCGCAAGAGACGGAGGGCTCCCGCACCGATTGTGAGGACTGGCATGGGGCTGCCCGCTTGCCCTCCGCCCAAGCTCTTCTTCAGCCTCCTCCCGGTTAACTGTTAATTTCGCCTCATCTCGCCCTTGCTGCCACAGGAGTACCAAAAGCGGAGGGGGACGTGGCGGCGCGGCGTCAGTGGCGACGGGTCGCGGCGGCAGCGGTGTACGGCTGGCCAGCGGCAGCGGCGACCCGATGGATTTGCTGGATGTGGGGGCATCCCGCCAGCTGGTTCGCAGTGCGGCAGGTGGGCGCTGGACGTGAGGGGAAAACCGGATGCAGGGGAAGGTCCAGTTCAGGGGAGGGGTGGAGAGCAGTTGAGTTTGCACCGGAGGCCCCCCAGACACCTTCAGCAAATGATGTTTCTATACATCTCGATCAATGCCCCGTGCCGAATCATTTACGTTTACTCCCGATGTTTACTCCTACGCATATTTATCCGCCAGCCACTTCCTTGCTTTGCGTTGCGAGCAGCTGCCAACAGTCTGCTGCTGTGCATTAGCGCGTGTGTGTGTGTCGTCCACCATACACTTGCAGTTGTAGCTCTATGCCTCTGTTGGTCTCTCTTGTCTCACAACCCCGGACAAATCATTGGCTTGTGCCACAGAGGAGCGACCTCTTTGGATGAAACGGGCTATACTGGCTGGACGTATCGTAACCTTGCTTTTGAGAAGGGTTTCTGCCTTACTTGAGCTTCTAGCGCTGATTTCCAACTGGTTCTGCTGTCCAGGCTTTGTACTCGGTGAACCTCCCCCATGTATATCGGCTAACAGTGGACTTGATCTGATAACGTAACTAGAGGCGGAAACATACGGTTTAAGGTTGTACGGTGTGTGTTACACATAACCCCCACCTTCTCGCCTTTTTATTGTCAGTGCTGACTGTCCGGCTCTTCTGACACTCTCCGGCTTGTGCCGTTGCCGTCCGGTTGTTCAGGTGCGCGGAATGCAGGTGCATCCGCCCGGGCTGGCGATGACTTCAAACGCGACCCGGCCTCGGGCAAGATCGTGATCAAGGATGATGATGAGGATGGCGGAGATGACGACCCGCTGGGACTGGGGCGCCGCGGCGGGAAGAAGCGCCGACGCGCCGGCGACGCCGACGGGTACGACAGTGACGACTCGGACTACGATGACCTGAAGGTACGCTTCCGCAGAAAGAGGAAAAGTTCAGCCTCCAGTCCCTGGGAGGGGACAGGTTGCGTGGTGGTGTCGCCTGCTCCCACAGCTTCAGTCGGTTCGGTGGCCGTGGTTTATCGGGATAGGGAAAGACACTGACCTGCCTGCTACCGCGCATGCTGCCACTGGTGCTGTTGCTGGTGCTGCAACTCACTCATTGTCATTGCTGCTGTCACTGCCACTAAGTCCCTGCTTACTTTTGTACCTAACGCTGACAAATCGACACGTCTGTGCCCAGGGTGTTGCGGACCTCAAGTATGCCCTGAAGAAGGCCGGGGACTCGCGATCCGTGCGCTTCGCGGAGGCCGCCAAGTCGCTGGCTGGGGCCCGGTCCGCGGCGGCACGCAGCTCCGGCGGTCGCTCCTCCGCCAGCGCTGGCGGTCGGTCTGAGGGCGGCAGGTCCAGCGGGGCCCCTGGAGGGGGGCCTCGCGGGCGGCAGGACGGCAAGGGCGGCAAGGGCGCACACAGCGGCGAGAGGTTCAAGGCCAAGAATGCATCGGGAGATGTTAAAGGTGGGTTGGTGGCGCGGAGTGGACGGTTTACTTGTTCCAAATATTTCGCGCTGTCTCTTGAACCTGTAACGACATGTAATGTAAAGATGCCCGATCCGGTGGTGCGGCGGTAACTGCGGTGAATGTACTTGCAGGCAAGGCCAAGGTGGAGCCATACGCGTACTGGAGCCTGGACCGGCGCATGCTCAACCGCCGCCGGGGCAAGCAGGTGCGTGCTGTCCAGTAAATTTGGATGATGAGCAGCATGGTGACAGAGGGGGGGGCCGGGGTAAATTATCTCGTGCGTGATCAGATATGGAAGGACGTCGGATTCCATGCGGATCGCGTCCGAATTAAATCGGGTATGAGTTGTCCGTGGTCGTGGTTCGCAGGCTGTCGCCGTGAACTGACCGCAAGTTTGGGGCTTATGGGTTCGCGGGAATTTCGGTCCTTTGGATTTGGGTCGAACCTTTTCACTCGAGGGGTAAGTGAGGAGGCATCCGACGTTTCCGCTGCTAAGTCATTCCAAGCCGTCATCCTTGATGGGGAGTTGGGCTAACGGCGCGGGGCCCTGGAGGGTCCGTGAACGTCCTGGAATCCAGTTTCCACATACTCCTGTATGTGCTGCCGCTGGCCCCCTACCTGTTATTTATCTTCTTTTTTCTTTCGCTGGGGGCACTTAGACCTCGGCTTTTATGACCTCGGCCGTCACCACATGCCACCCTTGCACAGGCCGCCGCGTCGAGCAAGCTTACGTCCGTCATTTCTGGTGCCAAGGTGCGTGTGGGGGATTTTGCCATCGGCAGAACTTGTTGGATTACTTGGATAACCCCCCGGCACACACCCATGTGCACACTGACCGCTTTTTTATGGCGCTGCCTTCACCGCGATAACATTCGTTGCCTTTTCCCGTGGCTTCAACTCCCGTCCCCGCTGATTTTGGGCTCCCGTCGTCATGTTTCCCTTTCGCCACGCGAAGGCGGGTGCTGCCAAGGGCGCCAAGGCTAAGCGCCAAGCGGCCGCTGCACGGGAGGTGAAGCGGCAGCGTACTGGCCCGAACGACATGGAGTAAGAACGGAAAAAAGCTTCCGTCGCCTCGGGTCGGCTCGGCTCGGCTCGGCGCACTTCACAGGGCTGGCGGCATACAGACCAAGGGAAGGGCCGTACGCTGTAGGGGAAGCTTGGGTTTTGATGCAGATGGGCAGACTGAAGAATATTGAATGGGCTTGCGAGAGGAATAACGTGGCGCAGTTACGGACGTTTAGCAGGATCTTCCCGTGGACGGCAGCCTGTCCGTCGCATTTACAAAGATGTTTTGGACGGGGTTATCCCTCTTCACTTGAGCACCCGCGCAATAGGGGCACATTTGAGGTTGCTGGTCAGCTGTATTTACGGCAAAGAAGCGCTGTTTGTACAGCAGTCAAGAGGCAGAAGTGCACCGCAACGGCGGATGCGATTTTAGGTTAGGGGTTCATTCATGTCAGATGGGATGTGGGCGCGGCTCCACCTCAGGAAAAGCCCTTATCTGCGACACCTTCGGCCGGTGGCACGGCCGGTGCTGGCGTAGATGGCGGGTGCAGCCGTAGATGGCCGCGGAGGACAGCAAACGCCGGGTGGGCGACGGAGACGGCCAGGCCGGCGCAGAGCACCTTGCTTTGCATCTACGTAGCTTGTTTTCTGTTTCTACCAACTGCCTTTTGGAACGAGAGGGGATCTGGAAAAGGCCCAAATGCTGAGCTGGTACCATGTGAGGTCGCGATGTGGGCGTGGTGCGAGTGGAGTGTAGCAGTTGGAGAGGTCGAGGAGACCGGCTCGGCGTGTAGTTTATGAGGGTGCTCCCAGTGATTGAGGCTGCTAGGTGCTTGGCAACACGACACAGCTCAAAAGCTGCCTTGTCACGATCGCGAGAAAAGACCAAACCTCCCGCCCTCGTGGGCTGTTCGTATGGTGTGTCGGACGACACGGGTGCCGGGAAGGGGGGACTTACAGGATATAGACATTTTTTCAAGGGGCGGGCGGTTTTGTTGGGAATGCGGAATCCTGGTCATCGAGTCACGGATGCATGTAAAGCTGGCAAGAAATTCACAAGTTGTCTTGTGATGAAGTAAGGTATCGCCGTTCTTGGCTGTGCCAGTACGTGGCGAAACCGTGGATCTTCGGCAAGGGGTGCGCCTTGTCCGCTCGCCTGGCTTCTACTTTCTTCTAGCACCCACACAATTGGGTCAAGCACGAAATAACCGCATTAGTCAAATTCAGCGGATATAGTTGCCCACGCAGTGTACTGCCTTAGGCATATCAGCGGAAGCTGCATCGATCGGTACTTTTCTGATGTGTAATATAACAGTTGGCATAGAGCAGGTGTCTCCGTTCTGACCTGGGGACGACTCTTCACTGTAGCGTATTACTATGAGCGGGAGGTGGCAGTCCCTGCGTCCTCTGGTTATCCTGTGGATGCTGCCATCGCACAGGGACCCTGAGATAGGCTGAGGTCGAGGACGCCCGCTACAGCTAGAGGGGTGATAATCGCAGTATCCTGGGCATATCACGGGATCTGCATCCGCCGGTCGATGCTTTTCTGAGGTCGTGATACAACACCCAGCCAACCACCTGCTAACGTTCTGCATCATTACATCAACCACAGATTAAGTTGCACCAAACATACCGGCCAGTAAAAAAAGCTTCCCCCACAAAACGGCTTTCACCTGCTGTGCAACCGGCTTCTCCCCCCTGTCTTCAGCCTGCCCTAACAGGGAATGTTCCGGTCTCAACAAAATCCAGCACCTCTGCAGCGCGCTCGCGTTCGCGTTCGCGCGCGCGCGCGTCAGGCGTTGCTCCTAATGGAGTTGCGCTTGTAGGTGGCACCGTTGTACCTCAACACCTCAACTTCCGTAATGAGGCACGCCTCTGGGCCCCTGCTGTTCAATATCTTTCTGCCATAACGCGCGACAATTGCCAAAACATTCACCCCATTTCTCCTGCTCTAAGGTCGCCACGGCGTGCCTCCCGGCTCGCGGTTAACTCTTACCTGGACCCCCTATACTCTCGCCGATGCCGTCTTCGACGTGTGCACGCGTCGCGCCCAGATCACAGCACTAGCAATCCTATTTAATAGCACTCGGAGTAAGGCAGGAAACCAAGCCCTCATGATATAGCAGTTTTTACGATCCAAGTTCAAAGCACTTACGGCCGACAGGCAGACCACATCTCGCACTTTAGTCAAAGGTGGGAACGCCAACTAGAGGATGTGCATTATGGAAATCTTCAACGGCCTCCTTCAGGCCATCTCCACGGTGCAGTCCCTCAAGTGGTGTCGAGGATCTCCCTTCATCAAGCGTATTGCATTAGATGGTTTTCCGGCCTTCCCCACGCAGGGGTGCAGCGCGAAGTGGGAATGCGGTTGCGGTTGCGGTTCGCCCCGTGTGAAGTGCGGATGACGACCGCAACTGCATTCTCAAGTTCACGTTGCACCGCTGCGTGGTGAAAACTATCTAGTGCAAGACGTTAACGATTTTTCCCTTTTTGTGTTCATTATCCCATGGAATTCGCCACAAGGGTGCGGCGAAACTCTTTCAGCTTATATTGAACTATGTGCGATAATAGTTGGCAAAATCACCACCTCGGATTAACCCACAATGCATTTCCTGTGCTCCTGTCTCCCTTAACCGTATTCTTGTGGCTCTGCCGACTCTGACGTGCTGGCTGACCGTGCTTAGAATGGTAGAGACGGGAAACGGGGAGACCAGCTGCCAAGGGTCCTTACACTGCAGCAGAACACAGCCATGGCCAACCACGGCCGCGCGACTGCGGCCCGCCGGCCGCCACACAGCCACCGCGCGGCCCACCAACGTCCCCGTACGGGGTAACGCGCGCGCGACAGAAGGTACACACAAAGCGAACTCAGAGAAACGTCTAACGGCCACCTGCGACCTAACTTCCGGAATCCTAGGAAAGGCCCGGACTGAGGCCCCCCCAGCAACAAGCATCACTCCTCCGGAGCTCCCAAAGGCCCCACTGCTGGGCAAAAAAACACCCAACTCAACGAAACCTACCCCAACCCTCCCCCTGTCTGCCCGCCGCTCTGTCACCTGCCCGCCGCTCGCCGAGCCCAGCGCGGAGGTGTCTGCAATTAAACCAGCGAAGAAAGGGAAAAAAAGAGGGTGGCGCGGGGGTAACAAACGCAAGACTGAGGGGGAAGGCGGGCGGGTAACTGTCAGCTGCGAGCTGAAGCTCTACTGAGTGAAAGCCTGTAACGAAAGAGCTGAAGCGTGATATACTCGCCACTCGAATACGGTTGTAATACACTTATTTAATTATTAATTAACAGAACCATACTAAGAGAGGGCGTGTGTGCTACTTTACCCGAGCTGGATATGGTGTTGAGCTGCTGTTGAATGTCAGCAAAACTATGCCACTCAAACTTATCGACTTAGGGTTGGTGGAATGGTGGCTTACTTGCATATACGATCCTGTTTTTCGCTGGCCGTGTATGACTAATCTAAGCGTGTTTCACGCAAGCTGATCAGTCAATAACAATATTAATTTCATCTACAATATATATTGCTTTTTTGGAACCATTTCTTAGCCAAAACAATTCCACACACATCTGACACCCGAAGGTTCGAAAAAGGTAATTTTCGCAACAACTACCTTACATTCGCTAACGGATGTCCCTTGCTTGTTACTCAGGACAACATATTAATTTCAGAAATGCATTCCTCCCTACAATTCCCTACCTAACTACAAGTTGACGGTGCGTTGACTGCATACTCTATATCCCGAGGTTTATCCAACAACCCTGACTAAGCACAATACTTACATCACCATGGTTATGTCATCCTGCCTTGTCATATAAGCTTGAAACTATCTACCCATAATACCCATATCCACCCGAAACCCGTTAAGCTGCGGCAATTAGCAACGGTCAAGCAGTGCACAACGCCCAGACGCACAAGCCGCAGAACTCGCATCAATTGATACCTTCATTGCTACAGCATAAGTCTCCGTAGATTATGTCCGTTAGGTCAAACTCCTATCAGGCTTTAAAAAAAAGACGAGCTTTCATTTACCGAACCAACGGAACCGGTGCAGGAAGGACGTAACCCAGGAGGAGTAACCCTTCGCCACTAGCTCTCACGGGAATCACAGGCCCACACAACAACCTAGGCCCACCCATATGGCAGCAGAGACTTCGGTGTACTCTCGAGATTTTCATCCTGCTTCACGCCATTCACACTTAACGAATCAATTCACCCTAACAGTCAACGAGCAAGATATTCCGCGCGAATTCGCTTAGTCGACCTCCTCGATCTTGGGGCCAGCGCCGCTACCTCCAGAAGAGGCCCCAGCACCTGGCGCGGGACCGCCAGGCATGCCGCCAGCGCCTCCTTGATAAAGGCGGGTGATGATCGGGTTGCAGACATTCTCGAGCTCCTTCAGCTGGTGCTCGAATTCCTCGACCTCTGCCATCTGGTTCCGCTCCAACCAGTCCATGGCACCCGTTAGCGCCTTCTCCATTGTCTCCTTGTCCGATGCCGAAAGCTGCGAGGCAACCTTGTCCTCGCGGATAGTGTTGCGCATGTTGTATGCTGCATATCCAGAAAACAGAAGCGCAGTCAGCTCCATGTTTGTGACCAGGACGGCATTTTTTACCACGACGCACATGATATCTTGATTGCGACACGGTGACTCACCGTAGTTCTCGAGACTGTTCTTGGCCTCGACCTTCTTCTTCAACTGCTCGTCGTCGGCCTTGTACTTCTCCGCCTCCTGCACCATACGCTCGATCTCCTCCTTGGAGAGACGACCCTTGTCGTTAGTAATGGTAATCTTGTTCTTGTTACCCGTCGTCTTATCCTCCGCCGACACATTGAGAATGCCGTTGGCGTCGATATCAAAAATAACCTGTGAGAAAACACAAACAACAAGTCAGCCATATGTTCGGGTTGTATCCAATTCGGAAATCGGACAGCAAGAGGCTCCGACTCACGTTAATCTGCGGGACACCGCGTGGTGCCGGCGGAATGCCTGTGAGCTCGAATTTGCCCAGGAGGTTGTTGTCCTTGGTACGGGCACGCTCACCCTCGTACACCTGAATGAGCACACCTGGCTGATTGTCAGAGTAGGTCGAGAAGACCTGCTCCTTCTTGGTTGGGATGGTGGTGTTGCGGGAAATCAGCACGGTCTGCAGGGAAGAGAGCGACAGGGACAAGGAAACGAATTAGTTATGTTTATCTTCAGGGTTTTCTTCAGCTGCATTACAACATTTCAAAGGTTGAACATGCAAGTGCAAACACTCAAAGCGGCGCACTCACCATGACACCGCCAGCAGTCTCCAGACCCAAGGAGAGGGGGGTGACATCCAGCAGCAGGAGATCCTGCACCTTCTCGCCACCCTCGCCCGTGAGGATAGCTGCCTGCACTGCCGCACCGTATGCAACGGCCTCATCGGGGTTAATCGACTTGTTCAACTCCTTGCCGTTGAAGAAGTCCTGCAGCAGCTGCTGAACCTTGGGAATACGGGTCGAGCCGCCGACCAGCACGACGTCGTGCACAGTGCTCTTGTCCATCTTTGCATCACGCAGGCACTTCTCAACTGGGTCCATGCACTTGCGGAACAGATCCATGCAAAGCTCCTCAAAACGGGCGCGGGTAATCGAGGTGGCGAAGTCAATGCCCTCAAAGAGAGAGTCAAGCTCAATGGTAGTCTGAGCAGCCGAGGAGAGAGTGCGCTTGGCGCGCTCGCAAGCGGTGCGCAAGCTGTGGGAAACCAAGGGAATTCAAGGGAATTCATTGGCATTGATCAGTTTGTTGCTCGCACTTGAACATGCCTCAAATTAGCCAGAGCATTGCAAAACATAGATGCAAATTTCGTTCAGCACTCACCGGCGCAGAGCACGAGGAGACGTCTTCATGTCCTTCTTGTACTTGCGCTGGAACTCGTTGGCGAAGTGGTTCACCAGACGCTCGTCGAAGTCCTCGCCACCCAAGTGGGTGTCACCAGCGGTAGCCTTCACCTCGAAGATACCCTCCTCAATTGTGAGAAGGGATACATCGAAGGTGCCGCCGCCCAGATCGAAAATCAGCACGTTGCGCTCACCAAGTCCGCTGTCCTTCTTGTCCAAGCCGTAGGCAATAGCAGCGGCCGTTGGCTCGTTGATGATACGGAGCACCTCAAGGCCAGCAATCATACCGGCATCCTTGGTCGCCTGCCAATGGAGTACAGATCATGGGATTCCAAGAGAGTCAATGTCACATCGGTAAGACCTCAATTTAATGCAGCACACTAGCCCTATCTCCCACTTTCAAAAAACCCTCCTGCCCAATATCCCACTTTTTTCTCACCTGACGCTGCGAATCGTTGAAGTACGCTGGCACAGTGATCACAGCCTTCTTGACCTCGCGGTCGGCACCCAGGTAGGCCTGGGCGGTCTCCTTCATCTTGATCAGGACCATGGACGAAATCTCCTCAGCCTTGAACACCTTCTCCTCACCCTTGTAAGTCACTGGAAAGGATTTTACAGGGACAACTAGTTAAAAGACATATCAGGGAGGAAAAGAAATTTACAAGGACAACTAGTCAAAAGACATATCGACACTGCCGCTGGTCGTGGCGACGGGGTTTCACAAATAGTTGTATTTAAAAAACCAGAGTTCAGCCCAGAGTTCCGAAATGTTCGAAGTATGCATAGGTTAAAACACATCGAAAATCCCACACCACTCACCCACAATCTCGGGCACATCCCCAGCCCCAGCGCGGACACCGAAGGGCCAAAGCTTAATATCCGCCTGGACGATGGGGTCTGAAAACTTGCGGCCAATTAGACGCTTGGCATCGAAGACCGTGTTCCTTGGGTTCATAGCCACCTGCAACGTGTATGCGGCGGGTTGTTAGGCACAGAATGAAGGCAACATACACCGAGTGACCAAGCAACGTAGATCCAAACGAGGTTTATATCCTAATGATAACAGCAAAGCTTGAAATCCTAATGAAAAGGAGCTAGCGCGTCATCACCTGATTTTTGGCGGCATCACCGATAAGGCGCTCAGAGTCAGTAAAGGCGACATAGGAAGGAGTAGTCCGATTGCCCTGGTCATTCGCAATAATCTCCACACGGTCATTCTGCCAAACACCCACGCAGCTGCATAGCAATGGAGGGATGGCAGCGCGTGTTAGAACCATCTAGGCAGACCGAATGACGGCTGTCCGGAGCGCATTGCAATTTCTCTGTGCATGGTCATCAGGATGAGCGTAGTTAAGGTACAAAACCGCTCCAGATAACACTGTGCGCTGGGAACCTTGCCAGCACCAGATCCATGCCATGTTCTGGCGGCTCATGATTGTAACATCTGCTAACGCATGTGACTAACCGCAACGAGTCCCAATCTACCTGTAGGTGGTGCCCAGATCAATACCGATAGCAGGAGCCTCACGACCCATTCTCAGAGAATGAAAGTAGAATAAAGCCTTTTGTCTTGTAAAGGTGAAGTCAAAATTGAAAGCCTGATTAAATGATCAAGTGCAGTGCAATGAGCTTGTGGACAAGGCTGCGAGACGCCGGCTTATAAACCTGTAGGCAAGTTCGAGAACGGTCGTTGTACGGCATTTGGGAAGGCGACTCTAGAAGCGGGCGGGGACCGCGTAAACTTGGAAGGTACTAGTACATTTCGTAAAACTCTTACACTCATAAAACCGTTTTGATAACGTACTGAGAACTGTTGTCAGACTATAGCTCGTGTGCGTGCATATGTATTCATAAGCATCCTGAAAAGCACGATCTGAATACGCTGACTTCTTTGAACTCTTATATTTGCAACAAAGCAATTGCGGGATTAATGCCTGTCCCTTTGTATTCAGCACTGGTTTTGAAACAGATCGGAGGTGCCGATCGTGGCCGCTGGAAATGGTCTTGAAGACCGAGAGTCGTTATCGCGACAGCGAGTAACGACTTTCCATTATGTTATTACTGTCTAGCTGTACATTGGGAGGGCTTAGGGGGGCCTTTGGAAGGCGTGAAGCTTAAGAGTCAGTGTTGCAGACTTGCTTCTCCTTTTATTTCATGAAAGGTTTTGGGCGTTAAGTCCTTATAAATTTTGATGCAGGCAGACACATAGATGCCGTGGATAGCTGCGGCTGGGTTCTTGGTCCTGTCCATGGAATGTGCTGTCGGTCAGCACACCGTCGGTTGCCGTCCCCGAACGAAACCAGGCAGTAAACGGAGCTTGTTCATGCTATGAACCTCCCATAGCCCACCACAAGGCAAATGCCAATGATTGCCAGCAGGGTTTGTTGCACCTTGCAGCTTGGGGCCGGCGCTAAAAACAGTCCTTATAAGGCGGTTATCTCTCCTTCCATGACACACTGCTTCCGATAAAGCTTGGCGTCCACGGAACTTAAGAGAAATAAAACGACGATGCATAAGCAGGGAAGTGCATCTGCGCTATTTATATGCTGTGGAGTGTGCCGGGAGGAGAGGAGGGGGCCGGGGCAGGTCCCGAGAGGGCTGCCGATACCCCTGTATTTGATCCCGTGGATCGGCCCGGAGAAACTGACACAACCCACAGATGATTCCTAGCAACCAGTGAAACACAGCTCATGAGGAAGCATACAGATTAGGTTGGCAGCCACTTAGCTGCAAGTGGCAGAGGTCTATTGGAGAAATCAGACGACCAAGCGGCACCCCTTGACCTTGACACCTAGTTGGTGAATTATCTCAAAGCCGTGGCGAATAGGGTACGCCTCTTGTGAACTTGTGCACTGTTGATGCTCACCGACGCCGACTATGTGTGGGGAAGCACGTGGCACGCCAGGTAGTATACGCTGCAGAAGATGTTGTGCTCCTTCCTTGAAGCAGCCGTCAGCAGCAGCAGCTGCTGCTGCTGCTGCTGCTGCATCCATTGCCACATTGCAGCCTGACACCATCTGCTGCTGTTAAGGTGTAAAATATGCATGTGATACGTGGGGTTTATGCACCCGCCAGGGGACGGGACTCGGTCGTTTCTTGTACAGGATGCCATGAAATAGCCAACCATGCCGACCTTCCGTAACGGGACAGAACCGGTCATATGGCTCCTTTTGTTGCACCCCTCTTTGCCGCCCATTCCCGATACCAGTGTCCATAGGCGCTGGGGGTGTCTTTTTTTGTGTTTCGACTATGCCTGACGACGCCTGGCAACGGATCTGCCTTGTCGTGCTGTGTGCATTCGTTTACATATATATCATCAGTTGGTGCAAGAAATCCCAAGAAAGGAGGTGCGGCGGGCCCGGCCGGCCCTAAGGCAAATTTACGAGAATTTACGACCAGCAAATGGAAAGACCCTCTAAGTTAGCAGAATTCCAGAGTTCCACCAAAAGCATATATATAAATGATCTAGTTCTTGGGGGCTGCTCCTCCCTTGACCTTAGCGACGCAAGTACGGCATTGCTGCCCCGGCTGCCCCGGCTGCACCGGCTATGGCGGTCCCTGGAGGCCAGCGACGACATCAGGCAGGGGAACTTAATTGAATGGACCTAATGGTTAGAATCCTTCAGGATACACTGTGTACCCATAGGCGTCGCGGGCATTGGCGGTAGTTAGTTTGGTAGGACAAGACAAGATGCTGCAAGATGTTATGTGCTGTACCGGCCGTACTAACGAGCAACATGTGCCCCCGCAACGGATACCCGTCAAGTTGTAGGGGTACGAAATGCCGTACATCAGCCCATTGAGTGTCTGCCAAGAGATGCCACATTGGAAGAAAGTTTCATGGATGCCTTCCGGTGCAAATAGAATACTGCACTAGTTCTTCGCCCTTTGGTAAGAGGTAAAAGCAATGCAAAGCTGAGGGCTAGCACGAAACAACAACAAGTACGAAACAATATCACGGTATTTACTTTGCATAGGCTGTCGGAATACAGCGTAGGCATGTACTCAGCGCATTTGTTCTGCTTTGGCCGCCATGCGACCGTCCGGCTGCGTGCTCAGGATACCGATAGACGCGCAATATTAATAAACAGGACTCATAAATCGACCGTAAGGTGAGGACTTAAAAGATTCGATGCAGTACTTGCATTTGATTCATAGCCAACTGTATTCAGTTGGTGGTGCTGCTTTGCAAAACGGCTTTGCGTGCACTTGTTGACATGGACCGCGTGAGATTGCACCTGAAGGCTTTGTTTATTAGAAGTTTGCTAGGGGATTATAATTTTGCACCCGTACTGTCTAGGCATGGTGCGTCGGTTGGTTGTTTCCGAATTGTGCGCTTCTGAAGCAGTAGCTTTCACGCTGGCCTTGGATAAGAAACTGCTTAACGGTAATGAGGGACCGCAACTGTTTCCCCAAGCGGGTAGTGCGGGTTTGTGAAATCACGCAGCACATGTATGAATTCTGTTTGGGCAAGCTAGTCTTGGCCATGCTGCTCTGGTCTTTGCCATTGTAATGACGAACGCCCGGCGCCCGGCTATCCCGCGTTCCGTAAACCACGCTTGGGCTGTTCGATGCGGAGTCCCAAGAGCTGGCGGTTGTCCTCCTCGGCCGCATGCCTCCCAGCTGATAAGGGGCCGTCCTTGTGCGGCCGAACCCAGTAATCGTTCCTCAACATCTCCACTCCCGCCCATCTTCTTGCTATTATCCTCTTATCGCCACCCTCCCCACTGGGCTCCAGGGCTGCGTACGATGTAGAGGTGGAGCCTCCGCCCCGAGCACCGAACAGCGCCCCACGCTTTGGCGGGCCGCTACCCCCGCCGCCTCCGCCGCCACCGCCACCACCGCGGGCAATGGTATGTGTAGCTAGGGGGACCGCCGCGCCCGTCCGTCGTCCATTCCCTCTTCATTTCGGGGCCATGTCCTGGCCCTAAACTTCAACTCTCCAACGCCCCCATCCCTGACCCCGTCCTAAACCGCACACCGCCGCCTGCGGTACACCACCGGGGCATGCGAATTCTCAGAGAGATCCTGCCTCCGGGCCAAAATGTTAGGAAGGGCCCATGGTCCATGAGGTGTCAGTTAGGGTTTCGCTTGAGACCACAAGCGCTTGTCCTCTTTTATCCGTCTAATAACGGTTGCAGACCAGCGAACGCTTTCGCCAATGGTGCCATAGATCGCCCCCCTCAACATTCATTAGATGTGCCGGTACCGCATTTGGTGGTGTTGATGGGCCTGATGACGATGGCGTCGCTCTTGGTAGTGCTACTGGGCCACCAAAAACATGGAAGCTTCCCAAAAATGCTCCCCCAAATCCCCACCTCCAGGGAGGTCTTCAAGCTCCTTCAAGGCGGGAGCTGCTGTTTGGCGCTCTGGGGATGGGGCTCGGCGTGGGGGGCACCTACGCCTACTACAATCGTGAGTGCTCAATTACGTGCTGCTGCACAGAAAGCTGCAGCACTTTCCTGCGGGACATGTTCGAAGAGGGGGAAGGGAAAGGCCCAAGAAGCTGCAGCCAAAAAGGTGAAGACGGAGTAGACTGAAAAAGCTTCCGTCGTTGCGGCAGTCAAGGGCCCGGGCTTGGGCGCGCTCGCCCCGGATTTAAACCGGGCTGGGGGTTGCTGGATTCCCCGTTGCGGTGCGCAGTGGGACTGAATGCGACTGAAGGGGGGGTTCCTGTGGCCCCTTTAGGGATTGGGTTGGTCGGTTGGCGCACACATCCCCAGTAGCACCCATGGAATAGAAAAGAATGCGCTTCAAGCATCAAGTGAATTGCATCACCTTAGCTTGTTGATCACAGCAGCCGCTAGGGGCTTGTCCCTTCCGGGGATTTGGACCTGCAGATAGGGCACGCACGTGTCTGAGACACGTGCGTGTTTGTGTGTGTTTTTATGGGTGTTCATGTACGCGCCGGAGGCTGGCGGCCGCCGGGTTCCGCCATTGTGTTGAGCTCCGCTGCCCCTCGAAATCCAACTCGCGCACTCGCGCCGGGGCGCTGTCCCGCGCTCTCGTGCCCTCCCGGTGCCCAGGGCCTATCGACCCCTCCGAAATCGACACCCGACTGACAGAGCTGTTGGATGAGCTGATGGACGACGAGTCGCTGCTGGAGACGTTGGGGCAGGAGGTCGGGCTGCGCAACGCGATTCAGGAGTCGGAGGTGCGAGCGTGCGTGTCTGTGCTGAACAGGTACCGATATGGATATCCCCACCTGCCCACTCATGTCCCAGCGGATGGCCTTTTGGTGGGTGGGGTCCCTTTCTACACCCTAAATGAGCCTGCCCCTAAGCAGGCATTGCCCGCCGGGATTGGCGCCTTGGGATTCAGGCATTGGGCCCAGCCCAACCCGCAAACCTCCTTGCCTCCTGCCGTCCGACATGCCCCTCCCACATGTCGTACTGCGGCTAACTCCCGGCTGCTGTCCCCGCTTTGCAGGAGGCGATAACGGCACTGGAGGGGCTGAAGCAAGTGGAGGAGTCTCTGGACGAGGTCATACAGCAAGTCACATCGGGGGAGCAGCCGCCGTCCGATAAGGAATAGGCCACGGACTGTATTCCCTTGGGGTCTGGGGTTCCGTAATACCTATTACTACGTGAGGAGGCAGCGGGTGGGCAAGTGGCAGTGGGGGCTCCTTTCCGGAGACCGAAGCAAAACTGATGATGCTAATCAATGCAACGATGTGAGGGTATTTTAAAGGCGTTTAGGGTTGGTCCTCGGCGTCGTTATAAGCAGCTGGACGAGAGGCAAATGGTTGCGAGGAGGGAGAGAGGAAAGGGCAGGGGTCGAAGAGGCCGGAAAGAGGAAGGCAGAGGGGAGGAGGTTGGACAGCGGGCTGCGACCGGTAGGTAACCTGTGTCTGTGTGGATGTGTTAGGTTGGGATTGAGTAGGTCAACAGCTTGTCGCTGCTGCTCGAGGGAAGAATGCTGTAAGAAAGGCGCCCCGGCAGCGCAGGCGGTCAGTAGCTGGGATAAGGGATGTGGGTGTAAGGGGGAGTAGCTGAACATCAGATGGAGGCGCGGTTTGTGTGGATGAGAAGATACCAGCGTTCAGGGGGCCTAGATCCTAGTTTTGCAAACATTTCTGCTTTGATGTGGTCCTCGTTCCGGGGGATTTCCTTCCCAATACACCAAAGCCGTTACAAGACGAAATGACGACGTGTGCAAGCACTCGCACATGACAGGAGAAGGGTCAGCAGGCAGCCTTTGGGTTTCCAGGTGAGGTTCGAAGTCGGCCCTGTTGATCTCGGGTGCGAGGGCTTGCAAGGACAGGGAGTGTACGGAGACGCAAGGAAACGGGAACGCACAGGACCGTCACGTGGAGAAACATCTAGAAGACTCGTAAAGTTCATAACGCATACGAATTTATGCAGAACGTCGCCGCTGATTATGGAATCACTAGAGAATGTGGCCAAGTGCGTGCCGAATGGGACATTTGGAGCCCACATCCCTGGGCATATAATACGTCTGTGTAAGGGACATATGAGACCATAAACGCTTCTTAACCTACACCAAAGTTCTAGGATAGCAGGTCGGTGGGCTGATCTGGGCTTGAAGAAAACCCAGGAACCTTCAAGACTTGAACCTCCCATGCACCACTGTTGTCAGCACACCTGTGCTTAGGCTTTGCCTTTCAATTAAAGCCTTAAAGTATGGACATTGTCCAGGGCGCTCAGCATAATCGAATGTGCGTTCGTAAAAGTGAAATTTCGTTACAAGCTGCCAGCCTTACAAAAGGTGGTTACGACGCTTTTTAATGCAATGATACCCTCTCCTTCCCTCAGAACCAGGCAGTTCGGGGTAGCATGTGTAATAGGTTGTACTAATAATATCCTGCCGTTCCGTGTCGCATGGCCCCACGTGGTCGTTGTGTTAAGACACGTATGTTGAGCCACGTTTTGGCATACATGAGCGGATTCCAATCTTAAGAAGCTTCACTCGAGTATAATTGTTTTGGACAAATCTGCTCCATACCTGTTAAACGCGGAGTTGCTTAGGCTTGTGCGGCCATGGGCGTTGTGGGGTCACGCTTTCAGGATCAAGGGCCAGAAGCGGCGCAGCTGCTTAACGCAGTTAAGAGGGGCGAGCATCTGAAGGCGCTGCGGTTTATGAGGCTTATGCCGGAGAGCGCACAGGCGATTTCACAAAACGCCAAAGCTGCCGCCGTACATTCAGCTGTTAAGCGCGGTTATGTGAACATCCTGCAGTTTTTGGGGGAACTTCCCAGCATTGGCAGCTCGGTCGCGTCCGCGAATGCCCACTCGCTGGCTGCATCCGTGGGGCTAGCTGCTGTCGGGCGGATTGCGCCAAGCCCCGTCCACGGCGATGCCACTCGGCCTCAGCGCATTAGCAGGCTCTCTCAACAGTTGGATTCCGCCCGTGACATTCGGGGGCCGGATCCGGCCGATCGTGAATCTTGGCTCAATGCCGTTGACCGGCACGGACGCACACCGCTGTTCACCGCCGTGCGATATAACCGCTTGGAGTTTGTTGAGGGACTCTTGTCGCTTGGGGCTGACCCGTGGTTCCTTGATCGGAGCACGCGGGGCACGGCCTTGCACCTCGCAGCTGTGCTTGGACATGCGCCTCTTGTGGCGGCCTTCCTAAGGTCGATTATTGCAGTCCCCGGCCAACGCGTTGCGCTGTATGACGCCCAGGTATGCCCACATGTACGTCCGCTTCGCGCTCGAGTCGTCTTGCCACCCAGGGTTCCTTTCTCTTAGTCGCCTGCGCTCCTTACTCTTCGCGGGCGCCGCTTGTGGTACCCCCGCCTGTGTCCTCACCGTACAGGACATGTACGGCTTCACACCGCTGCATTATGCCGCCGCCGCTGGCCATGCCGACGTTGCGCGCATTCTACTTGACGTCGGGGCGTCGTATACTGCTGCCAGCCAGCTGCTATATGACCCGTCCCCGGGGCTCCGTCGCCTCAACAGTCTCGCCAACATCGCCGGACGCGTTGGTCTGGAGTTTGGCTCGCGAGATGGGGGGGGCGACAGGACCGGTGTGCTCGCGGTGCCCTGCGCGCCGAGGTCCAATCCACTGCACCTTGTCGCGCTGCGGGGCGATGGAGTAATTGCGACTCTTGTGCTGCAGTAAGTTCTGTTGGTTTACCTGGCTTTGGCATTCACATGGATGGGCGATGGAAGGAGGTCACGTGGTTATTATTTATGCTGGAGAGAAGTAATTTGCGGTGGTTGTCGCAATGTATGGATGCGCATACGTGTGAACAAGGCTATGCACATAGGGCTTGGACTTACAGCTGCGTCCTTGATGCGGTATACAACATTGCACAAATCAACTTTGTCACATCCCACGACCCAGGATCATTCCACGCCTCATCTGCATATTACTTCTATTACTTCATTCGAATTCACGTTATGAATCCCTTTTTCCCTACATCACCACACCACATTTTACCCCAACCCAGGCGCTTCCTGCTGGACACGGATGGACTGTCCCGGGCTGCCCGGGAGAGGGTGACAGACCCACGTACACAGCTCAACAAAGACGGGTGAGGCGCGGCGCGGGGGCGGATGGGGATGGGGATGGGGGGAAAAGACGAACCACGAGCGAGTGGGGATGGGGGGACGGGGAGTTGGGCCCGCCCGCCCGTGCGCATACACAACCCCCTCCCTCCGACCCGCCTACGTAATCCCTTTTGCTCGCACCTTCACACACGCCCCGCCGCGCCCAGAGCTTCACCAACAGTTCAATACTCGCCCAGTATCAGTTCAATACTCGCCTGTTGTTGTTGTTGTCGTCCACTATTGTTGTTTCTGTGTAACATCCTTTCCTGCCCATGCCGATCCTGTGGTTGGCCAATTGCGTGGCCCGGGCGCACTTTTCCTCCTGAGTCCCTTCGACGTCTGCCCCGGGGGGCCCTGCGTGGCGCGCTGTTGCAGGTTCCAGCCGTACATGCTGGCAGGCAATGCGGGCCACTGGCACGTCGCCCAGCTGCTCATCCCACACTCGCGAGACGACCGCCACTTCCTTAGCCGCGACCGGGACTTCCTCTTGTTCTTCCCATTACCGGAGCCCTCTGTCGCGAACGGCAGCGGTGTCGCCGGCGAAGGGCCACCGTCGCTGGCGGAGCTGGCGGCGCGTGCGTGGGCCGGCAAGCTCCTGACCGACATCAAGTCAGCAGAAGCAACTGTACGGCAATTGCAGCAGCAGGGCCGTAGTTGCAACCAACTGTGCAACAACCAGACCTCGCCATCGGTGTCGTGTGGTGGAGGCAGCGGCGGTGCTGGCGGAGGCGGCGTGCTGGGGGCACTGCGGCGGCGCAGTGGCCGCTGTGCCGCCGGTTCACCTCCTGTCGGCGGCGGCGGTGGCGGCGGCGCCGCCACCACCGGTGCGTTGGCTGCTTCCTTTGCTTCGGGGGCCAACTCAACGCGCTGTGAACACATCTCCGCTGCGCCCTCCCTCGCCGCAACGAACACAGCCGCCGTCGAGGCCACGGCAGCGGCGTCAGCAACTGCACCAGCGGTCGCCAACTGCGTGTTGGGGGCTGGATCCCCAGGAACATCAGCCGCGAGCACGCCGCGCACGTCGGCTTCGGGTAATGGTTTCGGCGCTGGTACCGGCAGTGGCGGCAGCGGAAGCGGCGGTCGTGCGTTGTCACCGCTGCAAAGGTTCGGCAGTGGAAAGGGGTGAGTAGAGGGCGCAGAGAGTTTGGAGGGTTTCTACGGTCCTTCCCTTACAATCTCACATATGTTCAGCATTTCCAAATATTTCACATTCGACACGACCTTCGCATCGGTTTCTTCTTTCCTAAAACCACTTGTCCTAACCCTGGGCTGCCTTTGCCTTTGGCAACCCGTAACGAATGAGAAACAGGAAGACCAAGCTTTCACGTTTGCATCGCCGACGCTCGTCCGCTATTTGTTGCATGTTATGTTGCCCCTTCAATGCGGCAATTGCGTCCGTAACTGCAAAAAACTTGGCATCAGGTTTGCAAAAGACCTTCTCGGGAATAAATCCCCCAACGTTACGTCCCAAGCGCATTTTGCCTACACGCCTGTGGATTGCTTGTGGCCGCCTGCAGGTCCCCGTCCCACATACGATCTGCTGTACGGGACGATTCCCGTTATATGTCAGACTCCCTGGATCTCATCCCGCACAGCTCGGGCCCCTCCTGCGGGGCCGCCGCAGCGCTGCCGCCGCGGTCGCCGCCTTCCGTTCTGGCTGGCCCCTTCCCGCAGCTGCTTGCGCCGACCGCCTGCCCCATGGGTGCGCTGCAGCAGTCGGCCTCCGGCCACACTGCCGCCGCCGCGGTGGCGCCGGGGTCCCCTACCTTGATGCAGTTGATGACCTCTGGGGCGCCACCGCCACTGTGTGATGTTTGTTTTGAGCATCCGCAGGAGCTCGCGCTGCGCCCCTGTCCGCACCACCTGTGCGCCAATTGCTGTCGGCGGGTGGTGGAAATGCACTGCGCCGGGGTGGCGGCGGCGGCAGCAGCAGCCGTACGGGCCCCGGGCAGGCGCCCCGCTGCAACGCCGCCGCGCTGCCCCTTCTGCCAGGCCACCATACGCAGTTTCGTGCCGGCTGCAGCGGTTGTTGTGCTGCGGCAGTAGAGGTGGCAGATTGCTCCTGGTCAGGTTTCCAAGTCTGAGAACTGCTTATCAGCGGAGGAGGGGCCGAAGCAGCGGCATCAATAGCCGCAATGGCGGCCGGCAGTGGTGGTGTTGCCGATGGAGCCTTGGGCCTCCCGGCGATGCGCAGGACGGAGGCGGCGGGTGCATTTTTACGCTGCGTTGATGGCAGTTATCATTCCGGGCATGCCTCTGTAAAAGACTGGGAGAGCGGCACATTGGCGGACTTTGCATCGGAGCTGGGCCTTCATAAGCCCAGGCGGCAACTCGGACAGGCGGGTGCTTGCTGGGTCGAGAAATGGCTGTGGCAGAGAAATGGAAACGCCGAGCGCCAGAATGCACATGGCATTTGCTACTAGCAAATTAACGGATGCCATGCCAGACGTGGCCTTTTTTAAGCTACCAGCTATCAGAGGGCCTTGAGATTGCATCGGGGAGATTGTCGTTCCGTTTCAAATCCTCGCACGTTGATTGAATTGGAGAGAAGGCAAGGTTTATATTCCGCCGGCCTAGCGCAGTAACTCGAAGGCAACACGAAGGCACGTGTCGGGCTGTCTGAGCATAATTTACTTAGGGTTGTTAAGTGCCAGTGTCGCCGTGTGGATTGTGGGTTAACATGGTTCTATGGGTCGTGATAACCGGTACCGGTAGGGCTTCCAACTATATGCCCCTGGGGGTGTATATGAGGAGGAGGAGGAGGAGTGCTGAAGTTGGACCGCTGCGTGGAGCAGCAACAACAACAGCGGCAGCAACCCCTGTAATATTGACCATCTAATTAATCGGTGCTCGAGAAGGTCGAGCGAGTGAGAGGTGCGGCAGCTGTTGAGCGGCATGCGCAGGAGTGAGAGCTTTGCAGCAGAGGTAGTGGTATGCGTGCAGAGCAGGGTTGTGTAGGAGATGTTTAAGGACCTGGTGAATTTTGTTGTTCAGCGGCGGCATTTTAGCGGCCGGGGCCGGGTGAATGGCAATGCGGACAATCTCGTACTCGGGCTATTATAACATCTATTATTTCCCTCCCTGCGGTTGCGTGGACCTGCTGGTGCCTTGTCCTGGCGGGCGGGTGGGTGCTGGCTGCAGATGCCTTTGTGTGGTTGAAAAGCAGATCTGTGGACTGAGTGCTACGCGGCGCTCTGGGTAAATTACCCAGTTGGCTGGGCGAAAGAGCGCTGATTGTGGTGATGGATTAATTTTATTGGCAACGGGGGCTTCAGGCATGATCCCTTCGTATTGAGAGTGACGGTATGGCGTTTGAAAGTTGTGGTGACGGTATGGCGTTTGAGAATGATAGTGTGGTGCAGTGATTACTGGCATTGCTGACTGACGAGAGCTCTGCGAGTTGGTCGTATTACTGTGTACCAGCCATGACAGCATTGGGCCGCTGCTCTAGATAGATGTGGCGAGGCTGGAGGCGGTCCAGGTTCTTCGAATCTGTATCGGCACGGAAAGTCTATGCGGGGCTGGTACTGATGAGGGCCTGGTACTAGGTAATGCTGCGCCGGTATGTTCAGAGGCACTTCAGCAGCTTGCTACCAGGCGGCTAAGCTTGGCCGTAAGTGGCTGCGCCAAGGATTGGTAGCGAGGAGCTGAGCAGGGGACTGCACGGGACAGGACCGACCAAATGGCAGAGTACGTAGCAGTGGCATAGTCAGGCTGGAGGTAGGTTGCAGGTTGCGATGTGCGCGGGCGAACAGTGATGCCAGCCGTGTCGCCTTTGGCATAGCACTGCTGCTTCTGACTTAACCTTAGTCAGAAAGCAGGAACTTTTTCACTCATGCAGCTGATGACGAGGGCTTTATTGGCCTAAGCACTGCGAGCGTCTCCCACTATTCAATCCTGCCTCCTTATCATTTTTCCTGTATGTCGTCGCAGATACCATCCTCGGCAAACCAGGCTTAGGACCTGTCGGGAATTATTCTTTGACTGCTTGATTGACCGATTGGCTGTCCTCGTGCTATATTATTAGTTAACAGGTAGGATATCGGTACTTCACTTTATTATATGAATCGACGGACGATAAGTACTCTGCGTAATCGTGCAGCCCTGGCTTGCACTAGGTTTTATTATGAAGCGGCCTGAGCTCCGCTTCATATGGTCCCGCTGCATATGGTGTCCGGCCGTGCTGTGATGCGCGTCCTGGCCCAGGCCTCAGGCTACCGGACATTGTTCCATTTGTCGTGGTGACGATCACGGCCTGAGGGGCGCAATCCACCCTTTGCCCTGCATTTACTTGGTATACGTTGTATCCGACTATTGACACCTCGGAACGGCTCGCATAGCACTTTGTCGTTGAAAGCGTTAATTTTATGGATGGGAAGGATGATCTAGAGGCGTGCTTGTTAGAGTGGGCTATATATAAGCGCACGGACTTTGAGATTGGATCACATCCTGAAAGTTATATGCCGTGCTGGTTATGGGTGTGCGCACATCGAGATGACCAATTCCACGAAGTCCAGATGCTAGCAGCCTGAGATGGAAACGGTGATGAGCACTGAAGGAGACCAAGCAGATTGTGTGGTTAGCGAGGTCGGTTTGGCGTAGCTTGGCTTAGCCATGTAACCCATACTGGAGCACACAATGTTACAGCGCACACACTGATTGCCGCGGAGACGTTAACACACGGCCCAAAATGTGACCCTCAGGGATAGAACAGGCAACGTGCAGCCAATCACACCTCAGGGTTATTTGCAACGCACATATACAAGAGGCGGGTATGAACAGTACGCTAACTATTGGTCCTTACGGATGCATTTGGTGCCGTGCACAGCTGGGGCAAATAGAAACTCTTGACCCATGAGTAGGAAATGCAACAGATCTTATCGGGTGCAATCTGCTGGCTATATAAGGCCTATCTTCGGATGAATTCATTCATAACCGGACACATTACCCAGGGTCCGCTTCCCCAGGGGTAGGGGAAAACATGAACTTGTGCAAGCAGTGTTCTACAGGTACGGAAGACGACATGTCCCTGATGACACCTTGATCTGATCCGGTCATGAAATTCACTATCCAGCGCAATACGGATACATGCCTGATCTAATGCAGCCAACAGCCAGCCCTCAGATCTTGGTCCAAAGCACACGCATAACGACAACGGAGGCGGTTATTATTGTCACCGTTGTAAGTTGACCGTTGTAAGTTGGCAACCGATGGCCATTACCAGCACGCGGAGATCGTTCACAGTTCTCCGCGGAGTGAGCCACGGCGCCGCGGTTGGCGCTGGATCGGCACTCCGTCCCATGTGTTGGGCCTCTCTAATGGATGCACAGACAAATTGGAATTAAGCCGCCCAACCAAATGAAGTACTGCACTATGCAGTGCTGCGGCCAATTACGGGAAGGGCTGCGACATCCACAATCCAAATCATTACAGCATGAAGAGAAAGAGTGACTCTGGTTGCTTTGGGCGGGGCTTTCCGGGCCGTGGTGCATGTATCCGCGCACCCGACAGCGGCCTAATGCCTGCCAGGAGGCCCAGGAGCACCACGGACAGGGAAACCCAGCCCAAAGCAGCCAGAGTAACTCTCTTCCAATACTTCTGAGGGACGCACGTGCATTAGACCGATAAATGGGGTGAAGTTCACTGAGCGGGAGCACAACCATTGGTTCGTGTAGTTGTCGCCTGACGCCATCAATACCTGTCACACGGCATGGACTTTGCATGTTGCCCCAGTTATTTCTTATTCGAGTCCAGTACCCTGTATCCTTCGCCACGTCGCCGTAGTTGACAATGATGCCGAATGGTCGTCTTGACCCAAACACGAACAACCTAAAACAGTTTGCCATTACATCGCAAGTGAAAGGGTGATTACATTATGAATATGCGCACTGCTGCATGCAAACGAAGAAGCTTGAAGCAACGGATGACTTTCATAAGCGTGTTCATTACGGGGGTTCATCGGCTTATGCTCTTCAACAAGTAAAAGAATTTCAACGCAATTAGCCAACAAAATCTTATGGCGCGTTACTCTCAAATACGCTTAGGTCCGAGCAGGTAGCAATGCGACCCATGTCAGTTGGGAGACAGCGCTGAGTACGGCACCTGGGCGGACAGCTCATAGTCGCAACTGCGGCTACATGTAGCTCATTGACACCTTTTTAATAATTAAGTCTTACGCTTCCAAAATATAGGAAAAAAGCAGGGTACATTGTTTGTTTCTTGGTAAACCCGTCGCGATCTCTCGCAACTGTTGTTTCTTGCAGCACAAGGATGACGGCTCCTCTTGCTGATCAGCTTGACATTGTTATCCCAACCATCAGGTCTGCGGCTCGGGCACACAAGAGTAGTTGAGGCCATGCTTCCCTTCAGGGTTGAATAACAACGGACTTACCCCTGGTGCAGGAACTTAGACTTCTTGGAGGAATGGCGTCCATTCTTTCAGCCATATCACCTGATCATCGTTCAGGATGGCGACCCCACCAAGAAGATCCATGTGCCCGAGGGATATGACTACGAGTTGTACAACCGCAATGACATCGAGCGCATCCTAGGTGACAAGGCCTGGGCCATCTCGTTCAAGGACTCTGCGTGCCGATGCTTTGGCTTCATGGTCTCGAAGAAGAAGTACATTTACACAATTGACGATGACTGCTTCGTTGCCAAGGACCCGTCCGGCAAGCCCATTAACGTGCTGGAGCAGCACATCAAGAATCTCCTGACTCCATCGACGCCCTTCTTTTTCAACACCCTTTACGACCCATATCGGGAGGGTGCTGACTTCGTGCGTGGCTACCCCTTCAGCCTGCGCGAGGGTGTGCCCACTGCAACCTCCCACGGTTTGTGGTTGAACATTCCCGACTATGATGCGCCGACGCAGGTAAGCTAGTGCGGCAAATACGTGTTTTGTTCGCAATATTTATGAGCAGCCTGGTGCCTCTGGCCCAGACATAGGGCGTCGGCTGGCCCTTGGGCGCCCTCTGGGCTTGTACAAATCAGGGCCCGTTACACCTTTGGAGGGTAACGCAACTACAGGAGGTATAGCACACACACAACAGGTTCATGCCATATCATTTACAAACCGAATGCCGTACGTGACGACCTGGTAGGCACAATCGCACATACGTTGTTGACCTTTGCCCCTTCTTACTGTGCAAAATGTCCAAATTCAAATCACGGGCCATAACCACAAACAGATGGTGAAGCCCAAGGAACGCAACCAGCGCTACGTGGACGCCGTTATGACCGTACCAAAGGGCACCCTGTATCCCATGTGCGGCATGAACCTTGCATTTGACAGGTACGGAGCGAAACTCATTGACGCGCACCTCTATTCGGATACTACTGCTGCCTTGCCTTGCTGTACGTCCCGCGTAAACTAGGAGTGTTTTTGGCCCCATTGTCTTGACTACAATCTTTGTGTTAGTGAGTTGCCCATGCAAGCAAGTTCGTACCCTATCGAAGGTGCGAGCAGTCAATGATTTTGATGTGCTTCGTACTGTGCAGGAGTTAGGTATGAGCATTTGCCTCCCAGTTGTAGGATGCCGCGCCTTCCTGTACCTGTTCATTCCATGCCATCCCTGTGATTCTGTGATCTGGATGGTCTCTGTGGGGTTACCCCTGTCCTGCGCACCATTTGCCATGCAGGGAGCTCATAGGCGCTGCCATGTACTTCGGACTGATGGGTGAAGGCCAGCCCATCGGTCGCTACGATGACATGTGGGCGGGTTGGTGCACCAAGGTTATTTGCGACCATCTGGGGGTGGGCTGCAAGACCGGGCTGCCTTACGTTTGGCACAGCAAGGCCAGTAACCCCTTCACCAACCTCCGCAAGGAGTACAAGGGCATCTTTTGGCAGGAGGTGCGTTTGCAGCTCGGCGAAGAAAGGTTGAATTGACAGGGGTTAATACACCCCTTCACGCTGATCCGGAGCCCTTGGCCCCCGGAGCCCTTGGCCCACGGCACCGCCTCTCTTGTCTGGATCATCTCCCTTCATGTCCATTAGCGAACTCCTTGACTGTCACGCGCCTTGCTTGTTGAATGCGGAATTCTGACCCGCCATATTCCCATACACAAAGCGGCCTGCCTAACACATAGTGGCGTCTGCGTTCTGTGCCATGCAGGAGATCATCCCCTTCTTCCAGAACCTCACACTCAGCAAGGCTTCCACGAATGTAGAGGACTGCTACCTCGAGCTTGCTGATAAGGTCCGGAAAGGGCTGGGCCACATCGACCCCTACTTCTCCAAACTAGCAGATGGCATGGTGGCCTGGATTGAGGGCTGGCGCCTTCTGAACCCCCCAGTCGCGAGCGCATAATCGCGCCGTGATGGCTCTTCCACGGGAGCCCGTGGCTACGATATTTTTTGGGGTTTTCGACCTTCGCAACTTCAGATTCATCCATGCCTATATGTGGTTTTTAAGTCACGAGCAGGAAGTACGCTTGGGTGTCAGCGGGCAGCAGCGACGGTGGCTACTTTGTCTTAGTGGTGCCTGAATTTAGGGTGTCCTTGGAGCTCTGGGATTTCGAAGGCCAGAATCCTGGCACTGTTAGATTAATAGTCATGCCATCGCCAGCACTTCGAATATGACAATCGATTATGTCGTTCGGTACTTCACTTCAGGCGTCTGCATGCCGCATTTACCCGTCCTGCTGTGCGCCGGTGTGATGTATGCTGAGCGTAGGGTTAAGGTAACTGTGATGCCCATGTGGATTTAGGTAAATATCAGGGCTGACCATGAAGCTCGGGTATTGTTCGGGTTTCGTGCAAAGTTCAAACTGCCTCGAATTGCTCGGATCAGGCGTTTAAAGCATGGTGTCGGCCTGTCCATTGGGCTATTTGTAGCGACATGGATGGTTCATTCACAGCTGTGTAAGCTGTTATACTTGGTTTCGAAATGTAAACGCCCGCGTACTTGGAAGTCAGCCTGAAGGGGATTCTGTAAGACACCATTAAAATATTTTACAGATGGTTACGCAGATAGTCACGCACACAACAAGCGCAGCGAGATGTCGTCCCACGCAGAAATATACCCCAAATACTACTTAGCACACCTTGTTCGGCAAACTGTCTAATGGCGACATTGCTGAGATGTGGCTCTTGCTCGAGACGCTGTCATCCACAACCAAGCTACCAGCAGCGGCAGCAACCATCCCACCCCCGGAGAAAGAAGCACTGGTGCCCAGCCCAAGCCCGCCCAAAGTTTCCAGCAAAGACCAAAGTTCAGCACCGCGATGCAGCATAACGCAAGAGCCTGCCTCCACGAAAGCACTTGCAAAATGTTGGCCCCGCCAAAGCCGTCGCCAAGTGATCCTCCGGCTGCCAAACGCCGTACGCGCGCAGCCAAGGATGAACACAGCAAAACGCCCGGCGCCACGCACACCAGTGTAACAACGTTTATAATAACAGCATGGTCCTGCGACGGCGCGGCACTCCAGCCCGCTTGCGCCCCCACTGGAGGGGCGGACGAGCTCGGGGACCACATATAAATGCCGTACGCTGTAAGGACGCCATATCCGCTGCGCTTCGGTTCCGCATCTCTATCGTCGCCGGAGCGCCCCACGAAGCCTGCGACCAGCCAGGGACCGGCGACCAGGTACAAGCAGTACAGAAAAAGCGCAAGCCAGGGTACGGAATCGCGATGCTCAGCCAGCTCCGCCAAGTCCCGCAGAGGCCAGAGTATGCATCCCAGTGCCATATGCCAAAAGCGAATCGCAACGGTCCTGCCATTACCGGCGGCCCGCACGGATACTGGCCCTGCTGCCCCGTTGCCTCCGTAAAAAAGCAGACCAAGTAAGCTCCTAGAGACAGCAGGCGCCGGGACTGCTGCCAGGCTTGATGACCACACATCGGCCCCGCCGGCGTGTCCTTCCCGTGTGCCGCGGCCACCGCCACAGCCACTGTTACTCCCACTGCTATTGCGCTTTAGAGGCGTGGACCGGCCGCTGTTGCCTCCACTCAGCCATATGCTGGTGCTGGCGCCCTCTCCCGCCCAGTCCAGCTGCCGATTCGCCGCCGTCGCGTGGGTGGTCCCGGCCACAGCCGCCGTTAAGGGTACCGGCTCTACCAATTCCGTCTCAAGCTCTTCACCGCTCCCATACCCATCAGAGTCAGGGACAGGCCCGCTCCTCCGCTGCCGATGGTGCCGCCCCATTCCGGGGCCCTGCCGGGGCCTATGCCGCAGGGTGCGGTGGGGCTTAAGCACGGCAACAACGCGCGGCGCTAATAGCAACCCTAGAGTCAAGATACACCATTGCGCTACGAAGGCAATTAGCCCAAAGCTATGCCAGGGCACATGCATCACCAGCCACTCCAGCGTAGTCTGCTGCAGTGGGACCGGAGTAACTTGTCCAGAAGGAAAAACTCCGCTATCCATGCCACCATCCATGCCGTCTCGTCCTCTCGCACCAGCGGACTCGAACAAGCTGCGGCGGGGCGACGATGGCCGCAAGCTTGGCGTCGGCTGTGACGGTGGGAGTTGCCAGTGCAGCAGCCTCTTGGCGGAGGCTGATTCCACAGAAGCATCATCGTTACTGCTGTTTCTCCGCCCAACGCCCACAACTGCCTGCACAACGATGTAACCCGAGGGGCAGCTGTACACGCTGTCGCTACTGCTGCTGCCAAACGAACTCTCTGCGCCTGGAAACTCCCCGCCCTCTGCGCCAAGCAGGTCCACCGTGAAGATGCTGGAGAGACAGGGCAATAGGCCAGTAACGGGAATGCAGCCGCAGAGGAGTCAGAAGGTTTGCATTGCAGGCTACAGCTTAAGCTGGTGATCCAGTCGATGGAAATACATAATCACAGCATGCGCTGCCGCTATAAACATAAATATAAATATATTGTTGTCCACACACGTGTATGTTTCGGGCCAGACTACAACAACCGCCTGGGCCGCAGTGGCCCAGTGGCCGTTAACCGCTGTACGTTTTCCAGCAGCATGATTCAAACATCGGCAGCCCTGAGCCTTCTTACCTGTAGTTTGCTGTCGCGGACTCCAACCGCATCTGGGGAACGCGGAGGAATGGAGATATGACAGGACACATCCCAGTCAGTCAGTCAGTCACGTCATCCAGGTCCCCAAAGACGTTGCAAAACAAGCGAAATAAGCCTACAAGGCCCTAGCCACATTGTACCCCAAGACATGCCGCTCGTATGTGGCCTTCAAAACGTTTTCGTATTTCCGTCGTACATAATGCCTTGTGCCGTACCTGGTAGGCGCCCTGTTGGAGGCGTCTGTCCCTATTTCTCCAGTTGCTGCTGTTGCCATGGGCCCCGCTGGAAGTCACAGCAGGACTCGAAGACTCGTCGCCCTGGGGCTGCTGCTGGTGCTGTTGCCGCGGATCATGTGCACCTGTGCCACCTGGGCGACTGCTTCCCCCACCAGCATCACCAAAGTCCACTCCCCAGCCGACCTCGTTGGCGCCGACAGCATCGCAAGACCACTGCAGATACACTGTACCGCTTGGTACTGCAGGTACGGCAGGGCTCATTGGCAGAAGCATCACCCGGACAACGGCCGTTACAGCCGCCTTGCCGCCACCAAAGTCCCCGTTGTCTGCAGACCCGCCGATGCTACAGCCGCCGGCAGACGTGTACACTGCCGCGAGCTGAGGGCTGTAGCGGGCGTCTGGGGGACAGGTGATGAGCGGCAGGTAGGTTCCGATGGCGCAGGTGTCGTCGAAGGGCTCCAATTTGTGTGTCACTCTCCCTTCTGCGGTGCAGGGATGCCGTACGCTGAAGTAAAAGTCTTCACAGTAACGCCACGATCACGAATACCACCACAGCAATCATCCTATGGTGTGTTGTGTATGTGAGCCGCCCTGGTAGCTGGGGATTTCATTGGATGGGCTAAAGCTCCTTTCACGAATCCCGCACTACGATACATGCAAAGGCTGAAGGGTAGCCACGTACGCCTCCGCTAGGGCAATTTATTGGCTTTATATGCTAGCTTCCGGGCAGGCGTGCTGCGTCTGCGTACTCCTACCGGCAAGATGATTGCCTGCCACCACGTTGCCCACCCGTGGCGGAATGAACTGGAAATCGGCAAAGCCGACAGCGCCGCCGGGACCCGGGTCCACCGTCAACAGCCGCACCGTGCGCGCGTACTTCCAGTCCACCATCTCCAACTCCAACATGTGACCCCTGGGATTGTCGTCAGCAGCTCCGGTGCCAGCGATAGGCCCCGCATGCAACCTGTGAAGTTTGCGGCCAAACGCGCCATGGAGATGGCCTGCCAGGTATGCGCTAACGCCGTGCCGTACAAGGATCTGGTGAACGGACGCGGCCCTTTCCGCCGCGCCGCCGGCAATGCGGCGCCCCGGGTAGGCGATGGTGGAAAGAGGGTAGTGACCGTATGCGATGTACGGCGGGTTGCAGTTGGCGCCACGCATGCCAGCGATTGAGGCGGCAAGTTGCTCGTCCAGTTCGTCCAGTACGGATTGTGTTATTACACCTTGGATACGGGTGGCGTTAAAAAAGGTTGTTGATGGACACCCAAGAGGGAGAATCATGGGCGGGCTCAATACTTAAGTTGCGCAATCGCAACGATGTGCGACGATTGTACATTAAACCTTGTATGACCATTTTAGAGAGCTGAGGTGGAGTGGACCAGGTGATTGTAGGACAGGACAGAGAGTTCTACCGGGAGTTTGCATATTCGCGCGACCACTACACCCACTCATCCATCCACTCGCCTACCTACCCAGGAAATTGGTGGGACTCCGCATTCCCGGGTCAAGGGAGGCGTCCACGCCCACCACCATCGCCACCGGGCAAGCAGAGCCGCCCCCAACACCATTACCGCCGTCCGTACTGCCGTATACCGCATCAATGAAGATGCGTGCCTGAGGTCCTCGGTCCGCCGTGCCCGAAGTGCCATTCGCGCCTCCTTGCCCAAACCTCTCAGCCCGTGCGCTGTAGGTGCAGTACCAATCCTCCGCACCGCACCTGTATGACGGCCCGTACAAGCAAGCCACGTATTAGGCGGGCAGGTATGGGCGCCCGTACCACCATTCGAAACCCCAACAGGACTTACGAAACACAATAATCCAACAGTGCCATACGGACTCTGGCCCCCGGCTGCCGTTGCCGGCACGGACCTGGGACCAGAATTGAACGTGTCGTGATTGCCGCGGATGTCGTATATCTGGTTGTACGGGACACGGCCAATCGATGACAGTGCGGTCCGAGCGTCACGGTACATCTGGCGGGTGGGAGGTAAAGTTATAAACATGCAGATAGGGAAGGGAACCAAATGGGAATGCAAATGGGCCTGAGTGCAGATGGCGGGACGGAGGACCTGCGTAATGGAATGCAGGTGAAGCGCCCAGGCCGGAGTTGCAGCCGACAGTGGTGGATCCAGACTGAAACTCCGCAAGTCAGGAGGAGAGGATCGGCTGGCGCGTCGTGGACACACGCGTCGAAACACACGCGTCGTGGACACACACGTGCCTATTATTCCACAAACAAACCCGTGCACCAAACACGGCCGCCCTTTCGCATGCACACCCGCACAGGGTTTGCAGTCCGATGCCTTTTTGGAAAGCCTGCCGTCAGCCAGCCACTCACCCTTACATTTAGCTTCCGGTCTCAAGCAAAAAGGTGCTGCACTAGTTGTCTAGCGGAGACCCCAATTCCAATCACCGCTGCATTCCATACGACGGCACTCACCCGCCATTCCCGCTCGTCTTGGCGGCCACTGCCATACACGTCCTTGGCTTCCGTAATGTCCCCCGTCAACAGCGCCGCGGCCACCGGCCATCTCGCCAGCAAACCCGAAGCCAGGGACACTAAGTCAGAAGCGCGCTGAAAGGGGGAATGGGACCGCGCGGCGGGATGGAGGGCAGGGTAGGGCGGGTAGGGAGGCTGCAGCCACCACACATCATGTTCCTTGCCAGGTTGCCTGGCGCATTGTATGGGTTACCTGGACTTGTTCGCGCTGAGCTGGTCGCCAGTGTCCGGTCCCAGCATTTGCTTCTGCCGCCCTTGCATCGCTCATCGCTACACCCCATAACCCACAACTCAAGGCTAAATGACTCCAAGGCTATAGCCGCAGCCCGACCATTCTCCCCATGTGCATTGTACATAGAATTGCCCCCATCTCGCTTCTCCCCATTTAACATATGCTAGAGATGCGCAGACGCAGCGGCAGAGGATTGTACTCGAAAGCAAACTACGAAAGCAAACCTGGGGGTCTCCTGCCGGTCCCGCCATAGCACTGATGTGTATGTCGGTTAGCTGGAGGAGCAAGCCCACCGACCTCTCAACGGCAGCGGCAGCGCTGCGGAGTGTGCTGCCGTTGCCACCACTGCCGCTTTCGGCGACAGACCCTGCAAGATTGCTGCCAGCGTTCCCATTTGCACCATCTGTGTCAGAGGCATGGAAAGTATTCCTTCCTGTTGCCACCGCAAGCCCTGGCGATGTTACCCCTTGCGCCCATAACGCAGCTGCTCACGTCATGCGCGGTGTATGGTGCACGCGTCAGGGGGGTGAAGTTATGGGCACGTGTAAGCTTTCAGTTCAGGGTGGGGAAGTGGGGCAGCTCGTTACGTTATTAAGGCGTCATAGTAGAGCCGAGGGTATTGATGTAACAACCTTAGGCTGTTCATGGCTAGCGGATAAGCTGATACTTGCTATGAATAAACTACGATGTGCTTGCGTGACAGGATGGTACGATGATCGAGGAATCTTTACCTATGAGAAAGACAGCGAGTAGGCCACAGAATGAACTGAAATACATAATCTTAGCTGTTAGGTAAATATGCTGACCACCCTGGAATTTGATGGGATTGCTGTTACCCCTCGCGGCGAGCTGCAAAATGTAACCATCCTACAGACTCGAAAGGCCTATGTAAATTTCTATTGAGGGTGTCGTCTTTGGCTAAATTGTTGAACTGAAGCTAGGTTTGACCGTCTAGCATGAACGGTCTTGCTGCAAGCTGAAACCACCGTACGGCAACGACCACAATTCCATGGTTTCCATCCAAATCCTGGCTTGAATTCAGAAATGCTAGATCGTATCGGTTCCTGTTGTCGTCACGTAACCCGTCATCTCTTTTCACCTCTCTATGGAGCGAACCTGCCCGCCTGCTACAGTGGCTGGTAGGGGAAGGCGGTCGTTCTGACACGATTTTAAAACATTCCGCGGATTTTGGGTAAGGGACAGAATTTGGTGCACACCATATCACAGCTTAGCACCAAAGACTATATGTAAGACAAAGAAAACCTGACTAAGGCCTGAGGAGGGACAACTACAGCGCAAGCACAGCGCACGGCCTAATACTGCACGGCCACGTACGTGGTATTTGCGGGACGCTTGGCGTAACATCTATAATAAGCCTGCTAATACGATGCCATGGTCATTACATCAAATCCTGGACGGCGGGGGCTCAAGACTTCTGTTTTGGCGGTGCCCGAAATCAGTTGTTGCAGCCATTGACTCCAACTGCAAACAGAAAGGAGAAACTCCAAACACAGCACACATGTCCCAGAAGGACTTCCTGGACTCCACGGAGGTAACATTATGCGCTTGTGCGATATCCGCTCCCAATGCAAATCCAACGGCATTTCATTCTCGGCCATCTTTATCGGTACACCTTACGCCTTCCTGAGCTTCAGGACATCGTGCACGACATGACCGGCTTAGCACTTGAGACTAGCAAACCCCACCAACTTAACTTTAACACCGAAGATGCATACTTGCATAAACGTGGGAAAACCGCCGATGAACCTGTACATGCCGTTCACCTGTTCTGATGCATCGGAAGGCCTTTCTGCAATGGGCAGCGATTTATTCATTACACGCACTCGACAGTCCCCGCACACCGCTCGGACCCAAGCAGCAATAGATCTCTACGCGCGTCCCATCGTACATCGTTCAACCTACCAACATCGACGAGGCCTCGACCAACGCCAGTTGAACACTTCTCTGCCCCTAGCTGCGCCACGCAATTCCGCTTCTCCTAGCTGTTCACGCGTGCAAGGCCTTGGTACCGTACCCTATGCGCATGTTCTTCGGCGACCCACCAATTTTCTAACCCAGCTGCCATGCTGAGCTCCTCATGCATTGTTGCCTGCTGCAGGTGCGCACATGCCTGCTCACGGGGCCAAGCCCACGACCCACATGCCGGTGGTCATGATACCAAGCCAGGCACAATACTAGCCGGCTACGCCGCCGCGCTGATCCTTGATCGTAAGGTCTTCCACTACCGCCGCCGCCACAAGGTAGAGTTCCCGAGCTTGCTTGGGGTTATCATTATAACCGCTGTCCGAATAGTTCCCTTCGCCCATCTCGCATGTGCGGCCCTGCATGTGCTGAATGTAGTACCGCGCTGCTGCCGGCGGGGGCTGCCCGTATTGGTGAGACGCCTGTTTCCCACCACAGCAGCCCGGGGAGAGATGGCGCCATGGCTGGCTCCTGATGCAACAAGCAACTGCATGATGATTGGTGGATGTCCTCACCCACAAAGCCCCCACCAGTCTGTGCAGCTGTCACTTCGCCACGCAGCGACAAACTGGCAAAAAAGGTGGAGGAACTTCCTCTCGGGCGCCGTTGCACAAAATCCACCCGTCGCCCGCTTCGCAACGCCACCAATCCCTCGCAGTTACGTTGCGGCCTTTTAGACCTGTCGGGAGAGCAGCCGAATTGTTAGCAAGCTCAACTCCTACAGGCGCAGGCTAACGATTCCAGCAGGAACAGCACCATTTGTGCACAAGGCACACAGCCGTGCGCACAAAAGAACTCATCTTGCTGGCGACTGGAAACAGGGAGCCGGCACGCGCGCCGCCAGTACGCAAGCTGGGCCAGAGAGAGTTTGAGGAAAGGGGAAATCACAAGAGGGGAACAAACGAAAGGGGGCTGGGCACCCAAGGGCCCTACGGGGCACCGCGTGCGCCAAATGCGACTTCCTTTTCTCATCGAGAAATGGGCGGAACAGGACAGATGCTGTAGGGACCACGGCCTGGAGGCCTCACTTTCCCTGCCATGGGAACATGGGAATTTATGACCATCCCATCAAAATGCCCAAGCCCAAAACGCACGCGCGCACACGCACGCACACCGTTTCGGACATTGGTAGGATTTTGTCGCTCGTCAGTCATACTGCGCTTTTGCCCTGGCTTGTGATTTGAGCTTAACCCATGGCTGTCATCAACTCGTGCATGCCCACCTTGATGACCGGGAAGCGGGTGGTGTCCAGGAAGAAGTCTTTCTTGGTGGCCTCGTCCTTCAGCCAGCGAGTGTTCTGGCCCGCAGTGGCCTTGAGCACGAACACAAGGCCACCCGCCTTGAGGATGCCGCGCAACGGAACCTGTGGCAGGGTGCGAGGCGAACAGGCAGGGAGAAAGAACGGGATCATATAGCAACGGCATGGCATATCGCAACGGCGCCGCTGAGTTTGATGCAAACAGCGGAGACGTGAATCCCGGGTCACCGTGCAATCGCACCGTACGGGAAACGAGGAGAGGATGGCGTACGCTAAGAGACTTCCGGAGGCATCCGGACAGAAGCGAAGCAGCAAATAAGTAGCTAACGGTAAAACAGTGAAATGGCGGACAGATCGTAGGTTATAAGCATAACAAGTGAACAGGGAGCATCCGGACGGAGAACGTCGCTTAGGCCGTACCCGTACACCCGGATATCCCTCTCATGTCCCTCCACTTCCATGTTCCTGTTACCGCTGGCACCCGGGGTCCAGCGTTAAGTGCCCGAAGGCTCCCCCTGGCCCTTCCCCACCACCCCCGGTCTTGTCCTAAACCCCGCCCCCGTATCCGCACTCCTCATCACGGCTTACCTGCAGCAGCAACACGTACACGGCCGAATTGCCCTCTGGGCCCGACATCTGCTGCTTCTCAAACGAGCATTGCCAGGCGCCGCCTGCGAAAAACAGCGGATATGACGAAGGGATTGCCATAAAGGAAATGCCCCGGGCGACACAGTGGCTTCATCGATGAATTCAGGCAGCCCAGGGTGCGTCCGTAAAGTCACTGCACCGTTGCCGCTGCTGCTACTGCTCAGACCCAACCGCTTTCCTCCCATACGCACCCGCGTCTACGACCTTGTTGGGCGAGGCGGCCCAACCCTGAGGCGGCAAGCCCCAGGCGCCCCCGGCCGCATCCGTTGCGCCCCAGTGCAGAATGAGGCCCTCGAGACGGGACCAGGAAGCCTGTGCGTGCCGGAATGCGAAGAGGAGCCGGGGGAGTGAAGTGTTAAGGCCGTGGTCTCATTCGTCGTGGACGGCTGCGAAGGATGGGAAACGCGGTTTCGGACGAATACGACACAAAGTGGAACGGATTGCGCAGCAACGTACCATCAGGAAATCGTAAGGATGCAGTATGGGGTGATAAGCAAGCATTTGCATTCGGTAAGCCCAAGTAGTTGGTAAGGATGCTGTTTTAATCACATTTTTGCCGATATCGATTTCCCGCGACAGGGAAGCAGCAAAACTCAAGGTTCGCTCAATTCATATAATACTGGTGTTGAGGCACAGGAGGGTGCTGGTGCTGCCCTAACATGCTCGTCCCACAGGAGACTGCAAGCGTGCAACTGCTGCACACCGCCTGCCTGGTCGTGTAGCGCACCTTCCCTGGCTTTGGGTGAGTTAGTTGCACTGAGCCCCGCACAGATTCTCCAGGATTTCAGTTCGCATCCGGGGGTATTCAGCCGCCAACCTTGGGTAAACAAAACAGTGCACTGAAAGAGCTCATGGGCTCCACCTTTCTCCCTAAATCAGAATCGTAACTTTATCTGTCTATAAAACATTCACAAAACGATTAATATTCCCTGTTCTATGGGGGGCCCCGAGTGCGCAAAATCTCACCTGGCGCTCCGTCTCCGTGGCCACAAACGCAATCAGTGCCGTCTTGTCGAGACCCTGTGGGTTGTTAACATACGGTGTTCCTGGTTAAGGCAACTGGCAGTCAGGTTCTGGCAAGTTTCTGGGATGCGCCGCGATATCGAGGTCACGACGACAAACCCTCCATCCCCCGCGTCCTATGCCGTATATTTTCGACACGTCCACATGCAACCCACATCGCACAACGGTTAGCCATGAATTCTCAAGGGAAGACACGCGAAAAACGCATACGTACGCAGCTCAAGCCGTCACCACTTGGTGGATCCGGCCTCTGACGTTCGAATGTCACCTTTACTTTTGTAATTGCACACAAAGACTGCTCTGCCACATAAAACAAGTCCACGCAAAAATACAGCAGCCGCACACCTGCTGCAGTGTGACCCCCGACACGCACAGTGCCGCGTCGACATCCGTGGTGGTGAATGATATGGAGGCGGCATCTAAGTCGGCGTTGGGCTTGCCAAGAGCCTGCAGCGGCAGAAAGGAACATGCACCAGCGGCAGATTGCGTGGCTGTGCATTAAGGGGGGCCGAGTGGGACTAAACAAAAGCAGGACGACGCGCAAATGAGAATGAACAGATTTACCGGCCGTGACCACCCGACGATGCGACGTCCTTCCCGCCACGATCCTCTTTCAAGTACATCTATGTATACATGTAGTTGCCAAAGCACATGCTGCCACGTCAGTCAGAGTCCGTCCTCCCCGTGCCCCTGTCTGGCCACAACTTCTCCCACACCGCCCCCAGGTCAGCCATTCCCCACAACCCTCAACCCTCCTATGTCCCAACCCTCCCAGTGCATCGTCGGCTGAAGCTACATGGGCACCAGCGCCAATTCCTTTCCCCTTTCCAACCCATATGCCGAGACTTGTACGCACAGCCCCAAAACCAAAGCACACCTTCCTCAATCCCCGCGTAAGGTAAATTAATATGGATTTTCACTACGACCGCTCTTCCTGTCCAGAACTTGCGCTTCTGACGACCCCACACCGATGTTACAACTCCCATACCCCAGTGGACTGCGCCCATCGACCCAGCCCAGGCGCAGCCCCCGATCACGCAGCCTCACCCACCCCGTCTATATGCCTTCACAGACAGCCCGTCCCTCCTCCCGACGTTTGCGGCTGGTGGCCCGCTGTCCCACACGCACCTGCTTCAGCTGCACACTGGCCAGGGCCTCCAGCCGCTCGTGGAGATCGCGCGGCAGCTCGTTGAGGTTGATATCGCCCACATGGGACAGCTTGAAGTCCGAGATGCCAGCGGCACCGCCGCTGGATGGCACGTTCGTTTCCCCCGTCGCATACTTCGACTTAAAGCTGCCCGCGGAGCTCCGAATGGCGGCCGCAATCTCACTGCGTGTGGAAGAATCAAGGCTTCTCAAAAAAAGGAATCGAACAAAACCCAGGGGAAGTGGATCTTTGGGAGCCCCGGGGAAAGATTGGACGTGATGGAAGCCATGGAGTGAGATAGGTGTGGTAGGGAGGAGGGGAATTATATAAGAAGCAAGGTAAAAAATGAAATAAGGACAGCGGCAGGGACGCGCGGCGGGGGCGGCGTCGCGAGGAGCCCTACGTGGGAGGGTTAAGTGCGTGATGTAGCGTAGGTCGTGAGCAAAACGCGTCAAGCCAGAACCCGAGGTAATGAGCGACACAACACCGAGAAGAAGGAATAATAGGATAGTGGAAGAAGGAAAGGACGTCAACTGCACCGACGTGTCTAGACCGCAAACCGCCGTAGGGGTCCAAAGTCATCATGCAATTGCCCTTAACTCCGAGGGAGGGGGAGGGGGACATATTTCGCGATGTCGAGAGAAGGAAAATGAAGCTGCAGCCCGCGGAATCGGGAATTATTCCATTTATTTGATGATGGGGAAGCCAAGGGATCCAGAGGATGTCGGTGATCCCCCCAGCTAAGGTGCCGGTGGCACTAACACATGGCAACCCACCCGAGCCATAACGGGCCCGACGGGATAGTAACCGCTTCCCGTCCCTGCTGCCTGCGCCCTCCACGCGACCCACATGCCGGCACGGATGCCGTACAACCCTTACCGGTAGCCACTTCCGCACAAAGATAGGTGACCACATTCACCCAACCTCCCTAACACCCGTACGAGGGTCAGAACCCACCGGCCGTAGTCGAGCTCCGACTTGGAAGCCGGGGCGCTGGCAGAGTCCGCCCGGTGCTTTGAAATGTACGACGTCCAGCTGTCCCAAGCGGTGGTTGCGCTACAGGCGACACCTAGATCGAGGATGCAGGGAATCAAGCGTTTTGGAGGAAGACCGCGGTACTCCTGTTGACAATCCCGACACAGTCTCGACAACATTTCAACAGACAGGATCTAAGCAACGGGAACGCCACAGGTGCCCGTCGTGCGAATCCACGACCACCAGCTGGGTGGTGCTTGGGTGCTACAGCTGGTGCGATGAAGGCGTTGGGCGGTAACTTGTAACGCAACTTGTAACGCAACGTACTGGCAGGAGCTCATACGAAACAAATTGCGTGGGAAGCGCGTTTGCAGCTGCGATTCCGAGCTACGGAGATCCGAAACGTTTAAATACCGTGGATGCACCCCGTCACAGGAGGTTTGGCAACTCGTGTTACGCATATACAGCTGGTGAGGCTGGTTATGGGCATCTTTGCCCTGCGAGGGAAGTATGATGCTTTTGGAAGTGCCGCAGCTTTCCCTCCGTGTTGAAGCCCTGTTAACCCGCATGTTCCCTTCCCTAGGGAATGCGGCGCGTAGCATGTCACCAGTTGTCGTGAGGGGTCGTGTCAGCCGTTGGGGGGAGTAGAACCCTCACCTCTAGGAGCGCCACGGTTAACGTTGGGCGCTTGGATCGGGCGCGGCTGGGTCACGCCCGTGGACCTGATGGAAAAGTCGGCCTTGGGGTAAGATCCAGTTCACGGCGACGGCGCAAGGCTACAGAGCAAGGACAGATCAAAACGCTGCAGAATGACCTAAGCAGGGCTTCGCACCTCGCCACACAAGGTGTCATCAAAGAAGCGCGCATTTCTTCCGTCCCCTGCGCGAGTTAGCATGGATGGATCAATTGCCTGGTGATTACTTAACATATATTGTTGCTTCGCCAAAGCTGCTGCCGCCGCCCTTAGGCGACCACACTGTCGCCAACACAATCAAGCCCCACTGCCGTTGCAATCCCGCTACTCCGACACAGCGCTTTATGGATATATGTGGACAACCCACTAGCATATGAAGTTGTGCGCATTTACGCCGCAACAGCATCCAGGCCTTCTCCAAGATTGCCCGACAGCACAACACGTGCAGCTTCCACCCATCCATACCTGTGCGTCAGCAACTGTTACTTCCTGTACTTTAAAATCAGCACTCGCCAATCGGTCCTCCGCAGCCAGGTGGGCTTTCGCGGAAGATGTCAAAAAATTTATGATACTCAGACAAGCCGATGCAGCTACTTTGGGCTGTGATGAACAACGTACATTATTTAAGTGCACTAAAATATTTTGCTTACTTAACGAGAGTTTCAAGCATCGATACCCCTCAACCGTGCGGATTCCGGAGCGTCGAGAAGTCCAAAGACCGCATTACTGTTATATGCTCGGCGCGTGTTGCCAGGCAAGTATAATTCAAAAAGCAAGGGGATCTTATACTTTTGGAAGTAACATAACTGTGCTACGAGTGACGAGACCTTCCTTCTTATGAGCGTGTGTGAGACCACCATAAGTTCACGATCCAAGATGTTACATATTTACCTCACAATCTTCCATTCGGAATTCCATACTGCGCTACATGGGACCCATAGGAAGCCATGGGCGTGGAGCAGGGCGCAAAGTCTCCAAATACTTAGGCACAATACTGCGCAACCTGGTCGCGTAGTTCCTCAAAGCCCCACCTCAATGCACATCGAAGAAAGTGCGCTGCATTTATGCAAAGTGTTCACGACTAGACTGAAAGGGCTTAACAGCAAAGCATAAGCACCAAAGCACCGGACAGACCTCCAGTGGCTTTTTTGGCTCACTAAGCAACACCTCCACCAGCCACTCGACTCCTGATATGTAATACGAAATCCAACCCTCGAAATTCAAAATAGTCACAACGATCATTCAGGTAGGGTCGGGGAGAACGGCAGGCGCATCGAATTGACCACTCCATCACACAAGCAGCTATCACGCACTGCGGCTTGGACCTCCATTGCAGCAAAGTAGCCCTCCACTGCAACAGGTCAAGGGCTTCACCCTGACGCAGCCCAAAGTTGCGCAGCCCAACCGTGAAACGCAGGCGATTCGGCGATACATCCGATAGAAACTGCACTGACCGCACATATAAAATACCCTACCTTGCAAGCACACGAACCCAAAACGGCGCCGAGTGGGCGCGCGCCAGATGCTTCCCGTCATCCTAAGATCACCCGAACGCTCACATCCCCCGCAGGGCCCCACACGTCAACCCATTCCTGCCGAAACGCACAGCGGAAGCGACCAAGCCTCAGAAATTGGCTGAGACTGTCACTCTTGCCGTAAACCAGAGCACAGCAGGAGAGCCGAACCGTCACAAAGGATAAGCAGTCCTCCGAAAGTTCGCCAGAAATAGGGCGTACTCCCAGAAGGACGCAACTCCCCGTGACGAAGGACGTAACAGATGAGATTGCTCGGATAATCAGAAGCACTAAGGTCCAGCTCGCAGCCTCTCAAACAAAATACTGGTGTATCTGCAGGCGTCACCTTCGAGACGAGGGCCGAACTAACCACACACGCAATGTGCAACCGACAGGCATTAAATATAGCTCAGCACACGAAGCACACGCTATCATCAAACCGGCAGCAGTTCAAAGTCCGCCCGCCCAAACCTGCAAATCCATGACCCCTCCGGCTCACCACTTCTCGCTACGCTCGTCGGCATATCCGGCCTCTCACTCACTCACTCATGCACGGGACGACTCGAAATCCCACGCAATCAACACACGTATCAACAACTCTCACACGACGCAATAGCTTTCATAAGAGGTTTGAAGCTCCCCAGCCAAGCGAACTCCTCATCCTCTCCACCTCCTCGTACTCTGCCCCTCACAACGTCATTGTCGCTAGAGCTGCTCCGAACGAAGACAGCACGCCAACGACATTTAGGCACTAGGCAACGCCAGCTCTCAGCTTTCATCCCTAAGCTCACAAATTTTCACTTTTCAAAAGGCCGTCGTACCATGGACTCACGCCGTACATAACAAATCGTGATGTGCGCCGCACCACCAGACTGCCATCCGCTCCTCTCCACCCTCAAAATAACCTCGTTTGCAAACATGCTTAGCTCTCAACTCTCACCGGCTCACCCTCACTCTCTTTTCACTTTACTCGGATAGAACCACTCATGGTACGCGGGGCACCGCACACAAACATGGAGGAACACCGCACTCAAAATACGTCACTTTAAATACAATATGGAGACCAGCATCTGTTGGAAAACCCGACCTTACTGGAAGGGCCACAACTAACACTGTTTGTCGGCGGCATGGCTTTGTGAGAAACACCATCATGGTAATGCCAAAGACCGAGGTTTCCAGAACCCTGGTCGGGCAACAAACGTGGTGTCGTAATGGCGTCATGTCGGAAAGCAGCCTACTGCGCAGCCGTACAGAGGCAAGCCTGCAAACCGCAGGCCGCGGTGGAAAGCCGGCCGATAAAAGAATTAGGTACTTCATACAAACGCGGAAGAAACGCACCTCGCAGAGCATACGTTGGAAAACCTCATCTGCCGGACGAGATCGACTCAGTAGTAGAACATAGCCATTCCATTCCGAGAAACAACAACTCGAGGCACCTGCCAGGGAACTGATATCTCCCCAGTAGAGCCGCTAGTGCAATGCTCTAGGTCCTATACCTCTTATGGGCGTATGAAGTCACCCATTTCCCTATACATCCGCCATGGCCAGACCAGGACTCTGCAGCGCGCAACATGTCAACACAACCACCGAGACACGACGACGCGCATTCGGGCATGGCCATGTGCATCACCTCTACCAATAGTCGTGTGCGAAGTAGCTCAGCAGTCACCGTCATGCACGCCAGTGACAAGGCTCAGCGGCCGACCGACAAACGAAATATAAATCAATAAGCAATATCCATGAAATGTGACGGCTGAGAAGGCCCATGGCAGTGAACAGCCTCAAGGATAGGGACCAATTAAATAGACAAACCGATTTTAAGCTGCAGGACCCTAAGCCGGCAGACAACGCGCATTGCTGAGGCAAACCTCGCCATAGCTTCCCAGATTGGTGCTAACGAAGAGGCGATGCGGAAATCAAATCAAGGGACTGCCCTTGACAGCCTCGATTACCAGAAGAGCAGCGAAGCCAATCCTGCATAGCAAAGCATTGGGATGGCCGTCAGGTGAAGAACTTTGCAGAGTTAAGCATTTTGACCATCATACGGCGCGCCATTACTCAGTCAATTTGGTATTACAAACTCGCAGGAAACTCGCCTCGCACAGACGAGGGACGCCTGTCATCAGTTTTTGCGGATGCAGCGGCGAAGTGATATTTCTGTCACGAGCGAAAGACTTACATTGCGGCACGGCCGTTTATGAGCTCGGCTTGCGGCGTGAAGGGCCCCAGCCTGTCATCACGCTTGGGCTGGAAGGCGGTAACGAGAGATCCCGCAATGAAGAGCACGAAGGCCAGAGACACGCCCGTGGGCTCCTCACGCCACTGCCGCAGCACGCCCTCGCCGCTGACGAGCTCTGCTGCTATTGCGCTCACGAACCCCAGCATTGCCAAGCGCCCGTTCACGATTTCTGGAGCCGTGCCGCTGAAAGACATTACATCTGCGTGTCGTTAACAGATCGAGATTCAAGCGCGAATATGCGAGTTCACTTCATGCGAGAGTTAGGCTAAGGTCAGCGTTACAAACAAGTCTGGCATGCGAATGGAGCTGATAGGTCGTAAGTGCGTGTCAGCGTAGGCAATAGAACGATGGCAATAGGCATCTAGGGGATTACTGAAGGGTGGGAAACATGGACGGAGAAACCCGCAGTGCAGATGAACGGAAGGCAACCGTTGGCCTCCCGTTGAGTAAACACTGATCAACAGTCTAACCCAGATTCACAATTGACCAAAATCAACAGTATGCATAGCTTACCAGAAAACGATAACAGAGTCGAAGAGCCTTGCTTGGCTGCCAAAACAGTCGCTGCCGCCGGACGCACCAGGCTCCTTTGTCGAACGGTGTCCGCCCACTGCATAACAGAATAGAATTAAGAATTATTTACCCCAAGAAAGGCAAGATAAATGGTGTAATGTGCAGTTGTGCACGGGGGACGAAACATAATGCACCGATCACCACACAACCGCGCAGAGGACGCCAAGATGCAATTAACCGCTTAACTCACCTCTTCTGGCGAGTAGCTCTTTCCACCATAGAACACACTGCCGCTAGCCGTTGGCTGAACATTGTCCTCAGGGGCGTCACGGACAAGGCAAGCGCGCTTGTGATGCTGCTTGGCGCGATGCCACGTGCAAGCAAAGCGCTGCGATGAAGGAGAGTTAACCAAGCTGAAGACCATTGTAGACGACAGCGCGCGGTCGGAAAGCTGTAAGATTCGTAGATATCTGCTGTGTTGAATGCTGTTCGAGATGAAATGTGTAACACACAACGATTAAATTACACGTATTAAATGATAAACACAATTGCTAACGAAATGTATAAATGCAAGGTGAGGAAACGCATCATAATCACTGGCCACAAATTAGCGAAGCTTATTCGGGCCTGATTTGCCGTATGTGTGGCCAGCTGGACGCTCGTCCGCCGAGTTGGCAGACCGAATGGGAATCAGCCAGTTGGACGCCAGTGGAGGGCTCCAGCTCACTATTTGTTGTACACCTGTGCGATTTATTCTGGGGCCTGTTGAACCATAAGCACGGCACCCCGATTCGTACCCTAAGCTCTGAAGGCATCGGGGTCCTTTGAGGTTCTGCACACGATATGCTTACGCCGCGCTTACATACGAACATGCCTCGCAGTTTTAGGTATAAAGCTCTGAGCATATTTATTGGCGGTCAGTGCACAAACGACCTTTGTCGCTTCATCTTGACCGGTTAACTGTACACTCATGGCAACGTCTATGAGCGTGCTTAAATGTCCAAACATTATGTTTATATAATATAGGTTGTTGACTTCATCTGGGTTGCGGGACATGGACCATACCGGAAACGGCGAAGACGAACCTATTGAGATCCTGTTTGCGTCTTGGTAGCGCCGCGCCGAATAGGCACTGTAGAGCAATTATTTAACCACGATATTTAACCTCTCGACAGCTGTAACATAACTCATGTCACTTTACCTCTCGACAGCCAGCTCAAGCACCCTGCCACAAGTTGGGGTTCGGCACCCGCCGCACAGCGGCAGCGTGCAGCGACAAAATCACAGCGCACGTGTAGGAGCTGGCTCTGGCGGCGTCATTGCATCGCTCGAGGAAGCAACCGCTGTTTTTGGATGTGGTGTGGGATCTGGTGCGGCTACGCGACGTTTTGGCATTGTGGCCGGAAGTGGCCATGGCTCGTGTAGGCGTTACGGCTGACTGCGAGACCCGCGGGAGGGGTGATGGGTCAGTCGCTGAGTGGCTGGGAAGGTGGAACTGGTGATGGCGACGGCAATGGTTATGGCTGTTTCAGCGTGACGAAAACAGGAAGACGGGCACATGTGCGATGGCCGCGGAGCGAGAAGGAGAGACATATTTTACTTGTTCAGTGCCACGCTATTCTGTTCGAATCAAATCCTTTCCGTCCTCTCAGCGCCCTCTCGCTTCCTTTGAATGTCGTGTCAGTTCATATCGTTCCGTGTCGTGTAGCGCAGATCGCTTCCTTTCTTCACGCCTCCGGTTATCGTCCTTCCTGTCCCTTAGCTCCTTTGGCATCCTTTCCCTCTCGTCCGGCTGTCAAACTTTCCTGCTGCCGTCAGGCACTGATCTGGCTCGTGGTTAGCCGTCTTTGGGACCGACGTTGCTGCAGCCGCAGTCCTTCATTCTTTTCCTTGGCTACAGGTTTCAGCATGGGCGGTACCATCACGTGGCTGTTGGCAGAGATTAACCCATGGTGGTGCCGAATTTGGGTGTACAGGGGGTTTCCTGGGCTGTGCATAAGGAGAGAGTGCCGCCGCCGCGGCGGCGATGCAAATTGACTCAGATTGAGGCTGCCGTAGACTCGCTGGCCCACGCACACTCCGTACATGCCTACTAGTTGGCCATCCTATAATGACACTGACAAGAATGCGATAGCGGGCCGATGTGTAGGTTTCGGCATGTTAGCGGAGGCAAATAGCCATGATCAAACTTACAACAGCATGCAACGGCGTCCAGGGTGTCCGTAGATCAGGGCCCCGTAACTGCCTAGCTTGTCTAAAGAGCCGAACATAGCTTCCCTCCCGGCTTCAGTGAGTACCGTTCGACAGGTGGAAAGGGTTTTCTCCGGTCCGTAGGTTAAATCTAAGTACTGGGGATGGCCTGTTCTACCAGCTGCAGGCCCGCACAGTCCGCTAGGCACACTCCTTCCATCTCCTTGGAATGTGCAAAAAGAATGACCAACACAAGGAGCTCGCACTTATTAACGTCGAGCAGGGCCTGCCCAGCAGGCTGAGGTCATCAGCGTGAAGCAATAGTGACAAAGCTTCGCCATCGATGAGGGGGCATCAAAAATCGATTTCCTGCTTCGCGCGTCCTTCTCGTCTGCCATGCTACGTGGGCACCCCCGCTTAATACCGCAATGTACACTGCCCGACCCTATAATAAATTCTGGCGCAAGGGCTGGGGCATCGAGTCACCGGGCTGCCACCTGGAGGAACCGTCTCGTCCTTTGGACGCACCGGAAGGTGTAGGGGGCCAGGAATACACGCAACTCATAAGCACCTATATGTGTATCCTTGATTATATATTCTTAAGCGGGCAAGGTATCCCAGCTAAAAATGTACTTGTCCTTCGTTCAAGCTTCGGATTGTTGTTTTTTGTGCCGGCCTTCGCCTTCAGCTGCCGTTACGAAGGGGTAGCTTTTCTGGCGACCCCAAAAACGCGGACTTTCCGTTCCAACCCTTTGCCTTCATCCGCGGAAGCGTGCGCACTCGCTACGCTAAGCGTCAGTAAAAGCTTTTAATCACCTTTCGTGTAAGGGTCCCTGTCTATTACTTGAAGTAGGCGCACTGCCTCGAGGGGAGCTAACTTGCCTAGAATGCTGATCCTAGAATGTCTTTATCTAAGGGTGTATTTCCAGTGCGGATTAAGGCCAGGAATTAACCTTCTGTCCTCCATCGATACTTGCTCAAACGGCTAAGTTGTTGGCAAACCTACCTCGCCCTTTCAACCTTTGGTTTCCTTGCGGAACAAAACTGTGTGGTAAGCTCGTACCAAGGACTTCCGTGCCCTAATCCCTGGCCTTAATCCGCACTGGAAATGCACCCTAAGGCTGGACTGAAAACATGCACGCATTGACAATCGAGGCAGGCACACACGGCACGAGGATTTTGGAGCGGATGTGCAATCGTACTGGGCCTAATCATTTTCAGTATGGCAACTTGATGGCATGTTTCCGACGTAACCTCAGCAGTCATAAACTGCGGTTTCAAATAAGGTTGGCCTTCATTTCTTAACTAGGCGGACGTTGGGGCCGTCTACACGACAGCGACCCAGAAGGACTCTTATTTGCAGCCACTCCTTAATCCCTCAGTCCAGCACATTTCCAAGCACAGGCATGACTGCAAACCCTGAAAGTTACAGACAGTGTCCGCACAAGTGCGGAGGGATCCGTGAAAGCCAGCGGCCCCATGGATCGCTAGGGAAAGTTTAATGTTATGGTGTCGGGGGCGATTATCGCCGTCCCTCCCGCTCACTACAAGCTCAGGATAACGCCTGGAGGATAACAGAAGGCACCCCTGTGCCAGCCATTCAACAAAGGCGTAATGCCGTCCGCTCGCGGCCAACGTATATTATTACCCAATACCTGCATAGCAACAGACACTCGCGAGATACGAACACTAGTTGATACCATCGCTGAATCCCGGATACACCACCAAACAGCCTTGCCACACAGCACGATACATGCCACAACACTGCACTCCTTTTCAGGGCTTTAGTCGATTGCAACGTGCACGTTCGGCTTTCGTTCACCAACCCTGACCCGGAGCATACCGATCCTCGCAGTCCTACTGGCCTGCATTTCTACCTACACGCCAAACCCCTGCAATCCTCTGGGTACACACTTGACGGCACCCATTATGCAATATCAAGACAACAACACACGAATCAAGACCACCAACAGGCAAACAGCACGTGCCTCACGGCTCGCGTATCATGGCTCGTAGTTAAGCATAGTTGCCAACCAGCGTTCCGCATCCTTGATGTCCATATTCTTGCGCACCGCATAGTCTTCCACCTGCTCGCGCGTGATCTTACCGACGGCAAAGTACGACGAACAACGGCCGCCGAAATAGAGGCCGCTGACGCTCGCCGCTGGCCACATGGCCAGCGACTCGGTCAGCTTGATGTCGGTTGTGGCCTCCGCGTCCAGCAGCCCCCACATGGTCAGCTTCTCTGTGTGGTCGGGCTGAGACGGGTAACCCGGTGCGGGACGGATGCCCTGCATGCATTACGTAACAATGTCGCGTGGGAGCTGTGTTTCGCATGACCATCCATGCATGAGAAGCACTGCATGGCGTAACGTGTGGTCGGAGGTCCAAGCTTGCATGAGCAAGGTATGGATATTCGGAAGGCCGCTGACCTGTGTCCACAAGACAAATGCTGGCGGATTTCTAGGCAATGGCAATGCAACAACGCTAGTAACGTACTGTGGTAATGCCGCAGTGTCTGCAAACAAAGCTAACAAACCTAGTCAAGAAGCACGCCTCACACGACACGGTGCGGTCCCAAAGACCACGGTACGGCAACAATTGCTGTGCAAGAACGCCACCAGGATAGCCATAACGCGATAGTCCACCGACCACGCGTGCTCAGTTCACGCTGCAATGGCACCTTCGTGCGGCGCTGTTCGCCGGTTCAGAACTTGGAAATTTCAAATCGTGACAACCGCTATGAGTCACAACTGCCACTCGGCGGAGGGTGAGCGCCCGTGACGCACCTGGTACTTGACCTTAAGCATGTCGTCCACGCTCATCTGCTCGTCCGCCGCGTAGCCCCAGTAATCGCGACGTACCAGCTCGTGCAACCGCTCCGCCAGCGCCTCCGCCAGGCGGTCCGCCAGCGCCTCCGCCATAATGTAGCTGTAGTCGTCCCCGGCGGCCTTAAAGCCGGCAATCACCTCCTCCAAGCCGTGGCCTGCGATATGCATGATAAAGGAACATGGCGCGAGTGCGGGGCCAACAGAAAAGCGAGTCATAGGCCAGGGGGACCCGGAGGGTTTATAAACTAGCGTATAATACTTGGCGTGTCCAGCTCATGTTAGTATCTGGGGTAGTATACTGTTCCCGCCTTACCGTGCCAGCATCCATAGTCATTACGACATGAACTCCTACGACCTAATGTATGATGGCTCACGCCGATGCTTGGGCTGAAGCACCTCGACGTTAAGTTTATGTGAGGTTATTTTCGTCAGCCGTTCGCAAGTCGTTGCCAACCAATTAACTATGACCAGGCGTAAAGACATGCCAGATCAACCTTCCTTTGCACCAGGCTATCGATCCTTACGCACAGATATTAACCCCATCCTCGACGCCGCAGGTGTTCCCATACCAAAATCTGGCATAATGGGACGACGTGTCTAGCGCATAACTTTCCACGCATCGCAAGAACCGATAGTCTGGTACAAAGGATGGTTGACCCTGACGAGGTCTATAGACCTGAACTGCCTCCAGTATGCCCGCGCCCCACCTGCCGAGCATGCAAACATCCCGACATAGTCCTCAAGGCCGCTGCCCTTGGGGGCCACAAAATCCGAAATGCAGTAATAGGGCTCCACGCCATCCTTCTCCGCCTGCTGCCGCAACCCTGCCAGCCGCGCCTTGACGCTGCTGCGCGACTCGTCCGTGTACACCTCAATGTCATCACCCACAGCGGCTGCCGGGTACAAGCCCACCACAGCCTTGAGCGTCACGCGTTTATTCTTCACAAAGTCGTTCAGCATAACCTGCATGGGGCCCAGGACATCATATGCGGCGAAGTCGTGGGCAACAACGGAAGTATAATAGCAAAGCAGTGAGCTGGGCAACTGCAACACTGCATTGGCAATGCGCTGGTTCAGTGCTGACATGCAAGGCCCGGGCCCGCTGATGGGCCTGCTAGACGTTCCTCGGTGATCCCAAGGAGCTTGTTCGCGCCGCTTTGGTCGCATTCGCATTCATCCTCCCATTGCCTGCAACCATCGCACCTGGGCCTCCTCGTACAGCTTCTTAGCCTCCGCACCAACGGTGGCGTCGTTAAAGATGCGTGGGAAGCCTCGGTTTGGGTAGCGGCCGCGTAGCTGCCACACCTGAAAAGCGGCAGAACGGTCACTATTAGAACTTCGCCACATGCATATCGAGGATCCAGTCGCTGACTCTCAATCTATTTCGTTATGCAAGCTAGTCGCCTATAACGCGGATTGTGTACGTGAGTCAGGGATGAGCCAACATCGCCGAGGATTTGCTTACTGCTTTTACCTGTGCTTCCAAATATGGACCCGATGGACTCGATCTAAACTGGAGGCATCATCCCCCTTTGCGATCTGCCCCACATCCTCAACTTATTGATGCTTTACCCATGTCGGATGCACTCACTTGAAAGAACGGGTTCCAGTCAATGTACGGCAGTACGTCCTCTATGGGGTACTCCGTGAAGACCGTGTTCCCAAGGACCTGTGCAGCAGGTCAACGCAAATCAGGAAGGAACATTATCATAAGCGGGAACCCGCAACATGAGGAATCCAGCTCGGCCATCTTCGGCGCCCCGAAGCGACAAGCGAGAACAGCATGGCCGTTACGCCGCCGCTGCTGTGGGGGCCTGTAAGGCAAACTGCTTTCGTATTGGATGGATGTGACAAACCCGAATAAAATGCGCCACAGGTTAGGTGTGCACGATCAAGCACCTAAGCCGTTAACGCCGTGGCGGCAACGACACTCAGGAGGTGCACCTTGGGCTTGAAAGGCGTGTTGATCGGGTCCTTCCAGTCCACGGCAAAGGCCCGCTTCCGCGCCTCTGCCAAGCTCAAGTACTTCCGGTCCTCCAAGGACGCGTAAAATTCCTCGCGCAGCTCCGCGTACTGCTCGGCCACCTCCGAAATAAATTCCTGCGACGCGGCCAGGGAACGCCGCAAATATAGCCCAGCAACTGTTGCCGTGTACTCATAGTCCGGATCCAGCAACTCCGCAAGACAATCGTGCAATGCATGCCTGGCTGACGACCTAGCAGGTAAACTTTTAGCATATATGATGATTTCGCACATGGCCGAGGGCGCCATGAAGGAGAATGTGACCTTCCAAGTCATGTGCATGGAAGGTTGGCCGTAGTCGTGACTGCCAATATGACATTCCATTCACGTCCCCCATTTCTGCCACCATGGTCAGTTCTACCCTCTGCACCCTGCGATCTGTACAGTGCAAATCTACTGCAAGCCAGCCCTGGCCCAACCCGCACCTGTCGTTGTGTCAGGTTCTTATCAACGAAAGCCTGGCAAACCGGCACACTGCGCGACGCGTCCAGCACGTGCACCACAGGGCCGCTGTACACGGGTGCGATCTTAACGGCGGTGTGCATCTTGGATGTAGTCGCGCCGCCGATCAGCAACGGTGTCTGCAAGGACAGGCCAAAAAGGATTTGGAGACCCGGGTCATATGCAGAAGGGGCAGGGGCCGGGCCAAAGGCGGCTTCGGATGCGAAACGACATTATCAAAAGTCTAGCAGTGCTAGGTGTCGGTCGCAGCTGCTGAACACCCTATCTTTCGTATACTTCTTCTTCTTCTATACCTCAAAGAGCTTATCCGGTGTAAGTGCCAAGCAAACGAGCACAATGCGTTGCAAGCAGCAGCTAATGAAATATACCCTGCAATGAGTCATACATCTCCCTGAACAAGCGATCCCGCACAACCGTCTGGATGCAGGCAAGGGAAAAGGCCCATAGGACACGCGAGACGATTTCGTTGCATGCCAGCAGCGGTACTTGAACGTCGGAATGTTGCAAGGCCTGATTTCACCTGCCTTCGTACCCCAATCACCTTACCTTCAGGCCCCGCTCCTCCATCTTCTTGGCCACGGTAACCATCTCGTCCAGCGAAGGGGTGATGAGGCCCGACAAACCTATAATATTGGCCTTATGCTTCTCCGCAGCGTCTAGGATGACGTCCCACGGCGTCATCACACCCAGGTCGATCACCTGGTGCCACATGCAGGCACGCCACCACGTCACTGAGAAGCTTCTCGGGCATTGTGGAACTGACAAGTTAGCATAGCTAACGCAGGAAGGAGCACAGTCGTGTAAACATGAGCGGCAGCCGCCCACAGGACTCAGCCATACGAGGGCGACACTTGCCGTGACTCGTGGTAAACGAGGAGATAAGACATACTTGCGTCGTCCCATGCTTTCTCGCTTGATGTGATGAGAACTAGGGAGGTGTGTGTGGCGGACAACGGACTATGGAATGTACCTTGAAATTGTTGCAGCCAAGCACCACGCCCACAATGTTCTTCCCGATGTCATGCACGTCGCCCTTCACCGTTGCCAGCACAAACACCCCCGCATTCGAGTCCTCGCCGACCGTGCCGCTCAGACGTTTCTCCTCCTCGATGAAGGGCACGAGGTGTCCAACCGCCTTCTTCATGACGCGTGCGGACTTAATCACCTGCGAGCATTATGAGGACAGGGTCTAACTATGAGGACGGGGTCTAACTAAGAAAGGAAGTCAAAAAGATCCATCCGCCAATCTTTGCAGGCCAATCAGCACGCATTAGGTCTGCGGCTGCATTAGTAGCCACACCAACATATTACCTATTCGTGGCTCCTAGAGCATGACCCTTGAACCTGAATACCATGCAGCACTGAGCTTGTACTGACATGTGCGACAGCCCCTGCATTTCCGTGTCTGCCCGTGAAACCGTAAAACCACCAGCGCCTCACGAATCCCACCTGGGGTAGGAACATCTTGCCCGCACCGAAAAGGTCGCCGACAACGTTCATGCCGTCCATCAGTGGGCCCTCAATGACATGCAGCGGCTTCGTATACCTGTGCGGCGATAGGTCACAAAAGCAACCTGATAAAGATCAAGAGCTCGGCTTCAAAGAGTGTCAGGAGGCAGGAGTTCAACCAAAAGCATCTTGTAGGTTGCATAACCATGTAGCGCCTCCGTGAATAAGCCTTCCCCTTGAAGTCCCAACTCGTGGAGTACAATTGACGTCCATAAGCGTTCAGCCTACGGCTAAAACTTTACAATGGGACGCAATTTCCAATTTCTTTCGTACCTGCCACACGTCCTCGCTTCCTCGGTGTCCACGACTGCAAACTCATCAATGCCCTTTACAAGCGCGTACTCAATGCGCTTCTCCACGGGCAAATCCCTCCACGACTCCTCCTTCTTGGCACCAGCGCCCGCCGCTCCCTGAGTCGCACCTTTCTTCACCACCGCCGTGGGCTTGCATTTGGGCTCAAGGAGAGCAGCGAATTCCAGCATACGCTCCGTTGCATTCTCGCACCTTACGGTGTGGAAGCAAGTTGCGTGGGCAACGCGTGGGACAAGGACACCAGCAAAAATGCTTAGCAGTCATGACACCGACCCATCGCCATAGGCGAGAATACGCGACATTCCACCCAAGGTAAACAAGCAATCCACAGGGATTTTGAGGTCCAATGCGCGCATCACGTATAGAAACATGCAGCACCCTGCGAGCATCACGCACAATTCTGCACGAACGCAACACCACGCAGCAAGTCGTCTTACTTGTTAAGCAGCACATCCTCCACGAACTCCAGCAGCTCCTTGTCGATCTTGTCGTAAGCGTCCTCCTTCACCTGTGCCGCGTTGACAATGCCCATATCCATGCCAGCAGCGCAAGCATGCTGCAGGAAGGCGCTGTGGAAGGCGCGACGGACCGCCTCGTTTCCGCGGAAGCTGAACGCGATGTTGCTGACGCCGCCGCTGATCTTGGCGCCCGGGCACAGTCGCTTGATTTCGCGGGTTGCGCGGATAAAGTCCACCGCATAGTTGTTGTGCTCCGGCAGGCCCGTGCCGACGGTGAGGATATTGGGGTCGAAAATAATATCCTGCGGGTTGAAGCCCACCTGCTCTACCAGGAGCTTGTACGCACGGCAGCAGATCCGGACCTTGTCGGCATAGCCGGCTGCCTGGCCCTGCTCATCGAAAGCCATGACCACTACAGCAGCGCCGTGACGCTTCACGATCTCCGCCTGCTTGCAGAATGCCTCCTCGCCCTCCTTCAAGCTGATGCTGTTAACGATGCACTTGCCCTGGCTGCACTTCAAACCGGCCTCCACAATATGGAACTTGCTGCTGTCAATCATGAACGGAACCCGGCTGATCTCAGGGTCGCTGACCAGCAGGTTCACGAAACGGGTCATAGCCGCAACCCCGTCGATCAGGCCGTCGTCCATGTTAATATCCAATACGTCCGCACCCTGCTGAACCTGCTGCAGCGCGATGGCCACGGCCTTTTCGTAATCGTTGTTGATGATGGCCTTCTTGAACAGGATGCTGCCCGCCACGTTGCACCGCTCCCCGATATTGAGGAAGGTCCGGCGCATGTTGGCAGGGTCTGGGTTGTAGTTCAGTGGCTCCAAGCCACTGATACGCATCAGCGGCTCAGTCGCCGGCGGTTTGCGAGGCGGGTACGCAGACGCCATCGCCTTAATGGCCGCGATGTGCTCCGGACCCGTGCCGCAGCAGCCGCCGATGGCATTGACCAGCCCAGCCTCGCAGAACGGCCGGATCTCCTCCGCCATCTCCCCGCCCTTCTGGTCGTAACCGCCCATGGCATTCGGCAGGCCCGCGTTCGGGTAGCACAGCACGTAGCAGTCCGCGCAGGCGCTCAGGTTGGCAATGTACTTGAGCATATCGCTGGCGCCAAGAGCGCAGTTGAGGCCCACAGCCATGGGCTTGGCGTGGTTGATGCTGTTCCAGAACGCCTCGTTGGTTTGGCCGCTCAGCGTGCGGCCGCTGTTGTCGACGATGGTCCCGCTGATGAATACGGGCACACGCACACCACGGTCCGTGAAGAATTGCTCCAGCGCAAACACGGCCGCCTTGGCGTTCAGCGTGTCGAAGATGGTCTCAACAAGGAACATGTCAATGCCGCCCTCGTACAGCGCCTCAATCTGCTTGTAGTACGCATCCACCACCTCATCGTACGTGATGCCGCGGAATGCTGGGTTCTCCACGCTGGGCGACACGCTGAGGGTCTTGTTGGTGGGCCCGATGGCGCCCGCCACGAAGCGCGGGCCGCTCTCCGGATGGGCTGCAAGGAAGTCCTTGACGCACTTTTTGGCAAGTTGGGCCGCCGTGCGGTTGATGAGAGCGACCTCCTCCTGTATTAGGGTGAGTAGTAGTCGTTCAGGCACTGGTTACATCCCCTGTGGCTCTCTGGCTTTTCAAGTAATTTCGAATCATATTATCTAGGTAACAGCAATCAATAACTTATCAGGGCTACGTCCATAGTCCATCATCCCCTTTCGAGGAAAAAATTTTATATGCTAAAAGGACTTAATTGAGGCCACACGAAGCAAGCTAGGTAGTCCAACATGACCGAAACTCCGCCTCAGTCATCTAGCATGTCAGAAAGTACCGCAGGTTTGACGTCACGAAATAGTTTAATCTTGAATGGGAGCTCATAATGGGTGTCCCAAGAACAGGACGCATCCCAAACAAGAGACAAGATAATAGAACATTTGCGACATGGAAAGTGCCGAACAGGATGCAATACCAGAACTACCATCTCACAACCCTCTCCCCCGTACTTACATCCGCCTGCAGCTCGTAGTCCGCCTGGCTGATGCATGTACCATTGAAAGTGTTGGTCTCAATGATGTCAGCCCCTGCCTCCAGGTACGCCGTGTGGATCTGGCCGATCACGTCCGGCCGGGTAATAACCAGCACGTCGTTGTTGCCCTTGAGCTCGTGGCTGTGGTTGGCATACCGCTCGCCACGGAAATCCTCCTCCTCAAGCTTGTATTTTTGCACCTGCGTGCCCATAGCGCCATCAATAAAGATGATGCGCTCCCGGAGCAGCTTATCCAACTGCCCAAACACAGGGGACTCCTGGCGCTTTTCAATGCACGCCTTGTAGGATGGAACCGGCGGCAGGTCACTGTCCGGCGCCAACGGGTCGAAGCCCTTCGGAATGGGGTTCAACCGCGGTGTAATCTTGGGGCCGGAGGGCTGCTGGCTGTTCAGGCGCCGGACGTTAGTTGGAGGGCTCTTTGGGTCCAGCGTCGCCGCAAACTCCAGCATGCGCTCGGTGGCATTCTCACACCTTAAGCGACAAAAGTTTAAAAAACACTACGTTAGATCACATGAATGCTAACCCATAAACATCAGCGAACAAGGGAATGGCAGCTGTGCCAGGTAAGTGGTTAAAAGTCACACGCCTGGTAATTTATAAACAGCCATAGCACGTCCACCAGCAACCAGCTACAAGGCCCGGCACAATACAAAGCAGGGATGCATGATGAAAAGAAGTTGTGGAAGATTTTCGTGGAAGCAAAGAAGATACATAGTCACAGAAGTCGTCGGCTACACGTGAACGCGCTCAACAAGAGAAAGTTCTAGCAGGACACAACCTGTGCTACCAAGTTGACTGCAAGGAAATCCAAGGACTTCCCTTCGTTACACCTTACTGGTCTACGACAAGAAATTGACAGCATAAATGGCCGTCCAGCAAGCGACTAGCACGAAAACGTTCACCTGTTAAGCAGCACATCCTCCACGAACTCCAGCAGCTCCTTGTCGATCTTGTCGTAAGCGTCCTCCTTCACCTGTGCCGCGTTGACAATGCCCATATCCATGCCAGCAGCGCAAGCATGCTGCAGGAAAGCACTGTGGAAGGCGCGACGGACCGCCTCGTTTCCGCGGAAGCTGAACGCGATGTTGCTGACGCCGCCGCTGATCTTGGCGCCCGGGCACAGTCGCTTGATTTCGCGGGTTGCGCGGATAAAGTCCACCGCATAGTTGTTGTGCTCCGGCAGGCCCGTGCCGACGGTGAGGATATTGGGGTCGAAAATAATATCCTGCGGGTTGAAGCCCACCTGCTCTACCAGGAGCTTGTACGCACGGCAGCAGATCCGGACCTTGTCGGCATAGCCGGCTGCCTGGCCCTGCTCATCGAAAGCCATGATCACTACAGCAGCGCCGTGACGCTTCACGATCTCTGCCTGCTTGCAGAATGCCTCCTCGCCCTCCTTCAAGCTGATGCTGTTAACGATGCACTTGCCCTGGCTGCACTTCAAACCGGCCTCCACAATATGGAACTTGCTGCTGTCAATCATGAACGGAACCCGGCTGATCTCAGGGTCGCTGACCAGCAGGTTCACGAAACGGGTCATAGCCGCAACCCCGTCGATCAGGCCGTCGTCCATGTTAATATCCAGTACGTCCGCGCCTTGTTGAACCTGCTGCAGCGCGATGGCCACGGCCTTTTCGTAATCGTTGTTGATGATGGCCTTCTTGAACAGGATGCTGCCCGCCACGTTGCACCGCTCCCCGATATTGAGGAAGGTCCGGCGCATGTTGGCAGGGTCTGGGTTGTAGTTCAGAGGCTCCAAGCCACTGATGCGCATCAGCGGCTCAGTCGCCGGCGGTTTGCGAGGCGGGTACGCAGACGCCATCGCCTTAATGGCCGCGATGTGCTCCGGACCCGTGCCGCAGCAGCCGCCGATGGCATTGACCAGCCCAGCCTCGCAGAACGGCCGGATCTCCTCCGCCATCTCCTCGCCCTTCTGGTCGTAACCGCCCATGGCATTCGGCAGCCCCGCGTTCGGGTAGCACAGCACGTAGCAGTCCGCGCAGGCGCTCAGGTTGGCGATGTACTTGAGCATATCGCTGGCGCCAAGAGCGCAGTTGAGGCCCACAGCCATGGGCTTGGCGTGGTTGATGCTGTTCCAGAACGCCTCGTTGGTTTGGCCGCTCAGCGTGCGGCCGCTGTTGTCGACGATGGTCCCGCTGATGAACACGGGCACACGCACGCCACGGTCCGTGAAGAATTGCTCCAGCGCAAACACGGCCGCCTTGGCGTTCAGCGTGTCGAAGATGGTCTCAACAAGGAACATGTCAATGCCGCCCTCGTACAGCGCCTCAATCTGCTTGTAGTACGCATCCACCACCTCATCGTACGTGATGCCGCGGAATGCTGGGTTCTCCACGCTGGGCGACACGCTGAGGGTCTTGTTGGTGGGCCCGATGGCGCCCGCCACGAAGCGCGGGCCGCTCTCCGGATGGGCTGCAAGGAAGTCCTTGACGCACTTTTTGGCAAGTTGGGCCGCCGTGCGGTTGATGAGAGCGACCTCCTCCTGTATTAGCGAGAGCATCAGCGGAAGCCGTTATGAAGGCATCATGACCAAGGCGGTGCCAAGCAGGACGGCCCCTTGGGCTTATGGGCCAACACCACATTCGACGGAAGTTTACATTTCCTCCTTTTTTTTGGAACCCCTACCACGCTTAACACACGCGAACACAACACACGGTCGATCAGCCCGGTCATTCCCGCTTCCGAAGGCGCCATTGGGATATAATGGCTTCAGCTCCAGATAAAATTATGCATTAGGAGGATTGAACTATGCAGTAAGAAATTCAAAATAAGCAAAACAGAGACCAGCCGAACCGAAGCCGCGCAAGAGTGAAGCTAACCCAGGTTGACCCTCCAACTCTACACATCTCACAACCCTCTCCCCCGTACTTACATCCGCCTGCAGCTCGTAGTCCGCCTGGCTGATGCATGTGCCATTGAAAGTGTTGGTCTCAATGATGTCAGCCCCTGCCTCCAGGTACGCCGTGTGGATCTGGCCGATCACGTCCGGCCGGGTAATAACCAGCACGTCGTTGTTGCCCTTGAGCTCGTGGCTGTGGTTGGCATACCGCTCGCCACGGAAATCCTCCTCCTCAAGCTTGTATTTTTGCACCTGCGTGCCCATAGCGCCATCAATGAAGATGATGCGCTCCCGGAGCAGCTTATCCAACTGCCCAAACACAGGGGACTCCTGGCGCTTTTCAATGCACGCCTTGTAGGATGGAACCGGCGGCAGGTCACTGTCCGGCGCCAACGGGTCGAAGCCCTTCGGAATGGGGTTCAACCGCGGTGTAATCTTGGGGCCGGAGGGCTGCTGGCTGTTCAGGCGCCGGACGTTAGTTGGAGGGCTCTTTGGGTCCAGCGTCGCCGCAAACTCCAGCATGCGCTCGGTGGCATCATCACGCCTGTGCAAACCATTTACAAGTGCATACCCGGGCGAGACAAGTGACCAAGTCGGCCAGCAGCCGTACATTTCAGCCCGATTATGCGTCTCAGTCCGTGAAAGCCAGGGTGCCAGGAGAAGATGGTGAAGGATGCGAGCAATACCTCGCCTGAGCACCCCAGCCGCAGCAAGGTATAACCCAAAGTCATCCTGATTCAAACACTTCATAGTTGACAGGTGAACTAGAGATGAGCCCCAACCCCTTTGCTAGTGAAAACGCTAGTAAAAAGCTAGTGTATAACGATGTTGACTCAAATCCTCCAGGAGGAACAGATTGATAAAGAAATGCTCATACCAAGAAGAGCTTGCTTTGTACTTCCGTTTAATCGGACCACACCTGTTTAGCAGCACATCCTCCACGAACTCCAGCAGCTCCTTGTCGATCTTGTCGTAAGCGTCCTCCTTCACCTGTGCCGCATTGACAATGCCCATATCCATGCCAGCAGCGCAAGCATGCAGCAGGAAGGCGCTGTGGAAGGCGCGACGGACCGCCTCGTTTCCGCGGAAGCTGAACGCGATGTTGCTGACGCCGCCGCTGATCTTGGCGCCCGGGCACAGCCGCTTGATTTCGCGGGTTGCGCGGATAAAGTCCACCGCATAGTTGTTGTGCTCCGGCAGGCCCGTGCCGATGGTGAGGATATTGGGGTCGAAAATAATATCCTGCGGGTTGAAGCCCACCTGCTCTACCAGGAGCTTGTACGCACGGCAGCAGATCCGGACCTTGTCGGCATAGCCGGCTGCCTGGCCCTGCTCATCGAAAGCCATGACCACTACAGCAGCGCCGTGACGCTTCACGATCTCCGCCTGCTTGCAGAATGCCTCCTCGCCCTCCTTCAAGCTGATGCTGTTAACGATGCACTTGCCCTGGCTGCACTTCAAACCGGCCTCCACAATATGGAACTTGCTGCTGTCAATCATGAACGGAACCCGGCTGATCTCAGGGTCGCTGACCAGCAGGTTCACGAAACGGGTCATAGCCGCAACCCCGTCGATCAGGCCGTCGTCCATGTTAATATCCAATACGTCCGCACCCTGCTGAACCTGCTGCAGCGCGATGGCCACGGCCTTTTCGTAATCGTTGTTGATGATGGCCTTCTTGAACAGGATGCTGCCCGCCACGTTGCACCGCTCCCCGATATTGAGGAAGGTCCGGCGCATGTTGGCAGGGTCTGGGTTGTAGTTCAGAGGCTCCAAGCCACTGATGCGCATCAGCGGCTCAGTCGCCGGCGGCTTGCGAGGTGGGTACGCAGACGCCATCGCCTTAATGGCCGCGATGTGCTCCGGACCCGTGCCGCAGCAGCCGCCGATGGCATTGACCAGCCCAGCCTCGCAGAACGGCCGGATCTCCTCCGCCATCTCCCCGCCCTTCTGGTCGTAACCGCCCATGGCATTCGGCAGGCCCGCGTTCGGGTAGCACAGCACGTAGCAGTCCGCGCAGGCGCTCAGGTTGGCGATGTACTTGAGCATATCGCTGGCGCCAAGAGCGCAGTTGAGGCCCACAGCCATGGGCTTGGCGTGGTTGATGCTGTTCCAGAACGCCTCGTTGGTTTGGCCGCTCAGCGTGCGGCCGCTGTTGTCGACGATGGTCCCGCTGATGAACACGGGCACACGCACACCACGGTCCGTGAAGAATTGCTCCAGCGCAAACACGGCCGCCTTGGCGTTCAGCGTGTCGAAGATGGTCTCAACAAGGAACATGTCAACGCCGCCCTCGTACAGCGCCTCAATCTGCTTGTAGTACGCATCCACCACCTCATCGTACGTGATGCCGCGGAATGCTGGGTTCTCCACGCTGGGCGACACGCTGAGGGTCTTGTTGGTGGGCCCGATGGCGCCCGCCACGAAGCGCGGGCCGCTCTCCGGATGGGCTGCAAGGAAGTCCTTGACGCACTTTTTGGCAAGTTGGGCCGCCGTGCGGTTGATGAGAGCGACCTCCTCCTGTATGCGATGATTAAGGAAAGAGCACGCCGTATTAGATTTGTGGTGGCTCGACACAGCCGGTAACAGGATTAGATATAGAACGGTCACTGGCAATACAGCGCAATCCTGTTGGTATCATAACAATTGGCAATCACATCTAAGTTTCTCAATTAAGGTTCTGCGTGACGTCGACATAGTTAGCACTCGCTAACAGAAACATGCCCCCATTTGGGTCTCCGTCAATCCAACGGACACAAAATCCATCTGGCCGCCCGGTAAACACGACGACTTCCTAATCACGTGGTGAGATGTGTAGCCCACCTCCTTACGGCCACCAATGACTAGGGGAATCCACTTACACAACCCATTGGCACCCCTTTGATAAACAATTTCTTACATCCGCCTGCAGCTCGTAGTCCGCCTGGCTAATGCATGTGCCATTGAAAGTGTTGGTCTCAATAATGTCAGCCCCTGCCTCCAGGTACGCCGTGTGGATCTCGCCGATCACGTCCGGCCGGGTAATAACCAGCACGTCGTTGTTGCCCTTGAGCTCGTGGCTGTGGTTGGCATACCGCTCGCCACGGAAATCCTCCTCCTGAAGCTTGTACTTTTGCACCTGCGTGCCCATAGCGCCATCAATGAAGATGATGCGCTCCCGGAGCAGCTTATCCAACTGGGCATGCACTGCAGGCTGCTGAACCACGGGTGCTTCGCTGGCTCCGGCGGAGGCAGCCGTCGCCGCCTCCGGCTCCTCAGCCCCGGCGTCATGGCCACAAATTCGCGCCTCCGCAGTGCCGACGCTTACTGCGACCTCCTCGGCGGGCTCCGCGATGGGCTGCTTTATTGCGCGCTGCTGTGTGTTGGCCGCCGACTCCTCAGGCGGACCTGCACAGGAGCGCCTGGTTAGCTGGTGTCTCCAATTAACCATCTACGCGGTTACATTTCGACAACAGTCATACCTGCTGCCTTCCGTGTCCCTTGCGTTTGGCGACTGGAAAAAGCGAAGCCCGCCTACAAGTGGTGGTAACACGTACTCGCGAATCGGGCAAATATAGTATGATAGTTTTAAAAAGGATGCCTACCGCTGCAAGCGCAAACGCTGGGATTGCGATCACGGACAGACTTGCAATCAGCGGCAGCAAAACAGGCCACGCCGCTGCTCCGCACGCCGCCGAAGCCACAACAGCCAAGATGACATGTATAGGATACCTCCATAACGTGTCAAAGGCTTGTCCGAGTTTCATTTTTCTCGGACTATTCAAGCTCAGACAGGAGAGATTTTAAGGATGAAGAGTGCCGTCCTATGCATATCCTATTGGCTCTGTGTGCAACATAAAAAGGAAAAACTACGAGACCGTCGCTTTCCCTTGGAATGGAGCGCAGTTCGTTGTGCAACTTTGTTTCGGAGCGACGTCTCAGTCCCGCGGGCCTTTACTCAACCTAGCGTGCATACATTCCTCCGTTTCATACGATGATAACTTCAGAAAGGTTGCAAAATATGAATAATTTAAGTATAACCTGATCCTTGGACAAATTATTGCATAGAGTTTAAATAGTTCGCGTGCATGGGACAAAATCATCTCTAATCCTGCATATATGTGTGTATATTTTTTCGTGTCATTGTGTAAATTGCTGGAGACGCAATTAAGTAACACGAATGCACTTTGTGCTCCGCTGCACGCCGCAGCTTCTAGGCCTGTGCTTCCACTGAGCTGGCGCAGCATGGCTCGCCTTAAGGACCCACTGCTGTCGCTGGGCAGCGGGAGGGAATCACCGTCGCCACCGTGCAGCGGGAGGTACCGGCCCCCGCCGTCGCACACCAGGAAATCGCCACAGCTGCTGCTAACCGGCGGGAGCCAATTACCCAGCCCGCTTGGCAACGGTAGAAAATCACCGCCACCTCCGTGCAGCGGAAGGTTCCATACACCGCCACCACGCAACGGGATATCGTCACCGACAGGCCAACACAGACGGACCAGGCGGATGCTGAGGCAGACCGCCCATACATCATGCGGTCAGTTCGCCGGCAGACCCAGCCACAGGACCTGTCCTCGGAGAGCGCCGAGGATGATACTCCCATGGAAAATGCGTTTTTCCCTATCACCCCTCCCGGACCTCCAGCTGGATGCCTTCCCTGTTGCCAACACCTGGTCAGGGCACTACAACTCCTCGACTCCCCATCGGGTAACGGCGCCGACATGGACTGGACCTCATGTAACGCAGCAGACACACCGTCCATGGCAGGGAGCCGTGCAACTGCTGCACATCGGCTCCCACAACGTCCGCAGCCTCCTGGGCTAAGGGTATAACAGCGCTGCTCAACGCACAGCCCAAGTTCATTCATCAATGGGCTCGGCAGCGGTTAGATATTGTTTCCCTCCAAGAACCAGGGTACGGCAGACCGCGTGTTGTAGCATATGCATTGCAAATCGAAACGTGAAGCCTGCCTCAGGCTTCTGCTCCGGCCACGGCATAAAGCTGTGCTCCAAGCGTGGGTCGAATATGAATTCTAAACTTCAGGTCGTTTCTGTGAGCAAAGACGATTTTCAGTAGGTTCGGGGATTTAGAGAATGACTGTTGTACAGATCCTTGGTGTTCAGTCCTGGTGTGTTCTTACAAATAATTTCTTAACAGCCATATCAATTTCAAAGGACTTCATATTCGTTATCATGCTTGCATATTTCTCAATAATCTTTTCATTACTGTGTAGCTATCACGCTACAACACCACGTATCTCAAGCTCGAACGGTCCTCATGACCACTCTCGGCCTTTCCACCTAGGCCAGTGGGTATTCTGGTGGACCCTGCACCGAACAACTGGCCGGGGGATGGAACGGTAATCCTCATCTGCAGCACCCTACTCCCCAGCGGGGCCTTAACCTTCCCGCGGGTGCAGGCCCAGCCCACGGCGTCTGGGGACGGTCGCCTGATGAGCCTACCCATATGTTGGTGAGACCACACCTTCATATTGGTAAGTGCGTACCTTCCCAGCATGGATCCCCTGGGCTCAGCGGGCACTCATACGGCGGCATCTCCAGCCGCTCATGGTGGACGCTGGGCTCCACATCTGGGCAGCTGACTTCAATTTTGTCAACAATCCCAACTTGGATGCATCCACACCGTTGGCACGGACGAATGATGTCAACACCACGGCGGAATTTAACAGTGCATGTCCAGGAATGGCTGACACATTCCGCATAATCCACCCTAGACAGTGTGCTTATATGTATGCCCATCCAGTGGGGGCCTTCTGTATTGATTGAATCATGGTATCTCATGCCCTGCAGGCGGCGATCTGCAGCAACGATACAGCCTCAGGGACCTCCAGCAGACCATTGCATCACCCACACTACACTCTGTGATGGCCATGGTGCACATACACCAGGCTGCTACACCTGCCTCATACCAGGCTGCGCTTACTGGACCACAATGATAATTGGGTAAGTAGCATGGCAGAATCAGCCCCCACGGACCCAGAGGACCTCAGTAACTGGGTGGCCAGGCTTCAAGTGGGCGCTGGTCCTGTTCACCACCCACCTGAACCAGCAGGCATACTTTGTGTCAGATGATTGGGGCCAACAATGAGGCTGCTGCACAGGCCCAGGCCGATAGCATCCTGGCAGAAGTGGAGGAGGGGGATGCTTCGGCTCCTACACATGCAGTTCTCGCTCGATTGGCACAGGTGGATGCAGCACACCATGCTATGGCCAGCATTGCACTATGCACATGGTACCTCTCCCACTGGCATCAACTAAGACTGTCCGCTTGCCCCCATCCTCTATCTAGAGCCAGCGCAAGCACTACTGGTTGCGTGGTCAATTCCGACTTTTGGAGTCATCTAACTGATTTTGCGACAGGGGACACTCCGCCAAAACGGTGGGAGCAGGTGCCTGACAACCACCCTTTCCTATCAGTCAACACTGTAAACAAGGTCGTTTGTCAAAGACTGGACGATTTCTGAGGATTCGCGTCTGAGGCTGATCTCGTTAGTCTGACCATACTAGCTGAGGATTCATGTCCAGTGGAGTTATTACTGCCTGGCCAATTTTGTTTTGATTAAGGCCCACAATGGTGTGTGGGTTGTTCCTTTGAGGGTTGCACTCGACCCGATCGGGATTCACATTAATAATCGCATCCTCCGGTCCTGTGAGCTGTTGGGACATTTGCTTCCTTGGGACCGGTAACTTTGGACTGGGCTCCTTGGGTTTCGGGTGATTTGTACCTTCAGATGCTCTGAATCTGCGCCTCACTGAAAACCAATGTATTACGTTCATAGTCCATGGCCTCCTGGCTTTGACGGAAACCCCCGCACTCGTGCGGCACTTGTAACTTGTAATGAAGCCCATACCAAGCCTTACCATAGAAGGGGATCCCGGCCCTGCCTGTCGTTTGCAATTTCTTGGCATCGTCATGCCCTGTCGTGCGTAGGATTGGAGGAGGTTTAAGACAGTCCCTAGCAGGCTATGTATGTCTATGCCCCTTTTAGTCAGCGCCACGCAGCACCAGTTACCGCACAAGAGCCCAGGACACGAATAATAGGCTCAAGGGATAGATAACGTGCTGACCAGAGCCCAAAGGTCCCCAGGACAGGGAGGTAAACACGTAGTTATCTAGTCGCGTGGACAGAACCAAGATATCACGATGCACAGGATTTGGGGACCTAGCGATAGGTCCCAAAAAATTGTGCATTGTGATGTCTTGGTTCTTATCCGAAAGCAACCTGGTTGGCGCAACTCTGCGCAACTAACACAGCACCTTGGCAATTTTTTTAAGGGTGAAGTAAGGACATCTTCTGGGTTTCCAATGCAGCCAAGAGGATGATGGATATTCAGGTAAGCCTGCAGACCTGTGCCATGTAATACGGGTATGCATATAGCACGTACTCGTGCAGGCACCGTGGAGAATTGCAGGCGTAAAGGATGTTGCCAGATACCATGAGGCGCGAGGCTCAACACTTAAAACAAGAAATCTGCAGAAACGCTGCCATGTATTATGGCAATCGTACACAGCCAGCCATGCCCGTTCAACGCTAAGTCCAATGCAAAATAGAGTTGATTGTTAATTCCTCATTCAAGACCAACAATGATTGAATCCAGTAAGAAGGCGTGCCCACTTGGTCTGCTTTCCGTCGCGTGAAGTGTGTGACTGGGTGTGGAATTAGCCGAGCTCAGTGCAAGGACATAAAGAGCAAGGCATAAGTCAAGACGATCCTTGGTCGAGGATTAACCTCATTAATAGCTGGGCACAGCGGCAGACGCAGCCTCGCACGCATGTTGAGTAACGTACGGCAAAGGTACGGATTTTGGCTCGAAAAAAGGCAGAACACCCTCTTGATCATGATACAGCATCTTTATCCTCTTCTTTGACCGGACGTGAAATTTGCAAGTGTCTGCGCTGCATTGACCCGAACGACACTTCCTTGCACATCCTAAGCGACGCCGCCTACTTCTTTATCCGATGCGTGTCCCGGAGCGCTTTCAATCATAGCAATATGTGATACGCATTTGTCAAAGCAAATAGCCTTCTTCGTTTAGCGGGCTGCTTACCTCCAGGCTCTCTTGCATAGTTGGACTACTCCTGGTGTTTATTACCTGCTAGTAGTTTGCTATAGAGATGATTTTGGCCCAAGCTTGTGCGATTACTTAATGCGAACAACATGGAGTTCTGCATCCAGCGCTGTGCTGAGTCTTGCAGCCTGGCAGCCGTCAGTTTCGTGTCTAAAAATGTGTGCTTGGTGACCAACTGATTGCTTCAGCTGGAACTCAGCACTTTGTGAAATGACCAGTTCAGAAAACGCTGGTTCCTCACTCCTTATTGGCGGGCCGGTACCGGGCTCTTCACGTCAAGGCAGGCACAAACAGCGTTATGGAGAAGCTGGAGAGCGACTTGTGGCGGGGTAAGCCGTTGAGGTGTTGATCCTAACGGCTACTTTCTTCTTGGGCGTCATATCTTGTCCTTTGCCCACGGTCCCGGCAGGTGCATCCCTGTTAGGTTTTCTGGTTGTACACAGAGTGCGCAGCATGTTGAGGTCTGCATGATTACGACGGCCAGTGGAAACGGGTTGGTGTTTCCCAAGGTGAAAAGGAGCCGTCTACTATTGCAGTGTCCGTGTGCACCTGCGCGCTGTACATGCATGACATTACAATTAATCTTTTGCTTGGGCTGGGGTCTTTGCATATCCAGGGCGGGTGGGAAGACGACGAGAGCGTGGAGTCAGCTGCGCAGAGGGAAACCGTCGAAGAGGCTGGCGTGCGAGGTGTGCTGGAGGTAGGAAACAATAATCACTTTCGCGGGTTTTCCGGCACATGCATCTGCCGCTTCTTGCCACCAACGTAACACACGGCAATCCGCTTATTGCTCAGGAGCCTTTGCTGGGAGTCTTCCCGTTTTCGGGCGGGAAACATGTGTACGACGCCCAGGGCAACCCGGTGGGCAAATGTAAGGCATTCATATACGTAATGCATGTTGCCGAGGAGCTCCCGTCATGGCCGGAAAGCAACGACCGACAGCGCATCTGGGTAAGAACCTGATCGGACGCTACGCTGCTTTTCTATGCTTTGGTTGTTCAGTTGTATTCGACTTGTCTTACCTTTGGCTTCATGCCCGCAGTGCACGATAGCCGAGGCCACAAGGCAATGCAAGCACCAGTGGATGCGGGAGGCGCTGCGGGCTTGGGTCCGCAGGAAGGGATGGGACGAGGTCCTGGAGCCAGCGGAGGGTGGAAGCAACGCCCAGCATCAACAGCAGCAGCAAACCCCGCCGCTTGACAGCAGCTACAGCTGTGCAGGCAGCTCGTCGGCGCGCCTGGCGGAGCCTGACGTATACAGCTTTCAGGCGACGGAACCTTTCATGTCGATGAGCTCCACCTAGTATGGCGTTGGCCTTGACAATGCTCAGCCAATGTTGTTCGTGGGAGGAATGGTTTCAGCCCTGCGACCATGTGGCCCTGAAATCATGCCTCTGGTGCTGGATTAGCGCATCATTCCAGCGATGTGGGTCCGGGGATGTGACTCCGCGTTGCATCGGTGGATGGCACAGCTGTGCGGCCCCCTTGGGTGCGACAGCAGCGCCGCGAATCTGCCGTTCCTGCCTACGGTGCATTTGCGCATTGCAGGGTTGAGCTGCGAGAGAGAACGGCTTGTGCGCCTTTTGGCATCTAATCTGTCGCAATGGGGATCTGTTGGACTTAGGGGATGCACGGGTGGGTGGTATTTGAATGGTGCAATACAGTCCATGGAGCTGGGCCGCGGTGCGTTGCGTATCTCTAAAATTTTCTGATTACTGCCCGCCATCACGAATCCTGGCGTACGTCACTTGCTGCGAGTATGTACCTGAGCCTACAGACTCGCCAGCAGCCTCTTCTGTCTATGATGGTGCCATTGCCGTCTGCGTTCGTGTGCAGTGAATATCTAGCGTTGGGTCTTTCGGGAAAACGCTAACAAATGTGTGGCCAATATAGGCTATGATCAAGTTCAGTTTCCAAAGTCCTCGCGGTGAGACTGGCCCGGCATGTGCGCAGCTTTGTAGCCCGCTCTACCTGGCAGCCTGGTGCGCCCGGGCTAGTTGCTCGAGCGGCAAGAAAAGTATGATGCATCACTTCTCACAGAGGCATCTCTGAAACGGTATAGTTGACTCAGTAGTTTAACATATGCTAGCCATCCCTCCGAGACCTTTGCGAAATTGGAGTTGGTTCAGTGGCAGCTTCAAGCTCGATGGACAGCAGCTTCGCAGCGCTGCCACTTATTGCCGTACATCTGCACGAAGTTAAATTACGCGCGTCAGCGGGGGCCGTATCTGCAGGCGAGATTTGGCCACTTCCTGACCTCAATACAATTGTATGCGAGCTCGACGCTTACATGAGGACAGTCACGGTAAATTGGCTTGGCTAATCGTGCGGCGAAGTCTGTAGGGAGGATTGGGCTCCAGATCGGGGCCAGGGTTGGTTACGAACAATGACAGGAGCTATATCGACCCTTTTTGCGTGCATGCTTCCCTTGAAACTGGTGCCCCGGGAACGATGCTAATGCCACATCGCACGTGACAGTCCATGCTAAAATGCACAATGTGGAACCGAAGACTCATGCCACATTGTATATTACAACACACATAACCATGACGGCTGACCGGGTACATCGTCGGATGGCAGGATGGCCGGGTAAATGGTCGGATGGCACTTGCGACTGATGACCTGCCCATGCTGCGATATGATAAAACGTCCTCATACCCTTTCACTGAAGACTTTCCCATGCTATGAAACCTTTAATCCGAGAACCACGCTCGTGATTACCTAGCATAATGAGCGAAGTTTGCGACGATTGAGATTACTGGTTCCAGATTCCAGGATACCGGTACTTGGGTTTCGGTTCTTCAGTTGGCCGTCGGATGGAGTTCGTTGTGAATTGGTCTATAACTATAGATATTGCGAGAAACGTCACCAGTCGCTCGGCGCATTGTTTTTCCATAAAATTGTGTTGCGTCGAAAACTGTCGTGCTTGGGCGGATCAAGAATAATTGCGTGACCAGCCTGCATGTACGTTACCCACATCTCTGTGTGAAAGCCACATCCTCAACGTGTATTACATAGACATATGGTCATTCTTCTAGAGCATAAAAATACAATGATTTCTGTGAAGGCCAGCAGCAATAGGAACGTTGCATATCGTGTAACAAAGCTCAGCCTCTCGCCTCCAAGCCCGGCCTGCAGGAGAGCGCGGCCTTTCGTGTGCGCTAGCCTGACCGAGGCTGTTAAGGTCACGCCGACTATGGACAAGGCGATGGTATTGGACCGCATTCGCGGCGCCTTATGGGGTAGGTTTGGCGATCGACGGGTTACCACATAAAGGCTTTCCAACGTGAGGAGCCCTGTCACAGCAATAGTTCCATGTCATCGTTATCTATGTTCAAGGATACAAAGAATAATACATATAATGGCAAGCAGGTGCCTGGAAGCGTCAACTTCCACCCGAAACACATCGTCACCCTTGCTCCCTGTCCCAATAATGGTAGGCATCTTCATTGCCGATGCGCTTAGCATGCCTGTCCATTGGTACTACAACCCGGGTGACATCCGGCGGGACTTCGGCGCCATAGAAACCTACCAGGCGCCTAAGGCGCGCCACCCAAGCAGCATTATGAGCGTCAGCAACACCGGCGGTCACGGCCGTGGGGGTCAGTCCGGAAGGATTGTTGGTAAGGACCACCACGACTGCGGCGCACACACAACCGTCGTAAGCTCACCCATTAAGTCTGAATGCTGGGTATACCTTGTCAGCGGCTTCTGTCAATCGATGCCATGAGAAAGTGAAAAGAAGGCAAAAGCCAGCTACGTGCAAGTGCAGTCGTTGCGTGTGTAAACTTGCCGGAATGCCTCCTCACGCGAGCAGGGACTTGAGAGGATACTAGAGAATGATCCCCTAGCAGTAGATTTCACCGCATGACCATGCCGAAGTGTGGTACGGCAAAGCGCTGACCCTGCGGGATGCTGGACATGTTTCTACAGGTGACGTCATCAACCATGGCAAGCACGCCTTTTGGGGGAAACCGGGAGTGCATTACCACCAAGGGATGAAGGTGCGTGTGCGCGTGCGTGTGTACGGGATCCTGTTTACAGCCTGCAGACTGTTAGCATATCGGGCGGCGGGGCCTTGCACCGAAGACCGACACCGGTGAACTCCTGACTTCCAGTGCTCATGTCAACGGTAAAGTCCTTTTCACATTGTCGACCCTTCTTCTTAGCTCATCTTCAGGTGCCGTCGTCTTCTCGTTTTCTTTTTCGCCTGTTTTCCCCCAGGCAGGGGAGAACACGCTCAACGCCATTTGCGCCCGACTGGTTTTGCGGAACCTGGCCAAGGAGAAAGGGTGAGCCTAAGTGTAGGCTGCCGGGACCCGGCTGGTCTGGGTTGGGCTGAGCTACCCTCATGCAGATGAAGGGACTGCTTGGTGGGTTTCTTCGGACTCCGAGGGTACGGATGACTGGCACTGCGCTGAGTTCGAGTCAGCAGTCGCATCTAGGGGCGCTGCTCGGGCGGGTCAGTGCAGGGCAGAGAGGGGGGAAGCCGGTTGAGGGGTTGTGGTATTCTGAAAGATACGGGATTGGCGCAGTGCGGCAGCTGCGACCTAATTTGTTGTGTATGAAGGTCAGTGGTGGCGACGGTAAGATAGCAGCACCGTTTGATGTGGGGTCCATACGTAAGCAGTGCCGCATATGGACACAGCGCTCCGCTCTCTGCGCGGGAAGAGAAGGTCGGGCTGGCTATTGAGCGTAGGAGGAGGAGGAGAAGGAGAAGGAGGAGGAGGAGTTCACGTACCGCACGGGGGGATTGGAAGGTCCCGCACACCACGAGGGGCCCTTACTGAAGTACCAGGGGCACCCACCACATTAGTTTGTGGGTTTTGAGGTCAGCGAGGGGCCCAAACCCCTTTGACCTTTCCCGCCCCAGCCCCTAAGGTGGCCGGCAGTTCATTCCTTGTTTCCTTGCATATAATTCCCCCCGAGCAAAAGGACCTGGACGACGTCGTGTTTCCTAGCAACCCAATTTACCCTCCTTTCCCCTCGTGCGGGCGGCCATCCATGCTGTTGCCCCACACGTGTTTTGGAAATGGCACGTCCAGGTACAGCACGTCATCGTGGTTGCAGGATTACGTCACCTTCATGACGACTCCAGGTGGGGCTGAGGGAGGGGTTGGGGTGATACGGGTACGGGTGCGGACGGGGATGGGGATACATACACCAAAGGTTCATGTTCGGCACCTTCCCATCCGCCTCTTGCGGCCGCCTCTCCGCAGGCAGCCACAACGACACGTACGCGGAGTCCTTCCACCGGGATTTCTTCCGCAACTGGGCGGCGGGAGTGCCCCCGGAGAGATGCAGCCAGGGGACCGAGGGACATAACACGGCGCAGATCGGCGGCTTTGTGGTAGGCAGATACACACACATGGTCGCAGACAAGTGCACGCCCAAGCTGAAGCCGCCCTTAATGTGCTGTAAATGTGGAAGTCATTAGCGACCGACGCGGCAGATATTGATGGACTAACTGACGTTGTACATGTTAATGATGATGGTGGTGGTGGTGGTGGTGATGGTGATGATGGTGATGGTGATGGTGATGATGATAATGAAACTGTCGGCGTGGTTCCTCGCCTGCAGGGTTGTTTCGTTGCTTGCTCGCCTCACTCCTAGCCCCACCCCTTCTGCCACCCGTGCGCAGACACCTCTCCGACTGCTTCTGACTGCGGCAGCCCCCGCTGCTGCCTTCCCTTGCCCGCACACTTACCTGCTTCCCCAGTCCCTCACCTGCCCCGGAACCCCCCACTCTCTCTCTCTCTCTCTCTCTCTCTCTTTTGGCCGTTGACAAGTGACCCATTGCTTCTTGCACGTTACTCCCCGCCCTCTTTTACCCCTCCCTCCCTCCCTCCCCGCACCTCGATGGGTGCGCTCAGATGCTCCCCCCCGTTATCTTGTCCCGACTGGATGGTCCCGAGGCTGCCACTCAGAGGGCCCTCCAGCACCTGACCACCACTCACGAGAGCCGCAAGCTGGCGGCATATGCGCAGGTGGGGACAAGCCCCACAGCTGGTGTGGGGTCAGGTGGGGGCGGACCATGTGCGGAAGTCAAGCGGGCGGCGTGGGGGATGTGGCCGCTAGGGGGTCTCCGCTGGGCGAGTGGGTGGCTGGGGGGCTGCTGGGGGTGTGGAGGGGCTGGTGATTGGAAGATTTTAAGCTTGGCAGGCGGGTGGGAGGGTGGCTTGCTGGGTGCGGATCTTGGTGCTCTGTGCGCGTATATTGTGTATGCGAGAGTGTGTATTTACGTATTATTATGTTATATATATGTGTGTGTGGATGTGTGTAGAACTCTGTGGCGAGAGTTTGTGGCACGTGTTGGACGTGCGAGGGGGGGTGCAGAGAAGTCTCCATAGCGGCCTACTTCCCTGGTCATGCCCTGTGTCTTCTGCTCTAGGGCGTCACCGTGCTGTGCGGTATTTGCCTTCCGAATGCCTTGAACCGCCTTGTGCGGGGTGTCGACAGCTCTTGAGGGTCCGCTGCTGCATCGGCGTGGTACTCGCGCTATTTTGTTTGTCCAGCTATTTTACTTACTGTTAAATGCTGTTATCCATGTTGCTATTCGCTGCGACGTCCCCCGCCTGTTTGCCGCCTTGCATGCGTTTCACGCGCTCTCTGGTTGCCCCTCCCAGCCATTTGAAGTGATCCCACCACACCGATTGTACCTCACCTCGCCCTCTCCCTCCCTTCCCCCCATGGGCGCTGCTGGCCCGAATCGTAGAAATACTCGGACCTGGTGTACGGCCTGGCCACCGGCGGCGACCTGCGCCAGGCTACGTCAGCACTAGCCAAGGGTATGGGCATCGACCTGGCGCAGCTGGTGCCGTACGATGACATCCGCATCGTACACTCGACCTTTGGGTCAGCCTGCTACATAGAGGACTCCTTCCCCTCCCTGCTGTACCTGGCGTACAAGTACGCAGGTGGGTGACACTTGCGTGGGTTTCGGAGCGGTGGGTGATGTCTTTTTCACTGGTTGCGACTTGGCGTAGCTGCGGGCCCTACGGCTCCCTAGGGTATTGCCTCTGCACCGCGCTCTGCACTGTTCAGCTGCCACTAACACCGCTTTACCCACATTAAGTGTTCGACATCTGTCCGCCTTAATTCAGCTGCAGCCTGTTCTTGCCCAACCTCGCTCTGCCTTACCTGCGCCAAAACTGGTGTTGACCTGGTCTGGGCCGACGCAGATTCGTTCGAGAAGGCTGTTCTTGCCAACACCAACGTGGGCGGGGAGAACTGCCACCGCGGCGCCGCGCTGGGGGCCGTCATGGGGGCGGCACACGGTGAGAGCGGCATTCCCAGCCGCCTCATTGAGGGTCTGGCGGAAGCTGCCACCATTCGGCAGGAGATTGACGCCTATGTGCAGGCGCTGCACCCCGAACTATTGGTGTGATAGGGGTTAGGGGGTTAGGGAGGGACTGCGGGCGCCGCGGAATTTTCTCTAGTAGATGGCCTCGGTGGCTGCACCGGCGTTGGGAGGATTGAAAGATCAGGTGGTGGGTGGGGGTAGGAGGGGGACGAAGGAAAGGTGAGGTGAGGCGAGGTGAGGTGGAAGGCTGGGAGTTATTCCGGTGTTTTGGCTTTCTGGTGCTGACGTGGAGCCAGGCCGTTCATTTGATGATTTGATTTGCGAAGCAGATTTGCTCACTGAACAAACTGCGGCCTTTAAGGTTACAAGTTCCGCATCAATGCGGGGGGGGGGAGTCTCGTAAAAGCCGGACGGTCAATAGCCATTATATGACATGGAGTGGAGTGGAGTGGAGTGGAGTGGGGATGTTGACGTCCTCTCCAGCTCGCGCAGGCTCAGCGCGCCTGTTGAGCTAACAAGGGGGGCTTCCGCCATAATAGAGCTTTTGCCTTCGCGAGGGCATTATATGTATTCAATTTATGTAACAGCTGTTTCTTCGGATAGGCTCGGTCGGGCGTTCAGCAGTACGATACCCATGCCGTTGTTGCGACGAACGTCCTGACTTCAAACAGGCGCATTCATTTAAAGCTCCGCATGGCCAGCCAGGTAAGGGCTCTGGGAAACCATCATTGAGCCCCGGGAGCTTGTGGTAAGCCGTAATGCCTGGCCGCATCCCCTTGTCATTGAAGTGACAGATCCCGCTGGTGGACACACAAGGTTCTTCTCCTGTCACAACGTCTTATAGCCGCTGCGCGGTTGGCAGACAGACACTACCTCCATTTGTAACTTCCTTCCCCAAGCCTTCCCACCGTCAAACGCCCAGACCTATGTCACACACTGCACGGACATAATAGAGGTACATGTTACACACCTCCATTCCGTGCACAACCGTGTTCTGCCGCTCCGAAAGGGCAGGCTAACAGTAGAAAGCAACCGATAAGTAGTGTTAAGGCTCGCATCACGGCGCCTCAAACACTGCCGTACCCCTCACCACATGTCGCCACGCCATCAGCTCCCCTGGAATTCCGTCCTCCTTATCGTACAGTACGGCATCCGCTGTCAACCTGGCCAGCCAGCCGTGGTACACCAGCCCGCGCGAGCCCAGCCCGGCCACCAGCCACCACGGGCGTTCGGCCGCCAGCCGGCCCAGCAGAGGCAGCGACCCATGGGTTGTCCTCGGGGGCAGAGCGCGCACACCCTCCCTGCAACAGCGGGATTGCGAACAAGAAGCCACGAAAAGGAGCGGTGGCAGTAATTTCTCTGTCAGAAGGGACCATGTCCAACACCAAGGTGCCGGTGTTGGTGTAGCGGGGGTTGGATGCTGTTATGACTAACCCCCTACCTCACAGCAGCCACCTGCCAGTTCGAAAGAGGCGCCCACACACCGCACGCAGACTGACGCAGCGCCTCCACCGCCGCCGCCGCCTCAACGGCGACCTTGGGCTCCTCCTCTTCCGCCACCGCACGGTCCACTGCCGCCGCTGCCGCCGCCACACCATCCATCGCCGCTGCTGGTGGGCCAAAGCCAGCACCAGCCGTGAGCCCACCTGCGGGCGCAACCCGCCCACCTGCAACACCAACCCCCTCCTTCGTCACACTGCCACCGCCGTACAAAGCCATGTCATCCTTGTAACGGGTGCTGCAGGCGGCATACTCGGATCGCTCACAAGCCGCGAGGGCCGCCTCGGGGGTCCAGCCGTACGACTTCGTGGCGCCCACTACCAGGCGTGTGGGGCCTTGCGCCGCCAGGTACGGCTGGCCAAGCAGACTGGGACTGCCGGCGGGGTAGCTGCACACCGCGAGGGCGTGGGAAAGTGACTGGGTCTCGGCCGCAGCACGGGCCTGGGCCTGGAGACTCGGGGACTCTTGCTGCTGCTGCTGCTGCGCCGGGGTGTTGAGGGATGTTGTGCCAGCTGTCGGTGTTGCGGCGTGTATTGGGTTTAGGCCGGGTGAGGTGGCGGTGGGTCCTGGCGCCAATGGTGGAGGCCGCATCACGAGGGTAAGTCCCTACATATCGAGGCGGCCGCTGGTCGGTGGGTTAGGAGGGGGCCAGTGAGCTGGTCGCCGAGGTGGGTAGTGTGTCATGGTGATATCGCAAGGTGTGTACGGCCAGATGGTGACTGGGCCGGTCGGCGCTCCAAGCAGCTGTTCTGTAGCTGACAGATTGCGGGACAAATAGACAGACAGATAGGCAGACCGACGGACAGGATGCACATTCCTAACCTGGAGTTTTATTTCCATTCATAGCATCGGGGCATGTAAATCTTGCTTTGCAAGGAGCCGGGGTGTAAGAAAGGGACTAGAAACGGTAGAAAGCGGCGTGTGCGTGTCCTTTTCTAAACGGTCCTGTCCTCCTCCCCCCTTCTTTCCCCAGCCTCCCCACCCCAATCAGACATCGCACCTGGCACAGCTGCAGCGGCAGCTGCGACCGCTCGACTTCATCAATGGTCGCCGCTGCAGCGCCCGCCGCAACCACGATCGCGTCGTACTTCCCGTACACTCCGCAACCTCCTTTATCCACAGAGTCTTTCTTTTCCTCCTCGTCCTCCTCCTCCTCCTCCTCCTCCGTACCCCCCAGCCAACTCATTCGCTCCAGGGAGGTCACCCGTTGGCGCCGAAAACGGGCGCAACTGCCATCACCACGTGCTGCCGCGGCCACCTGAACCGCAACATGGGGCCCTTTTGTGCACCCGCACTGCGGCCTCTGCACCCCGCACCAATAAGTGGACGGATCGACGGCAACCTCCAGCCGGCAAGTCAACCAGTTACACAGCGCCCCTCTTCCGATTCCTTGCGGGGCTCTCGGAGGTCCCTTCATCCTTCACTACTGTTTCCCTCCCTTGACTCAAACCCAGGCCATAGCGCACCGCATTACACCCCCCGACCCACCTGACATGCCATCCACAGCGCTCGAAGGTAGGAGCCCACGTCCAGCACCAAGCCCTGCCTTGCAGCACACCACCGCCGCCATAAGGCCCCAAGAGCGCGAGGGGAAAATCCCCCACCCGACGGGAAAACGGAACAAAGATGAGCACCACCTCCAATACCAGTATCGACAGCTGGAACATCATCAATCTCAACATCAACCTAAACATGAGAATATCAACGTCAATATCAGCGGCTGGATCGGCAGCTGGGACGGCAGCAGCAGCGGTAGTAGCAGCGGGGTTTAAGGGGACGGAGGAAGGTGCGGGAAGTGAAGGAGGGTGGGTCACTCAACGCACGTCACTCAACTGCACGGAGATTGCGCAAACACACCTAGAAATGTTGTCCCAACTTACATACGCATATGTATGTATGTATGTATGTATGTATGTATGTATGTATGTATGTATGTATGTATGTATGTATGTATGTATGTATGTATGTATGTATGTATGTATGTATGTATGTATGTATATACCTGCGGTATGAGTAAACCCGCTACGTCCCGTGCCGTGTCGGCGGCAACCGCTGCTCCAGCTTTGACTGCGGCCGCCGCCGCCCTTCTCCTAGCCCTTCGGTTAGCTCCAACAGACTGATGGTGGGTCAACCCGCCGCCTCCACCCACACGGACTTCACCATCCCAACTCCCGTCCCCTGCGGCTGCTGCTGCTTGTCCAGCTGGTGGCGGTGACGAGGGCACCGCAATGCCCGGAACCAGCGCCTACAGTGTTTGCGTGTGTTTGTGGGGCCCCCCCAGAAAGGGGCAGCAGGGTAGGGTAATGCAAAGAAAGTAGTAGCCGGAAGTGGAAAGCCACGGACTGCTGCTACCTACCCCTATCCCCAAGCCCCCAACCAGCCCGTGGCCTCACACCACCTGCAGCTCCTCCGCGCTCAGGACCCGGAGAGTGGCTTCCCCTCCGCAACTGCTACCACCATCGCCGCCACTACCATTGCCCTGGCCGTCGGCAGTTCTGCCAGCGCTGCCCTCGTACAGGTGCCGTACAGATGTAGTACTACCTTCTGGCAGCCCCACCGCAGCCTGACCGGCTTGAGAAGCTGCTTTGGCGAAGTCTATTGCCTGCTTAGGACTCGCTGCGGGCCGCACCAGCCCCGAGTGCCACACGAAGCGCTCCGGCATCTGCCGCTGCTGGAGGCGCTGCCGACCTGCCCCAGCTGCCGCTGCTGCTCCTCGGCTAGTGACGCCCGCAACGTGTGGGACGCCCTGTTCTTCCACGTGCCGTACAGGGTCAGCACTCATGGCGGCGGCTTCCGCCGCAGCTACGAGCTCCAGCGCCGCCGCCATCGCCTCCTCACCCCGCCACAGCAACTTTTCAACCGGGCAAGGCAACGATGACAAAAACAACGCGTAATGGTACGGCAGGGTAGTCGTACGGCAACGTTCAAAGCAGTTCACACAATCAGCAGAGTGTAATGTCACAGCTGTGGCAGTGTACGGCAGCGCAGGCAGGATGACACAAACCCAGCCCACATCGCGCAACAGAGCAGCCATGGCTCACCTTACCACGGGGACTGTACGGATGCAGTAGCCCTGCGGCGGCTCCGGAGCCGCCAGCAGCGATACCCGCTGTGTCGTACATGTCCAGTACGATGGGTCGGCCTTGAGGGAAGCGCTGCTACGGAGGGCTCCCACAAGTGCGCCGCGAGGTGGAGTGGTGAGGGTAGGGGTACGGCACCGGTTAGAATACGCCAGATGGCGGTAAGGAACTGGGGTTCCCCATGACGTCCAAGACAGGGCTGGACATGGCCGGGGACGGAGATGTTACCTGGGGGGTGGGACCCGGCCGGGGGACAGGACCGAGCAGCAACCCCCGGGTTGCTATGACGCTGATTTTTTTAATGTTATTGTTGTTGCTGTTGTTGCTGTTGTTGCTGTTGCTGTTGCTGTTGTTGTTGTTGCTGTTGTTGTTGTTGATGTTGTTGTTCGATGTGCTGGTGGGGCCGTGTGTAAACGGTCGCAACGGGGCCCGGGTCGGGAACGGCGTTATCCGTTCGCTCCCTGCGTCACCGCACCTCACATGCCAGGAGGTGCGTTCGGGTGACCGCCTAGCCAGGGGGTTTCGGTCGCTGGCTGCTGACCAGCAGGTGCTGCCGTGGCAGAAGATGGGAATAGGGATTGATGCCTTCTGGCACGATGTTCTCAGGCAGCAATCAGCCTTCCAAACCGACCAAACCTGCTCCCCACAGCGACAGCTCCCACCTTCCTCCACCCCCCCAACTGCCCGATCCCCCCAACGCCCCATTCCCCACAACCCACCAGCAGATGCCATGCCGTTGCGACTCCCGCCAGACCAGCGCCCACCACAGCATAATGTACGGCGCCCTGCTGACGGCCGCCCGCCGCCAACTCGCCCCGGCTCGGGGCTTCTGCGAAAGGGCGCGCCAACCCCTCAGCTGCCGACTTGCCAGCGGAGGGCAATGTTGCGGCGGCGTCAGGTCTGGGTTCAGCCGCGGCTGCGGCAGTGGCTGCAGCGGCGGTGATAGCGGCACGTGCAGCTGGTGTAGGAGGAGCCATTCCAGCTAGGGTCGCCATCGCTGAAGCAGCCATAACGATTCGCCTGTGCTGAAGAGAGCCCCGAATGGAAAATCGGGGCTCTAAGCGAGATTTTCTAGGCCGGGGCATGGCGATGGTGGCGGCTGCGGGAGGTGGTTTCGGAATGTCACGGCCGCTGCTCCCAGCTGCAGGGTGCGGTCGGCGTAACGCAAGCCACGGGCGCTGTGCTTCCATGGCGCTGTGGCCGATAACATAGCCGGAGTCCACAGGATCAATTCCAGGTTTAACAGGGGGAAGTAGTCCTGTTCGAAATGGTTTGCGGAAGTACCGGTGCATGGCTTGCTTTGCTTCTGGTGCGCCAGGCATGTGTAAAAGCAAAATTCATATTAGATGGCAGAGATAGAGTTACATGTACTGGATAGACCACCGGCCAGTGGGTAAATTAAAGACTAATCAAGATATCGACTGGCGTGCGGCTTGCGTAAGTTAGGAACAGCACTGGTACAGCCGCCGAGTCGTGCTCCGTTAAGATATAGCTAAGCATAAATGCGGACTGTAAACATGGAACATAAAATATGCCGTACAAACGGTAAGCGGAACCACCCCCGACCACCGTAATGCACAATCATTGCGCCTGCAACTAGGAAAAAATGGGTGCGGGCACCTCGAATGGATGCGGTCGACTTTAAGTTAAGCTCCCTTACCCAAGCTGAAATCCATTATGACCGTAATAATACGTCCATGTAGATGACCGCCAAACAATTAATGCATCATAATAGCAAGAATTTCTATCGATTACCTTGGTATAACTGCTATATTTTCTAATCCAAGGCGTGCACCAATCTTGAAGTAAAACCTAAAAGTGATTGTGCGATGCGTCAGTAGCCATGCCAGGGCGCCACACGGCCACCTCTCAGGACTCTGAAAAGCCCTGGAAGAAGACTCTTTGGAAGCGTCAAAATTGCCAGGACAATTACACGGACCGCACCTTCCTTCAACACCTGGTGAGAGTAGAGGTTCTGCCCAAAGCAAGAAAGAAAAGAATTGTGCATGCTGCACGCACCCGCAAACTTTTTTTATCGGCACCATGATCATAATAGGCAGTTTCCCCGAAGCGTTTCACTGTAGCCTGCTCTCAATCATCCACCCGCTCACTCACCCAATGCTCCCCACGTCACCTGACTCCATCCCCTGCCTACTTGCCGGCTGCCTACCTACCGGCCTGCCAGCCTTAGACCTCCAAGCCCTTTTCACCACCATCCGGGGCCCCCACTCCTCCTCCTCTCCCTCCCCGCGTCGCCAGCTCTCCCTCCCCCATTTCCTTCTCCTTATTCCCTTCCTCCAACGCAAACCCTCCCCTCTGCGTGCTCATTGTTCCTTGCCGCTTTTGCAACCCCCCCTCTTCCCCCGGTCCCGCTTTCCCCGCCAACGCATACACACATACGCACACACACCCAGGTCATCAACGCCTCCGTTCCCCCCCGCAGCTACTGGCCAGTAGCCCTCGCCTCCACTGCAGTCACCCAGCAGCTCAGCTGTGTGGTGGCGGCGGCCGCAGTGCCCCTGCACCTGCATGCGGGCAGGCTGGGGGTGGGGACCGTACTGTTAACATGCGGGCTGCTGCTGGCATTAGGTGCGGGGTGGGCTGCGGTGGGGGTGCAATGCGCCTGCGGTCGGTGCGGGACATTGCACGGGCGGGAGAGGTGGAGCGCTAGGCAGGCGGGTTAGGGACGGGGTGGACTGGATGAGGGTGAGGACGAGAGTGGAATGGTGGGACCGGGGCGGGGTGGAGTGGAGGACTACGAGAAGGAATCCCCGCGGCCCTGGATTTACCGAATATACCGAACATCCGGGACGAATAGGTGGAGGAGAGGGCCCGACGTGTGGAGTCTGGGATGGAGTCTGGGGTGGGGCGGTGTCATGGAGAGAGTGGACACTGGTGCTCATCACCATCCCGGTGTGCTGGACATGTGTGTGTGTGTGTGTGTTTCGCCAGTATCCCCCCCGCGTGCTTGCGGAGCCCGGTGACGAGGCCAGGGGGGCTGGGAGGGCGCTGTCATACCTAACACACACTTGCACATGTGTGCGTGCGCGGGTCGTCCTCGCCACTACAAATCCTGCTGCTGCCGCTGCGGCTGCTGCCGCTGCGGCTGCTGCTGCTGCTGCTGCGATACTGATACAGATAATGGTAATGGTGCCGGTTGTTGTCAATGTCCTCGTACGACACCTACAGGGTACGGCACCTGCGCGCTATTGGGCGGCCAGTTGCTCGGCGGGTCTGTGGTGAGCGGGGGGCCGGGGGCCCGGGGGGGGGGCAGGGGGGGCGGGTTTAGGGTTTGCGCGGGGCTTGGGGCGTGGGGGGACAAGGGGAGTGTGGGGGTTGGTGGGAAAGTGGCTACTGGGCGGGCTCAGGGTCAGCCAAGGTGGGCAGGGCAACTGGTACCAAACAAGCTTCAAGACACGAACTGCAGGGCAACGGGTAACCGATAAGATACCAGTTACATGTAGAGTCACGAGTTACGATAAGCTATAGAACATGGGCGACATCGCTCGCGGGGGAAAGAGTAATTGGATCCTCCCTGGAGATTTCCCCCCCACACCCCAACACGGATCTTCCGGGGGCTAGGTAGGTGCGTGCGGGTGGGTTTTGGGGGAATACGTTTAGGGGGTCGGGGACGGCTCTCAAGCAGTGAAGCTTACTGTGTTTGTACGCCGTACTGCCTTACTATTCAATTTAAACGAAAGGAACAGAACGGATGCTAACATGCCGTACCTCCAAGGGAAAGGGGGGAAAGAGGTGAGATGGGGAAGACACGTGTGTGTGTGTGCTTGCATATTTACGACAAGGTTTCCATGGCTGGCGGTGAAAATAAATGGTGTGCAGTTGAGGAGCCTGTTGACTCTCGTCACGGGGTGAAACATTTGGTTGGCCACTGAGTACGGAGCTGTTTCGGGGGCTTTAGGGTTCTAGTGTTTTGCGCTGTTTCGATGTACAGATCCGCTCGATTTGATCATGGGGGTGCGAAGTCCGGGCCCCGGTGCCTTAGGTAAAGTGGTTTCGGGTCCTGGGCGCTTTGACCGTAATAATCTGCTCAGAGGCCACAGGGCTTTTTGAGTCCCTGTCTCGCGGATACTATGGCTACGCTGCAGATCATGTTCATGCGCGTTTTGGATACACGGGCCGGTTCGGCCATCTCACACATTGTTCTTTGCAGAGCTATCCCTCCCGGTTTCCGATGCACTGCTTCTGAAGGCCCGGAGGGTTGTTGGCTTCTGGAACACTGTTGCCGAACAGCCCGGCTCACTCGCACATCGCACTTTGCATCAAGGAGTCGCTATGGCGCTGCACACGGCGAGAATGACAACGGATGGGCGGCTACGGTGTTTCGGTTCCTAGCAGCTATGAAGTATGATGATATTTGAGGCAGCGTGCCACCTTGGTTAGTGTCGATGATGATGATTAGTTCGATTGGCTTGCTAGCAGGCCAGTTCCGGAGGGCCCGGTCTTCTCCGAGTTTAGGCGGCAGGTTATGGCTGCGTGGCCTCACCCGAGGCTGAGCACGGGTCCATCGGATTTCGGGTCGGATGGAAAGAAACCCGGGGGGTTATGAAATGGCGAAATACGCGCATTGGTTGGGTCTGTTTGCCGGTTGAAAAAATCGGCGGGGGCTACCTCCGTGAGCTTATCCCAGCAGATGCGCTCCGTTCTTTGGTGGGGTTCCGAACGCGCTGTTGTGGGCCCCTAACGGCGAATTGTGCCTTCGCAGGACAGTACCGGGGGCAGAGGATCTGTGCGCGCTGCGCAAGGTGTAAGACAAGCGACGCGCTCTTCTAGAATGTTCAGCTTATTCTGCATGTCGTGAGAGCTCGGACGTAATCCTAAGCAACGATTCCGATGTGAAGTTGATTCTGATGGACGGCGAACAAACAAAACTGGTCCACCTGGTACATGCTATTTGGCTTACACGCTCGTCTCTACGCAGGCGGTCAGGACTGGTCGACTAGTGTCCTTGTTTCTCGTGTGTATATTGCTGGAGTACTAGAACTTCTTGCTTTATATTATGTCCCGTACCTAACTTCTGGCTCTTCGGCTCTTGGGCCTCTGGCTCGCAAGGGCTCGTTACCCCTCTCTGGGTAACACAACCTAGGTGTTACAATCACACACATATTTGGTTACAATGCTGGCTGAGTGTCTTGCGCAATGTTGTACGGCATGATGTACGGAACGATATTATTTGCTCAGTTGTTCTTTAGCCATGTTCACGCTGCTCCGCCCCGCCTCGCCCCGGCCAGGGCATGGACACACACATACACAAAGGGCTAACCTCTTTTCCTCTCCCCCGTCCTCCCTCCCCCACTTATCCCCATGTCCCGTTTCTCCCCCGTCCGCCACCGTTGTAACGCCGAACCACGTATCAGGCACGTGGTGTACGGCAGTGTCTTCTCCTCGTGGGCGGTGAGCGAGTATGTATATATGTGTGTGTGTTTTGGGGTGCCCCGCCAAGCCCTGACCAACCGACTAACCAACCGCACAACTTACCGTGCCTACGGACTACATGCCATGCCTGCCATGCCGCCAAACACACGCAATCATATTGCCACCAGCAATATTAATTGTATTATTGTATTATTGTCATTATACTTTCGTTTGCCTTTGCCATTTTACGTTTTGCATTTCCCTAGCTGCTCTGATTTCATTAGGTATGTCGTGTCTTTGACGCCGCCACGTCTTGATACCACCGACCACTTCAACAACTTCTTTTGCCCTCCCAGGAGTGTACGGCCTTGCGCCGCTGCTTCGCTCCTTGGCCGCGACCACCAGTACGGACTCCATCGTAGCCCTGGCTGTGGCGGGCGGTGCCTTGCACCTGGCGCTGTACGACTACGCGTGAGGGGGTCTTAGGGTCTTAGGGGGGAGTTACTCGTGGGTTCGTGTGCTCGTGTGTTTTGTGTAAGCAAACATCGCTCTTAATCGTTAAAAAACACTACATGCACACATACATACATACGTACATGTGCACACATGCAGATGGTATCCTGCGCATGCGGGCTCATGGTGATCACCGCTTGACCACTCCAGCCAGTGTATGTATGTTGTTACAGGGTGGTTAACTTCGCCAGCGGCCCCCTTTCCCGGGGCAGTCCCTGCTCTCCCCTGCTAGAGGGGCACCCTAATCCGTCACCCCATCCGACTTCAGAATGTATTCGTTGGGTTCGGCAACTCACCACCAGCATCCAACCAAATCTAGCGGATCAACGGCGCATCAACTTAGTTCCTGGTCAGCTCGCAAGTTGATATTATCACGTCCTACACCGTCCATAAGATGGGGGGCCACCTCCCATTTCATCACTCCTCAAACACCCGAGGAGCCGGCAGGCGGATTTGAACCCGGGTCGACTGGGTCAACTGGGAGCAGTGTATGCATGTCTGTATGTAGTTTTGGTCCAGCCTCTTCAATGCCGCCGCCAGGCCGGCGGCCTACTTTATTCCCGCTCACGCCATCCCTTCCTCGTCTCACGTCAGTCTTTATTACTCTTTCGCCGCCTTTACACCCACCTTTATTATTTTATGGCTTGGGTCTACTGCTCTTCTTCCGCTCTTATTTTAGTCTTGGCAGCTAGGTAGGTAGGTTTCCGCTGTCGTCATCACTACATCATCCCGAGGACTGCTTCTTCACAACCGCCGACTGGTCAGTTATGCTACCGTCCTGTACATCTGCCGCGAAGCGCTCTTTCCTTGGTATCAGCTTCACTCGCTCGTGGTTCATGTTTCCCCCCTCGCTCCTGCATGCCGAGATGCCTAAATGTCCTGACTCACGTATATCCATCTTTTCTCCCGCCCTGCCTTCCGTTGTCGCCAAATCACTTCCACACCCTAAAGCCCTATTCCACATTTCCCGAGGCGACCCCCACGGGCCCCTGAAGTACACATACACACACGCCTCCCCTTCTCTCCTCCTTTCCTTGCCGCAGTTTCATCACCCCCAGCGGCCTGGTCCCCCACGACCCCGACATAAAGCTCACGGGCGCCCTGTCCCTCAGCTGCGCGGTGATGTCGGCGGTACTGCTGGCTAGCCGGATGAGGTCCGAGTTGGAGGTGGTGAGAGCGGGCGTTTTTCGGTGGGGGGGAGGAGAGGAAGGGGGGGAGAGGAGGGGGCGGAGAGGGGGTAGGAGAGGGGAGGAGAGGAGGGGGGAAGAGGAGACGTGGAAAATTGGGTTTTAACTAGCAAAATCAAAGACCCACCCGAGCCTGGATAGACGTCAGCACCCCTCGAAAGTGCGTATTCCTCATTCCGCCCCACCTCTCGTACACATATTCAGGGCACGGTGACATTAATCCGAGTCTGATCCAGATCGATGTAGGGGTTTTGGTTCCAAGTGGTTAAGTATATGCATTGTTGGGGGCAGAGGGGAAGGTGCAGTGGTTGGCGGTCCTCGGGCATCTGGGGGGCCGCGCGGAAGGCAGGGAAAAGAAGGGAATGTCGGCTACATGTTAAGATTGGCAAGGAGACGTGTCCTCCCGATTACAGGAGGACACCTACACATGCACCCACACATACAGCAAAGTAACGAGATACACCCCTTCCGCTCCGAATCGGCCCTTTTCCCTTAACCTCCCAGTTTGCCCAAGTGTTGCTCTCCCTGGAGCTGTTCCTCCTTTCGCCGTACGTACGGCGGCACGTGAAACGTCATTCCCTTGGCGCACACCTGGGCCTTACGGCCGCCATGGTGGCGGGGACGGCGGGCCTGCTGCTGCCAGCTTCGCCGACAGCGGCGGCAATATACGGCGCCGCCGTGGTGGTGGTGACGTTTGCCGTACCAGCGTCCATGGTTCGCGCACACAAGTTCAAGGCCAAGATCAGTGGCCCCTGGGATGAGGCGGCGCCGTACATCCCGAGGGAACTTGTGCTACAGCCACGCCAGCAGCAACACTAGGCAGTAGCAGTAATACACTGCATAAGCTTACAATTCGCTAAACGCGTAATAAATGTTGTGATGTACGGGAGCACCTCCTTCCTGCCCCCTTGCCCAGCTGCCAGACCCATCCAATGCTTATACTGTCCCGTTTGCTTACCGTCTGACGGGTACACGGCTGGCTGGACATCTAGACGCGTGTGCTTCCAACCGCTCATCAACTAATCCTTGAACTCGGATACCACACCTTCCGGCATTGGCCTATTCCTAAGCCATTTCACTCGTTCATCTTCCTCATGTAGCCCTTGCAGGGCCGCCTTCCATACGTCGTGCCCCAGAAAATTTAGAAAATGGAGGACTAGTGACCCCCATCCGTCCCCTTCGTGGTTGGAGAGGGCCTCTACAATCTCGCACTTATGTATCCGCATTTAGCTCCACCACCGACGTGCATGTGCTGAGCAGTTACGCTTGTGCCCTGCGCCAGCTCTTGTTGACTAGCCCTAGAAAGGTCTCAGCTCCCCCCATGCCACTGTACTCATATACTTCATATTCAGCCCGTATACTTTTGTAATCCGGCATTCCACAAAAACATGCATGTCATCTTCAATCGCCCCACAGCCGCAAAGCCTGCAGGTGCATGCGGTGTAATCACGGCCGGTGCAATCACGGCCGTTAGGCCAGTTAATCTCTAACTCCCAACAGCCTAACCGGAAACACATAAGCGCATACACGTTCTCTGCAGTAACATTCGGCTCCGGGGTGTATAGTGCAGAGTTATCATGCAAAATGCCCAACCCTCACAAAGTGCTACTCAGTGCTACCCACATGCTCTTAAAACCGTGATCGGTGTGGATGTGATGCACATTGTCTCCAGTCTGTGTCTCCCACAGCTCTCCCATGACCTCCCACGCTGTGGCATGGACCGTATACTTATTGGGAATGCATCAAACCTCCAAAGACGTCATGTGATCATAAGAGAGCTTAAGAAAATTGACCCTGTATGTTGTGCCAACGTACAACTTCACCGAGTCCACACAGATCCAGGTGCTCCAGGTCAAGCTGCTGCTCCGTCATGGTGCCAGTGGATGGGTGCAGCTGCTGCGTCTGCTTACCCTCAGTGCAGGGCTTGCCTTACCTCTCTTTGGCAGCAGCCGTCACACCAGCCACACTCACACCCAAGCCCGTCACCATGTTGCTGCTGGCCATCTTGGCCAGGGTGTCTAAGCCCAGGAGGTGCCCAACTGCATCCAACACATGGGCAATCTGCTCTGGCTCCACCTCTCCTTTAGTGACGCTCATAGTGTGCAACAGCATCAAGAGGGTGGAAGGTGGCCTTGTACACAAGCATTTGTAAACGCAGGAAATAGTCATCGTCGGACTCTTGTAGTAGCTGGTACACAGTACGGCACAGTGTGCGGCACACATATTAACTACAAATGCACGCAAAGCACTCGACCAGCATCTCGAGAGGCCTTTTCAGCGGCCAGCTACTACAACTCTTCTGGCTCCATGTAGAAGTTGTGAAGCTCCTGCTGAACCTGCATCTTGTAGGCTTCCATGTTGGGGTTGTATTCATTTAAGAGCACCATCCACAGCTCCCGTGCAGTGTTGCACTCGGCGAACCGCCAGATCTCACAGCTCATTACACTTCTTCATGATGCCACGGGCCATCTTATCCTGCGCTGGTGTCAGCACGTCATGCAAGCTCTCAAATTTCACTGATTGCATCATCCAGGCCCGTCCTCTGTTAGTGGGTGAAGAGCAACTGTGATACTGAGAGAAAAATTTCATCACAGAAATGCGTCTTCCCATCGTCCTGGGTCTTGCCCAGCCCAGGTCTTGCCCAGGTGACACCACTCCATTTAGCAGGTTAAGATCCACGCTGCGATTCCTGGGCAGATCCCCGACATTGGTCGAAAATGAGGTTATGGCGAGAGACTTAAATGCTCGCAACAACGGTGGTACGACAGCAAGTGAACTCCAACATACCGAGCATCCGCGCAAATCAGTCTCTCTCTCTCAATACCATTTAACGTCTCTTCGCTAAGGTAGCGAGTAGAGACAACCAAGAGCCAGCCAAACTACACCGACCCGCAGTGGACAAGAAACAACGAAGCGTACCCAGAAATGGAGAATGAGGTATAAAATCCTGTCCCTTATTTGCCAAGCTTTGTCCGTGTCAGCGGCACTGGGCCACAAGAGTGGTGTCGGCGGGTAGACCGGCCGAGAGAAGGCGCGACTGAGGGCGTTTCCCGCCTTCGTCGGGAGTTAAGCGAATAATAGCGTTCCTGTTATCTCAATTAGTGCCAGCCGGGGCAACTGCTGAAGAGAAAAGCAAGCAAGCATACCTGGTCGTCCGACCCATTTAATAAGCAGCGACCGACGGAACAGTCGGACAAACCAGGAAGAGCGACAAGTCATCCATGCGGAATTAATTATCGCAACGAAGCGACGACAGAGCACCCGACCCAGAGCCGGGCCCAGTCCACCCCCATCTGACTTTCCGACCTTGTCCTTTTGACTTGCTCGTAGTGGGCACTGGCGAGGAACGCGATTGGAGGCGACGGAGAGGAGATGAATTTCCCAGACAGACCGGTGAGTGATTAGTTCGAGGGAAAGGCGGGGTGGCAGATGTCCCCTCTAGCGACGCAGTGACAATTGTTCCCTCTAGCGACGCGGTGGCAGAGGTCCCCTCTAGCGACGCAGTGGCAGATGCTCCCCCTAGCGACGCAGTGGCAGATGTTCCCTCTAGCGACGCGGTGGCAGTTGTTCCCTCTAGCGACGCGGTGGCAGATGTTTCCCTCTAGCGACGCAGTGGCAGTTGTTCCCTCTAGCGACGCGGTGGCAGATGTTCCCTCTAGCGACGCGGTGGCAGAGGTTCCCTCTAGCGACGCGGTGGCAGAGGTTCCCTCTAGCGACGCGGTGGCAGATGTTCCCTCTAGCGACGCGGTGGCAGATGTTCCCTCTAGCGACGCGTGGCAGATGTTCCCTCTAGCGACGCGGTGGCAGATGTTCCCTCTAGCGACGCGGTGGCAGATGTTCCCTCTAGCGACGCGGTGGCAGAGGTCCCCTCTAGCGACGCAGTGGCAGAGGTTCCCTCTAGCGACACGGTGGCAGATGTTCCCTCTAGCGACGCAGTGGCAGATGTTCCCTCTAGCGACGCGGTGGCAGAGGTTCCCTCTAGCGACGCGGTGGCAGAGGTCCCCTCTAGCGACGCAGTGGCAGATGTTTCCTCTAGCGACACGGAGGCAGATGTTCCCTCTAGTGGCGCGGTGGCGGATGTTCCCTCTAGCGACGCGGTGGCAGACGTTCCCTCTAGCGACGCGGTGGCGGTTGTTCCCTCTAGCGACGCGGTGGCGGATGTTCCCCCTAGCGACGCGAAACCGAGACACCTAGTGATGCTGAGGTCGACCACCTTAGCAATTAGGAGGTAGACCATGGCGGGTTCTCTAAGCGTGTTACGGAGGCCTTTCCTCTTAGCGTTTCCTTCGGGAGCTGACCCCCCTAGTGTTTTGGAGGCCGACCCTCCTAGCGAGTGGAGGTGACCCTCCTAGCGAGTTGGAGGTTGATCCCCCTAGCGGGTTGGAGGCCATTCCTCCTAGCGGGTTGGAGGCTGATCCTCCTAGCGAGTTGGAGGCTGACCCTCCTAGCGAGTTGAGGTGGATCCCCTAGCGAGTGGGAGGCTGATCCTCCCAGCGAGTTGGAGGCTGATCCCTCTAGCGAGTTGGAGGCCGATCCCCCTAGCGGGTTGGGGCTGATCCCCTAGCGGTGGGAGGCTGACCCTCCTAGCGATTGGGAGGCCGATCCTCCTAGCGATTGGGAGGCTGATCCTCCTAGCGATTGGGAGGCTGATCCTCCTAGCGATTGGGAGGCTGACCCTCCTAGCGATTGGGAGGCTGATCCCCCTAGCGATTGGGAGGCTGACCCTCCTAGCGATTGGGGGGCCGATCCTCCTAGCGATTGGGAGGCTGATCCTCCTAGCGATTGGGAGGCTGACCCTCCTAGCGATTGGGAGGCTGATCCCCCTAGCGATTGGGAGGCTGACCCTCCTAGCGATTGGGGGGCCGATCCTCCTAGCGATTGGGAGGCTGATCCTCCTAGCGATTGGGAGGCTGATCCTCCTAGCGATTGGGAGGCTGATCCTCCTAGCGATTGGGAGGCTGACCCTCCTAGCGATTGGGAGGCTGACCCTCCTAGCGATTGGGAGGCTGATCCTCCTAGCGATTGGGAGGCTGACCCTCCTAGCGATTGGGAGGCTGACCCTCCTAGCGATTGGGAGGCTGATCCTCCTAGCGATTGGGAGGCTGATCCTCCTAGCGATTGGGAGGCTGATCCCCCTAGCGATTGGGAGGCTGACCCTCCTAGCGATTGGGGGGCCGATCCTCCTAGCGATTGGGAGGCTGATCCTCCTAGCGATTGGGAGGCTGATCCTCCTAGCGATTGGGAGGCTGACCCTCCTAGCGATTGGAAGGCTGACCTTCCTAGCGATTGGAAGGCTGACCCTCCTAGCGATTGAGAGGCCGACCCTCCTAGCGATTGGGAGGCTGATTCCTCCTAGCGATTGGGAGGCCGACCCTCCTAGCGATTGGGAGGCTGATCCTCCTAGCGATTGGAAGGCTGATCCTCCTAGCGATTGGGAGGCTGATCCTCCTAGCGATTGGGAGGCTGACCCTCCTAGCGATTGGGAGGCTGATCCTCCTAGCGATTGGGAGGCGGATCCTCCTAGCGAGCGACACGGCACACGAGGCCCGACGGGCTCGAGCTAGCATCCCCCAGGACCAGGACGGGAAGACTTACCCTTGTATGGACGCGGAGCGAGCGAAGCTAGGCACGCGCCCCCGGACAAGGCAGCAGAGAGGGCACATAGCTGAATCTTATGATGAGACACCTGGCGAGGCAAGCAGGACAGAATCTCGGCGGACACCCACCCCCGTTTGCTACACGAAACGAGCACCTAGGCCGGAGGATGGTAAACCCTGATGCCTAAGGGGGCGCACCAACAGGTTAACAGACACGAGACC